TGAGGAACGTAATATTATCTAAGGTGCTTTCTGTACCTAGATACCTCTCAAGCGTAGATGCTATTCCACTTTCACTATTGGAAAAATTGGAAGTCAAAATTAGTGGAATTATTAAGAAAAGAATTGGATGTGACAACAGGCTCTCTAAAGCCGTTATATATGGTGATAAATCCCAGGGTGGACTTGGGCTTTCATCTCCAGTTGATATAAGTCACGTGGAAAGGATGGCATCTGTCTGTAGGTTTGTCAATTCTACCTCTCCTATCACCCAAAAAATCGCAAGAGCCATGATAAATAAGGCGCTCAAGGGTGAAACTACAGATTCACTGTGGAAAAATGCTGCCGCTACAATGAAAGATCTGAAATATTACTTCAAATCCACAGATAATGGATGGGTCTTGTGTAACCGTACCAATCACAAGCCTGTCTCCAACCTTAGAAATGCTATCATTGAAACTCAGCGATCCAAGAAAATTATTAATAAGTTGGGCCAATTAGACAATGACTATAATTGGCATAATAGCACTCTCTCCTTCTGGAGAAACTCTCTCTTGTCTTATTATCAGCAAAGACTCCTCTACTTTAATCTCCACCACTCAATTTTACTAGGTAACGACAGTATTTGTGACAAATGTAATGTCAAGGAAGATTGGACCCACGTATTCCAAACTTGTCCCAAATGCAATCCTGAAAAGGATGAACTGTATGCCACATGGGACGCTATCTCCCAGAAATTTAGCCTTAACAAGATTCGTTTCCCTCCTGATATCTCAGAATCCTCTCAACTTAGGATAGAATTTGATGGTCGTTGCTCCCGTAATGACTGGCTTAACTGGTCTAAGCGCAAAAGAATACCTAAGAATGTGGCCCTAGAAGTCTACAAAGCACTAGCTATTTATTTGGAAAATTGCTACAAGAACTCAGTGTGGTACAACCGTCCCAATGCAAGCTTCACTATTAACAGGAAATACCTCTCTGCCTACCACAGGCAGGCTCAGTCTAACCAACCACTTAGCGTCAACCCATAACACTTAAACGCTGAACCGAAACTTACTGGTTGTAGACCTCGTCTCTCAGGTCTTTACGATACAAGAGACGTTAATAAATATTACAATTTTAATTTACTGTGGTTACGCAATGAAGTGCAAGCAATTCTACAATGAAATGCAAGCAATTATTTTTTGAACTGCAAGCAATTCTACAATGTAGTACAATTACTTGCTGACGAACTGCAAGAAAGTCTAAATATAAATTTCCACTTTGATCAAGAAACTTGCAAAACACACATCAAAACTTCCAATCAGCAGAAGAAGCAATAAATTTATAAAATGTCAAACAAGCAATCGAGTAGCTATGACACTTCACCACAAAGCTTCTCCAGCTATAGCAATTTAATAGATTTGCTACCTTCAGTATCTCAAGTTCCTTCATGGACCTGTACACAAGATCAACCAGATAACACACCCATTAAAAAGAAAGATGAAAAAACACCAGGCAAGAAAAAAGAAGAAAAACCAAAGAAGCTAAAAAAAGGAACAAAACGAAAGTTTGAGAATGTGGAAGAGGCAATCCATGATCAATTGACAATGAAAAATGTCAAGTTTTTGAAGGAGTTTTTGAAGAGTGAATTTGGAGAGACAGGAGGTAATCTTAGAAAAGATGCTCTGGTAGCAAAATTGGTAACTAGAATTTGTTCTTCTGTTGAGGAAGAGACGGATGAAAGAGATGAGTCATTCGAAGACAACATCAAAAAAAAAGCCCTATTAATTGTTGAACGGAATCAAGAAACATACAATGAAAGTCAAGCAAAGAAAGCAAAACTGGTAAACCTGGAGGAGACAGAAAAAAAGGAAAATCCTGATGATAAAATAGTATTGATAGGGTTTAAAAACAAAAGAAAAGTTGGTTATGTTCAAAAAACAAGAGAAGAACAAATTAAACTTGTTGAGAAGTATAAAGAACAATATTCAACACCCGACCGTGGATCACAACAGGAATTTGCTAAACAAAATAATATCTCACCTTCACAATTTAGCAGATATTTATCGGCATGCAAGAGGAATGAACTAACATTAAAGGTTGAACGTGGTCACCCACCTCCATTATTATTGAAAGACCAAATTTTACAGGTTATTGATATTACTCGTAAGGAACGGAGTGAGAAAAAACAAGTTAGTAATATAAGACTTGGAGAAATAATGAAGGAAGTTGCAGGATTAAAGAAAACACCTTCAGTAGATTATATTTCCAAATTTTCCAAGAAGTTTCTTTATAAAAGGAAGATCAAAACAACAATTACCAAGAGAGAAAGAATTGAAACAGCTTATGAGCAATTATATAGAACCTACTATTATTATTGCTTCTATGCAGCAATAATGTTTAGAAATTTAAAATCCATTGATAGAAGTAAAATTGTGGTTTTTGATGAAACTGGAACAAATACTAAGGCGACGGAAAGAACAAATACTCCAATCAAGGACGATGATGCAGTTGTTTTACAATTGGCTGATGATATTAAGGATACTTTTTTAGTTGCTGTAACGGCAGAAGGAGGTGTATTACCAGTGTCTATTGTTGAGTCAGTGCCAGGAAAGAAATCAACTATTAATGGTAATAAGGTAACTGTTGAGGAAAAAATTGCTGGTGTTCATATTGAACATATTGAGCAATGGGTTGAAAAAGTTTATATTCCTAATTCAAAAGAAGGAGACATTTTATTATGGGATAATCTCTCTCATCATAAGTGTAAATCAGTTCAAAAGATTTTGAAACAACATAATAGAATTAACATTTTACTTCCTGTAGGTGGGCACCATCAATCACCATTGGATAATATGTGTTTCAGATATGCAAAAAGAGAATTAGCTGATTGGAAAAAGAATAATTCTAATTCTGATAGAAAATCAAGAAATGCAGCATTTGAGCAGATTATTTCTAACATGAATCCAGATGTGATTGTAAATAGTTTTAGAAAATGTTTAATGGATATTTGGAATTATGATTCAGAAGAGGAATACTTGAAGTATGTCAGAGCTTCACTGAAAATGAATAATGATTTGTATGATTTATATATCAGAGAATTTAATCCTATGTGTATTGGTCAATTCTATGTAGAACTACCTACACCATCAGTTAAGGTAGAGACAGATGAGAAATTAGATCAAGATCCCATCTTAGATGATGTAAACAATCCTTGGATTGATAGTGATTCCATGAAAGAAAATTTTGACCAAAAACAGGTAGAACAAATATCTAAAATAATACTTCACATACAAAACAAAACAGAATTTAACCATAACATCCAACAAAATGCTGCCAATCTACAATTGTACGTTCTTTCAACAGAAACAATTGCTTGTTCAATCACTTTATCTACTGAGGCATTGGAGACTATCAAAGATGACACTGTATTCTTACCTGGAAATACTTTTGATATATTTGGAATTTGTTTTTCCAAAATCAGCTCACAATATTTACAATACATACCGTCTGATTTCTCTCAAAGAGTTACTAACCAATCCAAAAAATTCATAGAAACAAACTTACCAAAGAGTATGAAATTTACATCAAAAGGATTTATAATTTTTCCTGTGGCAAGATCATTACACTGGTACTTACTAATCTATGATTGTCAATCCACTGATTGGTTTCTTTTTGATTCTTTCGCTAAGGATTTTTCAGTGATAGAATCAGAGACTAGTGAATTATTTGAAATGTTGCCATCATTTATTGTAAAACCAAAGACTGTTCGAAAAACATTACAAAAAAAAATTCAAGTGGATGGAAATCATTGTGGTGATTATTGTGTATTACTAATGGATTTTCTTTCAGCAGGATTTTCACTATCTGATGCCGTCGATATTATGACCAAACCATTTTCTATTTCAAATTACAGAGCTATACTTGTTGCTAGATTGAAACATTTACATGTAGTAGAATTTGAACCACAAAGCCCACTTTCGGAATCAGAAGGTTTTCAATCTGAACCCAAGAAGAGCTCTAAAATTGAGCTTGGCGATTATGACGAAGAATTAGATGAATTATTTAATGAGTCATGGGAGGATTCAATTTTCGGAAAGAAAATTCAATGAACATGAAGAGTGATCAATCATCTTAATAACAATACAAAATATCTTATATAATAAACAAATTCATTATCAATATTCGAAACAAGCAGAACTACAGCTTGATCTTACAGTGTGACTTCTCTTTGATCTATTTTAAGAATTGTGGTTCAAGAAACTTTCAATTCATTAAATTATTCGTTGCAGTTCAAAAAATAATTGCTTGCATTTCATTGTAGAATTGCTTGCACTTCATTGCGTAACCACAGTAGTGGAAATTTCTTGACTTATTTTTGGCTTTAGATTTTGGCTTTTTGGTTCAATTTGGCTTTTTGTCGATTTTTTATTCACCTATATCCAAAAACTGGTTTGGGATGGATTTTGGAATTAATTTTCTCTCTTTGTTACTACAATTATTTGCAATTAATAATCTGATTGGAAATACACTGAATTTGGATAAGTGGAAACAACATGGCCATGGTAAAATTAGTGGATGTAATTGGATCTTTCAATTTATAATTTGAGTGGATGATTAATGACATTGTCATATTGATGTTTCTGTAATTAACAAGTTGAGCTTTGATTATTTGAGTGGATGGCCAATCTTTAGCTGTTGCTTTGTTACATGATTTCAAATAATGACAAGTTGATTTTAGACTTGTTCAAATTTAATAAATTTACTTTTTTTACGGTCTAAAAACTAGATACCAATTACTGTGTAAAATATAAATACCCTTAACTTTTTGTTTTTTTCGAGCCCTGAATTATTAACAAAACTTTCTCAAAGTTGCACCCAACTTTGAGGGTGAATTTCGGTTTTTTTAGGGGTAAAGTTCAAAATGTTGACAAGCCAATAACACTCTAAAATATTCGGGAGCGATCAAAACTTGAACTTCATGAAAAAGAAAACTGGCAATTCATGACCCAAGGTCATTTCGTAACTCTTGAATATCTGATTTCGCTAAAGTTTTCCTTCACACAACAGTTTTTGTTTCGAACATCATGCAAGGCAGTATAATATTTGGAAATTTATTTTTAGAATTACATGTTGGTGTTTTTGTAATTTTCTTCTGGAATTTGCAATTCTTTTCATCTCAAACACATGAAATTTGCTCGTTTTTATTTAAACTCTCCAAATTTATCTCAATCATTCTCTTTCTGTCATTGTATTCCTTTTTAAATTAACCAAATCGAGTGCTATTACTTTCGAATAAAAAGCCAACCAACAACCAAACAAAATTCCAACAATAAAAAAAATGACAAACAATCAAAATAACAAATACAAAAGAAAGCTTGCAAATCTCGAAGAAGAACACATTGCTAGTGAAGAAATTTATCAGGATGAAGATCTTTGGTATAGCGAAGAGGTTGATCAATTGGTGTTCAATCAAACAAAGAAGAGAAAGGTTTCGAATGGAAGTTTAGACGAAAAGGAAGAGAATTCACAAGATAATGACTCTGATACTTCATCAGATAGTTCTGTAGAAGACTTTGGTAAGGTTGGAGAGTTGTTAATGATTGGAAATCGTCCAGAAGACTGTTTTGACTTGTCAGAGTTTACAGAAGAACCAAAAATTTCGTTTATGGAAACTAAACTTTCCATTACTAAGATTCCAGCAGATTGCTGGGCAATCATTTACTCCTTTAGTGGCATGGAACATTACTTCATTAATAGAATTTACAAACTCAATTCCACCCTAAGAGAATCTCTTTACGAAAGTGAACTATTTTGGGAAGGAATCATTGCTGAAGGTTGGCCAGACTCCACAATTTTCACTATCAACTGGAGAGAATACTTTTTCAAGAAATTCATTGCATACGAAACTCATAAGCGTTTAAATCCTCAAATAATAACTGGAGATCATCCAGCAACAATAGGTTCGGTTCCAATTCAACGAACTTTCGAGAATGAATGTTTCATTTACAATCAAATGGAGACAACTACATGTCATTTCAAGAACTCCAAACAAATGGTCACTCAATCAAACATGGATTGGATTGTAAATGTTTTTTTGAAAACTTGTCCAAAAATTGTTGGCTTTAGAATTCAAGTGAAATTTCCAAATTTGAGACTTTGGGCAACTTTTAATAACAAAGTTTTCCCAATTTTTGATGAGGATCAAGTTGTCCTCAACGGAGTCCAAAATCTGTTCAATGCATTGAAGTTAGATGTTGATATTCATGCACCTTTCTTTTTGGATTTTGACGAAAGATTCAACAAATTGAAATTTGGAGAATTGGAACAGAGTACATACTTTGCTTGGTTTTGTAATAGAATACTTGGAGATGTTCCTTTTCCAATTGAGGAAATTTTGGGCCTGCATGATTATACGAACCATTTAAGTTTCGGTTTGGAAGAAGAGAGAAACAGAATTGTAGGAAAGTTTTACAAATACAAAAAACAATTGGGCTTGTAAACATCCAAATAAAAATTAACATTAAATCTCACTTGGAAACAACTGACCAAAGAAAATAAAGCTTTATCCTTATTATAATTTTAATCAATGTTCGAAAGTTATTATTTCATTATGAGGCAAGAACATATGAGCATTCTATGGTATTATAGGTACATCCATCAGAAGCGTAGCCAACATATTCAACATGGAAGACACATGCCGGTAGAAATTGATTTTCTTTTGCTATACAATTGGTTTGTGGAAAAGCAATAGTTAACTATTGAAAATATTTCCTCAATCACCATATTCAATTTGCATTTGATTTTTCTTTCTCAAATAATCTCTGTACCACTTTCTATTCAATTTGGCATTGTCTTCCACAGCTGTAAAATATTTGAAATGATCATTCACCATAGATTTGTCAATGGAAATGGTTCCTCCCTTGGTTTTTTCTGCTAGTAATTCTTCAAATGAGGCCTGTAATTGTTTGCTTCTATTCTTCCAAATCTTACTCAAAACAAAATCAGAATCCAAAGGAACATGTAGGTCTGTATACACTGTGTGAATAAATCTTGTTGATTTTTCTCCAGTACCAAAGAACATGTAATTGAACAAAATTTCAGACTTGACTCTATCTGTAGGTGCACGCCTGAGTGATTCCTCAATCTTGCACGTGTGACCAATGTTCATGTAACAATTCACCGAGGGATCATAAAGTGAAGTCATTGTATGTGGCAAGTCTCTGTGTTTCAATAGTGGAATGTGCATTTCAATACCCAGAGCTCCAATCTGAATGGCAAGTGGTGGTTTATCCACAGTGTATCGATTATCTCTCTCATCAAATATCTCATAAAATGAAATGGAATCTCGTTGCTCACTTGATTTCTTCTGATGTGGTGGAATATATCTCAGCAATTTGAAATCTTTCATGAGAGTGTGATCAAGTTTGAATCGTGTATTCATATCACAATACGTAGCCCAAACATCTTCAACTGCATAGGGCAGATGCATTACCAATTTAAATAATCTCATTCCTTTCATTTCGTCTGGTCCTATTGAATAAACTGTTTTTGAAACAAAGGTCTGTAAAAAGTTAGGTTTCTCGCTACAAGTTAATTCTTTCCAATCAGGTGTATCTTCACTCAATGTATAAGCAAAATAAACATCCTTATCAGTCATTAATTGAGATTCAAAATCTTTAGGTTTAAATCTAATATCTACATAAAAATCGTTAGCAATATTAATAGCAATTCTTCTCGTATATTCTTCACCCTTTCGTACAAGAAACAAGTGAAGCGTATTCGACCTGGCATACCTTGGAAATTCATCATATTTCAAATCAAGAATTGCCTTTGTCTCTACATCTTCCAAAATATTGGAAGGATTTAAAATTTCTAAAATTTCAAATATTTGCTTGTTGTTAGTTTTGTTAGAGTTGGAAATGGATTCCAATTTTAGTGTTACAAGATGGTAGAGATTCAGTGTACGAGTCCAAGCACCCATATAATAATGTGAAAACTTTTCAATAGAATCTTCCAATCCAAAGGTATTTACAATATTTTCAAGTTGATTCACAAGGAGTAGTATCTTTTTAAAACCTTGAAAATCAAAATCGGAAGCACTGTCATCAATATTATCTATTAGCTTTTTATGTTCGGTTCTGTATGAATCAATGGCATCGATCAATTGAAGAGGTTCCTCACAATGAACCAGTTTGAGAAAACCTCTGAAATTTTCTCTTGCTTCTGGAGCTCTCAGCAACTCCTCAAAAACAACCATATATCGGTTGGTTTCGAATTTTCGTTTCTTCTGTTGTGATGTGCTATTATTACTCATGTTGATGTAACGGTGATGACGAGTTTCATATTTTTTTATATTTCGTTTACTTCCTTAGATTGGCTGACATGTTACACATCAAGGCAGTAAGAATCTAAACAAGCTTTCAAGGCTAGTACTCTTTTTATTGTTGAGCACACAAAGTAAAGAGTAAAACACAGTGATTGTTTGGCGATATTCAAATTGTTATTCGTGTAATTGATGAATTGAGTATGGTCATTCCTCAACGAACACTTGTCCAACAATAAAAATTTAAAAACCACTACTATTTAAATAATCTCATCGTGCTGATCTGAAATTCCTTCAGGTGTTTCAACTTGTTAACCCACTCAAACACTAACAACATCAACCCGATATTATTATTAACAATATCTTTTTCAAATATTTTTTAAAAATTATTATTACAGCTTTGGTCCTAAAAAAGATTATACAATACCAATCAACACATCACAAAAAATTTTCATAACCAAAAAATCGAGTCGAGATGATATGTAAGGCATAACATCAACCCGTTTTGTTTCGGAGGCTTGGAAAAGTTTCCTTTCCCATCAAAGTTGTCAACACTGTTGCTGAAGATCACAACAAAGAAAATGGTTGCACAACTCATTCCACTACAACAAGTATTGCAATATTTCTTCAGTAGCGTGAGCAGTCAAGTGCCAACAATTATTTCTTCTTTATTGGTTGCATCATCAAATACCTCATCAAATAGTAATTCAACATCATCTATTTGTGATGAGAGACTCTTTAAATTGGGAGAACTGAGCCGAGAAGGATATAATGCCACGATGGTCAATAACATTTGTCCAGATAGTATCTTCACTCCAATAGTTTCAGCAGTTTTTCTATTTGTTTATTTGTGTTTGGTTACTTTGGCTATTATTGGAGTGTTGTGGAAGAGAAACAGTGGACACATCAAGGCTCGTAATCCACTTCATATGATTTTGACCATCTCGGCAACTTTGTACTTTGTCGTAACAACTTGTTTGCGATTTATTATAGGAAGAAAGATATTCCCCTGCTTTTTATACACTATTTCATACTTTATCACAGTGCCTGCAATGTGTCTTCCAGCAGTATTCCGATTCATTCGTATCTTTTTCATGTACAAGTTGAATATAAGAAAAGCAATGACTTTTGAATCATCAAAACATTCAGCTTCATCATCTGCACTCAACAATAATTCTTCCCTCTCATTGGTGGTATCTCACATCACAACAGCAAGAGATTCACAGAGTCACCAACAAGACAATAGTCCATCGACGTCTAGGGAAGCTCTCACATCAAGTAGAGTGGTCAATTTTGAATTAATTCCCACCACTTTAACAGAACATCAAGATGTAGTTGAACCTTTTAGTGTGGAAAAATTCACCTTTCCAGAAATTACTACTACTACCAATAATAATGGTGTTGTTATTCCACACATTCCCGATACCCCATTGACTGACAACAATACATCAAGTCATGTTTCATCAGAACAACGAAAAAGTGAGGTAGATTCAGACACTGAAGATGATTCCCGTTCATGGGTTACCTCAACTGATGTGGACTATACAGAATCAGTTTATAATGATAGGAAATTTAAGGTTTATTCCTTCTTGGTGAGTTACAAACTCATTGCTTCATCGTATATTGTTGCCTTCATTTTGCATCTTATTATTTGGGCAATATTTGGAGGAGCCGATGAACTTGTTGTTAGTAATGGAGGAAAAAGAGTATTCTTGTGGAATATCAGCATGTTTGCAGCAACTACAGGCTGTGTTACTAACACTAACACTGTCTTTATGTTGGCAGCAGAGGCAGCCATCTACATTATTATCGAGATTGCATTCTTTATTCCATTATTCTTTGCTGATAGAGATGCTTTTCATATCAAAAGAGATACCTTTGTATTAATTGTGATTCAAATCATAACAGCTATTGCATTCTTAGTTAGTGGTCAAATTGAGGTGATTAGATTTTTGACAGATTATTTCGTTCCGTTTGGATTTACTCTACTGACCTATTCAGTATTTGAAATATTTATTGCTGTATTGTTACCTGTAATTTATGCAATTATTGATGACAGAAAGTTTCAAAAACAATTAAATACCGAGAATGGAGGATATTCCCAAACTGAAATTGAGACGGTTCTCAAAAATAGAAAAACATTTGCCTTACTTTTAGAATTTTCCAGAAGATGCTACTGCCCTGAAGATGTTCTTGCCTTCAGAGACATTGAAAAGTTTAGAAAGATTTCCAAAAAGCACAAGAAGAAGGTTGCCACGAAAATATTGAAAACCTATCTTAAAAGTGGATCTTCTCTCGAGCTCAACATGTCAAACCTTTCCAAAAAGTATGAAGAAATTGAATCAATTCTCCAAAAAGCAACAAACCCTTCTCTGATTCCCAATACCTTGTTTGATGATATTAGAGTTCTCTGTCTAAATAACATGGTTGATGTATTTGAAAGATTGAAAGCCACAGACAAGAACATACAAGAAATGGTTATTAACTTTCGTAGAAACAGTTTAAACCTGTAGGTGATCTGTAGGATATCCTAATTGTGTGAGACAAGCAACAACAAAAAAATTGCGTCCAAAAGACAACAATGTACCAGCTGCATCATGCAGGTCAAAATAATGAAACCCAATTTCGAATATTTACCCTTCTTTCATCATTTATTCAAGAATCTTTTCATTATCGTTATCCAATAGCAACAACAATTTATTCTATTCAACAACAACAACTTTCCAACAACAATACCTCAACAACAAATTATTCAATATGTGACGAAAGATTGTTCAATCTAGGAGACTTGAGTCGTGAAGGATACAATGCAACAGTGGTAAATAATATTTGCCCAGACAGCATCTTTACACCAATCATCGCATCCATCTTCTTGACACTCTATTTGACGTTGGCACTTTTTGGAACTGTTGGAGTTATTTGGAAGAGAAAGAGTGGACACATCAAAGCTAGGAATCCAGTTTACATGCTACTGACAATATCAGCTAGTTTGGCTTTTGTGGTCATTACATGTCTACGATTTACAATTTCGAGGAAAATATTTCCATGTTTCTTGTACACTTTTTCGTTTTTCATCATTATTCCTAGTTTGTGTCTGCCAACTGTATTTCGATGTTTGAGGATTTATTTCATGTATTTACTCAATAAGAAGAAGGCACAAATGTTTCAGACGAAAAGTGAAAAACCACAACAATTGACCAATGTGAAAAAGGAACAAAATGTGGATCAACAAGTTCAAGAGGATGACAAATTGAAAGGTATTACCATTCTTCCATTAGCATCTATACAACATGGATCTTCTACGGAATTATCAGAGACAAGTCAACCAGAATTATTGACACCAAAAACATTTGATAACTCGAGTACCATTTCAAATATATCACAAGAAAATCCAAACGATGCATCACAAACTTCAGAACAGATTACAACAACACGGGTTACTCCAGAAACTGGAGAAGATGTCCATGATGAACAAGATCAAAAAACGTGGGTCACTTCTTCTGACATTGACAACACTTCTGCAATTTTCTCTGACAAAAAGTTCAAAATATTTTCATATTTGGTGAGCTACAAGTTTATTGCAATCACTTATACAATTTCATTCATTATTCACTTATCTATTTGGGCTTTATTGGGAGGAATTGATGAACTTTCGTATAGTAATAGTGGAAAGAGAATATTCTTGTGGAATGTGAGTCCATTTGCATTTAATAGTGGATGTGTTACAACCTCAAATACTGTTATATTGCTGGGAGCAGAAGCAGCACTCTACATTGTGATAGAAGTGAGCTTTTTGATCATTCTCTTCTTTGTTGATAGAGATACTTGGTCAATTAAGACTGAAGCTTTTGTTTTGGTATTTATTCAAGTGGCTTTATCACTTGCTTATATAATTAGTGGACAAATTGAGATTATCAGATTCTTGACAGATTATTTCGTTCCATTTGGATTTACTCTACTGACCTATTCATTATTGGAAATAATTATTTCAGTCATTCTTCCTGTCATTTATGCCATTCGTAATGATAATCATCAAGCTGAGTATGCTCAATCAGAACTTGAATTATTTTTGAAAAATAGGAAGACATTTGCATTGTTATTGGATTTTGCGACAAGGAGTTATTGTAATGAAGATGTTTTAGCATATAGAGATATTGAAAATTTCAGAAAATCCCCCAAACGAAAGAATAAGAAACTGGTGGCAATGAAAATATTGAAAACCTACCTGAAAGAAGGATCTCCATTAGAATTGAATATTGCCAACATTGACCAAATTTATCTGAGAATTGAACATGAAATTCTGAGTGTGAATGATGATTCACTCATAGCCAGTACATTATTTGACATTGTTCGAGTTGCATGTCTCAATAACATGACCGATCTATTCGAAAGATTGAAATCTAGTAACAAATCAGTGAGGATCATTGTTGAAAATTGGAGAAAGGCCAACAAAATCTTACAAGATTAATCTTTCAAATCCTTCTCGACTTGTAAACAAACTTTCCCTTAGAATCTCACTTTTCACAACAAGGTGCTCCACTCATGTGCAGCTATTGACTGTTCAAAGTATTAAGGATGTCCAAAAAGTGAATAGTTTCAGAGCTTCATTTGGATCTTGTACATCTGAAACTGAATGTGCAATTGGTCTTTGGTTGATGGATATTATCATCCAAAGTTTCCAAATAAAGGGTAGCGAAATAGTTTAATTTATTTGGTAATATTTCTCACATAAGCAAATTCAGTTAATTTACAAGGTTTTGATGATTGGCTTCTTGCATGTCTTTCTCTTGATACAAATCTTCTTCTTGATTGACTTGCAACACTTCTTCTTTCCACCAACTAATTTGAATTTCTTACAAATCTTCTTTCCCTTTGAACGTTTCAAACACTTCTTATAATACTTCTTCTTGATACATCTTGGTGGAATGACAATTGACTTGGCACAATACTTCTTCTTGTTATATTTGACACATTTAGAAATAGTCTTCTTGTGTTTACAGAACTTGATAGTCTTATGTTTGGCACAGAAGAATTTCTTCTTAATGAGACAACATTTCTTAATGGATTTTCTCTCCTTACAATATTTAACCTTCTTATACTTGGCACATTTCTTTGCCCATGAAACAATCTTGCACTTTTTAACATATCTACATTTGGCAACCTTCTTATTATAAGAGTCAACAGTGTACTTATCACAGACCTTCTTCTTTTCACACTTCTTGATTGGAACCTTCTTGAATTTCTTACAGATCTTCTTATATCCCTTCTTAACACACTTGTTGATAATCTTGTACTTGGCACAGAATTTCTTGAAACCCTTCTTGATACAAATCTTCTTAGTTCCATAAGAATCGCAAACTTTCCAATACTTCTTCTTGGCACATCCAACAATCTTGTATGCATGCAAGACACACTTCTTTGTTGCCTTGCTATACTTGTCACATTTGGAATATTTCTTATGTTTGAGACATTTGCCAGCACCGACAATGGCATATTGATCACAGACCTTCTTTTGACCGACGAGTTTGTGTTTCAAACACTTCTTAATCCACTTGTGCTTTAAGCATTTTCTCTTACAAATTCTTGGTTTGTGATACTTGTCAACTACGACAACTGGAGGTTTGGTTTGATAGCTGTCAGTTGCTTGAACTGAGAGTATTGCAAGTAAGAGTAGAATTGCAATTGAAAAGAGTAGATTTACTTTCATTTTTTTGTTTTTGTTGTATGGAATAGTTCAACGATGGTGATAATTTAAACCATTTCGAATAGTTTTTCATTTGGAACAAACTCAAAAAGTTAGATGTAAGGTTCCAAATTTGGATAGAAATCTGATTTCCCCTAATACTTCAATTTACTATTTTACTTTTCAACTCATATTTCAAATTACAAGTCAAATCAATATTCTTCAAGGCAATATTTAAGAAAATAGAATTCTCTCTATTTTTCAACAAATTTAAAGATCGAAACTAAGGAATCGTTGACAACACAATAAATAAATTATTTACTATTGCATAATATTAAAAGGTAGGGTGGTACGTGGATCGAACACCTGACCATCGGATGTCTGCTGCAAATAACTTTGCAATCCGGTGCTCTACCGCTGAGCTAACCACCCTTATGGTCAACAAAATTTTCGTCCTCTCACATCCTCCAGCTTAATTAAGGTAAGTAACATTTGTCTCATTGAAAATATCTTCCATGAGACAATTTAACAACAAAATTGTAATTTACAAAAAAATCTTTTTGAACGGCTAAATTATTAATCCAATTCTCATTAATCCAAATTTGTAAACAATAATCGTTGAGTTTTTCCAACTGGCATCAAAAAAATGGACATATTTGATATTGACAGTTATCTCAACCGTATTGGTTTAGTTTCTCGTGAAAATGTTGAAAAACAATTGATTGACACATGTGGCAACTCTTATTCTCTATTACACACCATTTCATGGAATCATGCCATTCACATTCCATTCGAAAATTTGGCAACTCTTTATCCAGAGATGCGCATGTTTAGTTCAGATTCTTCCCTCCCAGATTCAATCAAAGTTTCCCTCGATCCAAATGATATCTTTACCAAGCTCGTATTGAAATCTCGTGGAGGATTTTGCTTTGAACAAAACTTACTCTTGGCCAGAGCTTTACGTGAATTTGGATTTTCTGTCACGACAGTTGGCGTGAAACTTCTCAATCGTTTCGTAGCTCCAGAATTGGACAGTGGATTGCCATTGAGTTGCACTACACACATGGCTCTCTTGGTTGATTGTCAAGATGGAAATAGATATCTGGTTGATAATGGTTTGGGATGGGGTGGTCAACCAAGATCTCCGCTCCTTTTAAGTAATGGTTGTGAAAAGAGTGAAAATACTGGCGAGGTATTTCGTTTGGTTTTGGGAAAGATTTTTACAAGTACGAAATTAAATCATGACAAGTGGGGTTGCTACCGATTTAAAACTGGTGCCAATATCAATCATCAAGATGTCAATGAAGAAAATGGTCAACTTGTCCAAAAGAAATGGTTTCTTCAATATAAAAACAAACCAGAGTCTGAATGGTGGGATATCATGCATTTTGAAGAAGATAATATCATGTCATTGTTAGATGCTGAATTGGGAGCTTGGTATGCAACTACGAATCCAAATCATGGACAAACTAAAATAGTATTGGTTGCCTTAATGACTTCTGAAGGTAGATATTCGATTGTTGATAGAAAATTCACAATTAGAAAGTTGGGAAATGTGACAGAGCGTACTATTGAAAGTGAGGAAGAGTTGTGGGACATTTTGGAAAAGTATTTTGGAATTATTCGAAACCTTTAATAATTTTGATTGGAGTTTTTGCTCATGGAATTACTTGAAAAAATAAAAACTAGATCTCAACGGTTAACTATTAAATAATATTCGAAATTGACTTTATTCGATATTTGCCGAAATACTCAAATCAGCTCTAGTCAATCCCAAATTTCCATTTCCAAACAAATTATCAGGATCAACATTATTCTTTAACTTTTTCAAAATCTCAACTCCTTGATCTCCCACCACTTGACTCATCCATTCCTTTCTGAGCTTTCCAACTCCGTGATGATGAGATAAACTTCCACCTTGAAGTAAGATTTCATCTCTTGCTTCAGCTTCAATCTCTGAGAATGCCTTAATTGGATCTTGTAATCCTCTAAAGATGAATCCATAATAGAAATAGATACAGGCACCAGTTTCGTATACTTGAGTGACACGAGCCGAAACCCATGGTGTTGGAACATCCTCGTTGCTTGGCACTTTCTTTGACTCTTTCTTCTACTTTCTTGATTATTGGAACGACTCTTGACCAAGGAGCTGAAGTTTCAAAACTTTCTGACATGAAATAATAATTGAAACCATAATCTCTCAAATAAGCAATGACATAGGTCAGTAAATAACCTCGATAACCAGCTTCAGCACCTGCCACAAGTCCTCCATATTTAGCAGTTATGTCATAAATAATTTTCTGTTGCCTGTCAATGTCAGATTGACTTCCTTCGAATAATAAAGTAATGACACACATCTTTTCCTTATCAAATCCACAAACCTTAGTAACGTACAAACCCTTAAACCAATCACTAAGGCCTTCAAGCTTACTTTCTTGTTTAGGTTTTAGTGATTGACCAAACTGAAATTGAGAATTGTCAATTAGACGAATCGAAGCAGTAGCAACTCTTCTATTCGAAACTTCATGAAGACAAGCAACTCCTGCCTCAAAATCAGGAACCAACACAGAGCCATAAACTTGACATTCAGGACATTTCCTTACTCTTAATGTCACTTCTGTCACAATTCCCAAAATTCCTTCAGATCCCATAAATAGCTGCATCAAATCTGGTCCAGTTGACTTGTGTGGGACATTACATGGAAGAAACCAAGTTCCCTTTGGAGTGACAATCTTGACATTTACCAACATATCTTCCAAATCTTAATTGATAAATCTCTTGACAACAATGTCCATGAGAATGCATCAAACGAGCCTCATCATCAAATGTCAAATATTTGTAACATTTGACTTGCCTTAAATCCTCAATAAATTTTTCACAAATATTTGGCTTTTCAATTTTTTGTTTCATTTCTGACCATGATTGAATTGAAGATTCGAATTTTGTATTCAAACCAGTGAAATTCTCAAACCATGGACGAAAATTTGGCACACACTGTCCAGCAATCACGTACCTGTCACCAGTCACATAACATTCCCTCTTGGAATTCATTGTAAAATCTGTGTCCTTGTATCCCAACCATTCCACTTGGCCAATTTTTGTCTCTGATTGGGAATTCCTGTTCCCATCTTTTCCTTGGTCATGGCCAGAAGTGTTGGTGAAGGTGGACATGAAGAAGTTGCTGCACAATTATTAGAATCAATGTTGGTTGACCAAGATGAATTCTCTTGATATAAATGAGATTTGATAACTTGTAAACGACGAATTTGAGTGGATGAGTCCATGGCGTGTTGATTTTTTTTAAGTTTTAATTCTGTTGAATGTTGTTGAGTGAAGATTCGTCTGAAATCGGATTTATTGTAACAATTGTTTAAACATCCTGTCCTCTGAAAAGATTTGTCAAACATTCATTTTGTTCTTATTCCTCGTATGCCGTATATTCGGTGTTCATTTAGTCGTAACACCTAGCCATTCGATAGAATATTCGAAACTATCATAAATACTATCAAATTCTCTTTATTGAATATTAATCCAATTTCTTTTTCACAATTCTCACTTGACCTAGAAACAAGCCATCAACTTTTTAACTTCTTCAAATCTGTCAACAGTCCAACCTTCATATTGATATTGAATAACTTGAGTGACATTACATTCCAAAGTTACAATCAATTCACTTCCTTTAACTTGATAGGTATATCCATGAGCACCAGAATGATCCATATCATTCTCATTATGAACAACTCTGAAAATCAACTTGTCCAATACTTGAAATGCTTCTTTACAATCCGAATCTTGGACGAATTCCCAAATTACTAAATCACCCAAACTCTTCAATCTGGAGGAGTTCTTGAGGAATTTCATAATGTTATCGAGAGCTTTCTCTTCATTATCAGTATCTCCATACTTGTACTTTAATTCGGCTGGAATATTCGAAAGGGAATCCCAGTCAATGAGGAGAATCATTTTGCTATTGTAACTTTTCAAGGCATTGGTAGCATCAACGATGGTGTATTCGAATAGTTCATTGGCAGCTCTCTTGAAAGCTAAGCCTCCAGTCTTTGGTTTGAATAATTCAGCGTGATCAGTCATTTAAGTTTCGAATATTTTTTGTTTAAAATTGATTTCGCTTGTTGTTACAATGACTGTATTTAAAGGATTCGAACATGGTGTTACTAATTATTCCCATAACAGTTGATTATAATGTCATTGATCAACCAGGATTAGTACGAGTCATTTTTACAATAAATCTCTCTTTCCAAAACGATTTCGTTTAACTTTTGATTGGTGGTGTGTAAAGTAGTTCAATACATGTTCACAGAAGTGAAAGGAAGGATGAAGAATCAGAAATCAATTTTATCCGTTCCTTTGATTAAATCCATTGTATACCCTCACCTTTTGGTATTTAGTTTGGTATTTGATGAATTCCATGCTTCTTTGCAAATTGGTTTTTTTCACATCATAATAGAGAAGGGAATTGATTTCTGATTAAATAAATTAATTTGTTGTTTGTTTACTGCATAATATCTTCGTCAGTCTTTCTCTTTTTGAGTGGAGTTGTCATGAATACTCTATCTTCGAGTCCTTTAGAAATTTCCAAATCATCCTCATCAAATTTAAATTCCAATGTAGAATAATCATCTATTATAATGTCATTAGTGATAGAAGGAGTTCCCAATGGTGTTGGTGGCATCTTGTTTTTCATTGGAGAAACATAGGATGCATTGTCCAGTGTTGAGAATGGAATCTTAATGATAGAAGAAGGTGTTTTACGACTCGATCTTCTCGATCTTATTGGACTTCTCAAAGGTGTAACAGGTTGGTTTTCTTGTTGTTGATCTATTGAGATGCTACTATTCTCAACAATTGAGGGTATTTCAGGAATATCTTCTTCAATATTAATTATTGGTGGAATTATTTGTGGAATAGGTGTTGTTGCATTCTTTGTCTTCTTTGGAAGTACCTTAACAGTAGATTTCTTTGCTTTTGATGGTGGTGGCTGTAAAGTAGTGGCTCCAGTATTAGTAATATCCGAGAGTGGTGTCTTTTTGGTATTTCTTCGAGGTCTCTTTGATTGTTCTTCTGTTGTTGTGATTTGAATTGGTTGAGGTTGTGTAACATTACTACGACAACTATTAACTGCTGCTTGATTAAGGAAATCCAGCGAATTCTTTGGTTTTTCCACACCTTTTGCCTCCAACAATTCCACTTCATAATTCATCAATTGTAATTGAAATCCCAAATTAATTCTCGATCTGTTAAAAGTCTTATTTTCAAAGTGTTTATATGCTTCATAGAGTGATAAATCAAAGTAAGCCATTCCGAACACTAACATCATGGTCACTGATCTAGATTTACCTTCCTTACTATTTCAAACATCATCAATATAACAAATAACAACAATAATATTATTATTAACTTCATCATCAAACAACAACAAAACATACCAATGAATTAAAACATTACTTGTTGGGGATCCTTCCAAAGCATCCCTCACAAAATCAATCACCTTTTCAAAGTACTTTCTCACATTCACATCCGTCGAATCATCAACATTAATCTTTAAATAATTTACATGTACCTGTTGTTTACCACTCAATGTTGTATTCTTATTTACACTATGACTACCACCACTACTCATACTATTCATCATCATAATATTTGGATTTGTATTCTCTGGATCCGATGAGGAATTTGTTGATAAATTACTATAATACAAAGGCTTCTTCTGGAAGGTATTCTGCAGCGTACTCACATTCAAAACATGGGAAATTCTGTGAGTTTGAAACCAGTCTGGATCCTTTGCTTCCCACTGAGAACCAAGGAAAACTCTTGGATAAATCTCCAACTCTGCCAAGTGAGAATAATTAGAAGGCTTGATGAACCATTTGGGGTCGGATTGGGAGAGTTGCTTACGGAGGGAAACATCAGGCCATTGTTGTTGTTGTTGTTCAGCCACATCTTCATAGACTTGGAGTTTGAGGGACATATTGTTGTGAAGAGGATGTTGCGGCTTTTTTTTGAGAATTTTTTAAAAAAATTTGAGTAACGGCAATTTTTGGAGGGAAAGTTTTCACTTTTTTATTTCTCATGCAATACCAAAGCAAAATCGTCCAATTTCATTGAGCTTCTTCTATTTTCATTTTCCATCAAGGCCATTTGTCGATAATATTCATATTTGGCCATGGTTGGTGTTGATTCAGAGTTCTCCACAGTTTCAATATTGTTGTTTTCTTCCAAAAGTGAAGTTGTTGAAAAATCTGGAATAATTGGAAGTATTGGATGAATGAGTGGATCAGATTTGGATCGAGTATCAATAGAGAGTGCTGTTAGTAAACTACGTTTCTTGTTGATTTGGACTTTTCTCTTCTTGGCTTCGTGTTCCATTAAGGTAAGTTCCAATCTTTCCTTTAGTTTCGAAATGGCCTTGTAAATGACTGGATAGGGATCTCCTTCAACATTGGTAGAAATTTCCTCCTCGGTCTTTTCTCCATTGATGCTAGAAATAGGTGTATGAATTTCCTCTCCAAATTTAAACTCATAATGATCAGTGTTGTGTTCTCTAAATACTGGTGAATCGGTCAATTGATTCTCCTCAAAGAAAAGCATCAAACTCCGCAATAAATGAATGACATCTTTCAATCGTTTCTCTTCCAATAGCTCTCTACGAACCAGATCCAACATTTTTTCAATGTAAATTTGTTCAGATGTCGCTAATTTTCTATCACATTGAACTGCAAATACTGGAACAGGTTGATTTTTACCTTTCAAGCAAATGGTATCGATAAAGTAGGTCACAACTTGCGGCAGAGAAGTGTCCTGAGAGGATGAAGTTGATGTGGCTTTCAAATTATTGGAAGAAGAGCTAAAGCTCATTTCCTTTCCCAAATCAGCAGATGCCTGAGCAGCGACACTCTCGTGTGTCTTTGGAGTGGCTACTTGAAATTCTACCAAATTCATCATTTTTTGTGAGAGATCAGAGAGAGAAAATTCTCTTTGATCGAGCATGGTTGAAAAATGGTCCTTTGTTTCTCCTCTGAGCTTGTCAATTCCTTTGAAGGTGGAAACACTTCCTTCACCAATCAATATTTTAGTTCCATACATTCTATTGAGAGATTCCAAACGACTTGAAACATTTACACAATCGCCAACAGCAGTAAAGTTCAATCTATCATGAGTTCCAATATTTCCAATCAGTGCGCTGCCAGTATTAACACCAACTCGTGCACTAATTTCTGTTGGAAGTTTCATCTTGTAAATTTCTTCCATTTCCTTGTTTAGTTTTTTCAATCCCTTGACAATTTTGATTGCAGCCTTACAAGCATGTTCTGCATGATGAGTGACTGGTTGATAGGGAGTATTGAACAATGCCATGCAACCGTCTCCAATATATTTGTCAATTATTCCTCCACATTCTTGAACATTTGACGTGACAACTTCAAAATATCTGGAAATAACTAAAAGCAAATTGTGAATTGACAATGACTCACTGATATTTGTAAAATTGGCTAAATCTGTAAATACTATTGTAATTTCAGCGTTAATCATTCCTAGTTTGGCACTTGATGAACCTTCCACAATAAACTTGACAACACTTCTTGGAATGTACTTGATAAAACTCGAGTTGGCTCTTTCTACACTATCCAAACATTTTTGTAAAGTGTGAACCTCATAGAATATCATATTGATGGCTCGTTGTGCCTTGTAAGCTAAACTTTGCTTTGGTTTGTCCCCTTGTCTTAACTTGGAAATGTAATACAATTTTCTAGAGACAAAGAAGAGTGAATAAGAGATGCATGATGTGAGAGCCAGTACAGCCAGTGTACCAATCAAAACAGTAACTACAAGAACAACCAATAGACCAACATAATGGTCAACCAATACATCAGCGAATGAGTAATACGTTCTGCTCACTATAAAATAGAAATCCATGCCACATGCATCAATCAAACGACTCACACTCACAAAAGAAGTTGATGTGTTATACTGCTTGATGGCTACAAATCGATTCAGAATACAGAATTGATCTGGAATGTCTGCAACCTGTGTTGCTTGAAAAGTTTCAGAAGTGCACGGAACAGTTCCATTAAATCTCTTATCTAGTAAATTGTTAGAAACCATTACATTGGAAATCTTTTCAATGAGATCTAGCTTTTCATTGCTCAATCCCCAGAATGATTTCTCCTCCTTTGAAAACTTAGTGGCAGAGGTAAAAGAGGATATGTTCACTCTCGACAAGTTGGAATAAGTGAGTGGAAAGCTATCTTCATTGGAAGTGAGTAAATTTCCATTATTCTCCATCAAAATCATCAAATTATTCGTATAGGAATAGAGTCCTAACAGGTAGGTTTGAATTTTTTTGAAAATCACATGAACACCAATCACTTCCTTGAAGGAGGGTTTGATACTATTCAAATTATTCAAAACTAAACTGGCAGCAATACTTAAATTTCCATTCACATCCACAAATACATTACTCCAAACTGGTTTTCCCTTTTCCAATGATTCAGTGGCAGTGTACCACGGTCTCACTCTCGGATCATATGTTGAATTGTACAAAATCCTAAATACTGTATTACTCTTTTGAAGATAGGGCTCAAAATAATCATTCGTAAGAAACACATAAATATTATTCGAAGCAGGGAATGTCTTATTCTTGAACAGTTCACTAAATTGATCCTGAAAAATGTTCTGAGAAAGGTACAAATATGGACCAGTGCTAGACCTCTCAGCAAATGCAAAATCACCATTATCATTTCCATAATAAACCATAGACAAGGAGTTTGAATAGGTATACAATTTTGGAGCAACAACTGTTGAGAATCGAGTGATTGGCTCGACAAAACTTCCATTTCCTTTCGTATCATTGTAATATTTCGATTGAACTGAAAAGAGCATGGATAATTCTGTACTCGATTTGGTTGCAACATCCAAAAATTGAACCATTTCTTGAACTAGATTCATATTATTGAGTCGAGTTATTTCTTGAACACTTTGTTCTCCACTTTTAAAAGAAATTAGAATATTGAAAATTAATCCAAAAATAAAGTATGATACATGATGACAGTTCAATGAATTGAAATTAATTCCAAAAACATTCTAATAGAAAATCAACTTACGCAGAATATAAAATCACTGAAGTTGCAATAATACAAACTAATGTATGAATAATTACAATGAAGAGTAAAATGTTCGAAATTCTATTCACTGGACAAAGTGTATTATAAATAGCTGTCCAGAAATTAAAGCAACAATCTTTGGTGCCTCCTTTCGAATAACCTCTTCTTTTAAAATCGAATAATTGTTCCAATTCTTTACGATTTTCTTTTACATCCCAAGAATCAGAAGAAGTTTGAAAACTAGAAGTGGAAGGAGATTGTTTCAGTCTCTTTCTAGGTGAAATCAATTTTACATTCGAAAATGCTCGATGTCTGAGAGTTTGTTTAGTCTCACCTTTCGTATTATTTGGACTGACAGTTGTTGAATGATTTGGTGAAGGCATGTTAGTAGAGGAGAAGGAATTATCGGCAAGAGATGAATATTTTCCATTTCTTGTCGATTGGACATTAGTTTGATTAGTTTGATTTGTTTGATGAAGGGGAATTGCAACGGTAGTATTACTATTCGAAACTTCTTTTAATTCGATAGAATTAGACGGATGGGAAGCATCAAATATTGTTGTTGTTGATGGTGTATTGAAAACTATCTGTTGATGATGACGAAAATTATTAGAAACTTGTTGATTTCCTTTCGGATAGAAAATATTAGGTGAAGATTGACTATGTGTTATTGTAGTAGGAGGAGAATTTGATTTTTCAATTGTTGGTGGTGTATTAGATTCTCCATCTTGATGAATAATTATTGGTTTTGTAGACGAAGAAGAATTTCGTTTCGTATCATTTCGAATAGTTTCTTCTTCCTTGTTAGAAGAATTATCATCAGCACAATTAGGTTTATCCTTTGTACCATCACCATTTGAAGGTGTTTCCTCCTTGGTAGATGAATTAATATCCATCAATTAGCACTACAAAATATTTTTTCAGCAGTTTCGAATGGAGCAGTTGTTTTCGAATAGCAAGAAACGTAAAAAATAAATTCCCACTATCCCATTACTTTACAAGAGGTTCAAAGCCTCATAAAAGGGTCCTAAAAGATTAGTTTAGGTACAATCCTTTTTTTCACATCACGAAATGATAGGAATTTGATTGGTGGCATTAATGAAGATAAATATCTGAAATCTTTTTTATTGTAATACAAAAAACCAAGAATTGATCAGCTAACAGCTCTCGAATTACTAGAAGCAACTACAGTTTTTATTCGATTCTGATAAAAGGAACCGAGAAACTGATAATGAACAAGTAAACTTCTATTCACGAACAGACAAATTTCATGATATATAATAACAGAACTCGAGGGACTTATCAAGTTAAAGCATTTCTAATAGTCAATCCAAGCAAGGTCTTAAAATGACAATTATGATTCTATGATATCGTGATTGAGTATTGCTTTTTACAGCCTCACTTTACCATTTATATATCGCGTCATACTTTTATATACCAAGATGCGCACTAAGGTCACTTCTGATTGGTTGACCGCTTTACAATATTCACTAAACAGTAAGGGTTTTTCTTTATCGCTAATTCGCCTACCTTATTGAGAAGATCGCTACGGCAAACGCAAAAATTCAATTTAAAACGCGCCGTGACTCAACAGAATCTCAAAACAACAAAAAAAAAACAACTCAAAACTCAAATATACAAAAATGTCTGCCTCCCAACAAACTATGATTGTCATGATGCTCTTGGCTTGTATCATGTTCTTCTTCGCCACTCCAATTAACGCTCAATATTACGAATCTGAGGTTTATGCTGGTGCTGCTGATAATGGTTTCGTTGCCTTGTTGTTGGTTGCTGTCTTTGCCATCTTTGGATTGGTTTTCTAAAGTGTGTGCTTTCAGATAGCTTTTAATATTCATTGTAAATATAAGCTGAATTCAGAGAGAGAACAATGTTTCACTCTCACTTTCTAATAGAATTCATGTAATTCTTTCCTTTGTAAATAGTACCAACAATAACCATTAGTAGCGCAACAATTTAATCATGGATAATTTGCGAGCCCATGATATGTATTACCAATAAATATAACAATGCAAACTTTCAATCCAAAAATCAATTATTAAAATTGTTGCTTCATATCTGAATTGAGTTTGGACATGAATATAAGCGCTCCTGCTGATTTTCAGGTTGGTAACTGCATCAACCAACAATCATCATTATAATTGTTTTCATCAATTTACACTGTCAAGTCAATAGTGGGAAACCTTTCTCTGGTAAATTGACACTGTTTCATTTGGTAATATATACTGTTAACCACAAGAACCACAAGAGAGAATGCATACCAAGTTTCAATCTTCAAATTGATGAAAAAGAAAATCAGGAAGGGAGTCTCTTCATCTTTTAATTTCGTTGTAAATGAATTCAATTTGTGATTGATAATCAAAAGGATTGAGTTGATATTTTATTAAGATTAAAAACTGTAGATGGCCCTTTAAACTTCACCAATTTCTCTTAGTGGTGACCTAAATAAAACACGTTTAGAATTCTGTTCTAAAAATAGAGACGAAAGGAATTCTAAAAGGCATATTTCTATTGGATACCCAAATCAAACTAGTTTCCCATTCATCAAAAAAATGTCTCAACAATTTAGACAACAATCTGCTACTGAGAATAGATCTTCCAACCTCAAGAACAATCCAACAAGATCAGATCAACAATCCACTCACAAAATTCCAAACTCAATCCTCAGTGATGCCTACAATAACACCAGTTATTCCAATGTCCAAAACGATGTCATGAGTTTTGCTCACAGTTCTTCCAACATTATGTACAGCTCCAACAATCCATCTCATTCTCAAATGGAGAGAAATCTTGCCACTGATAACTACACTCAAGCATCAGTAAATCAGAAAGGAGGTTCCATTGGAAATGCTCTTGGAAAGATGCATCATGAACAATCTAGTTCTGCCACCACCAATGTTATGAGAGAAATGAGAAATTCTGGTGAAGGTTATAATGCTGTGGTTGCTGGTCTTGATAAGAGAACTTTTAATAATCCATCTGAGAAGCAACAAATTGATATTGCAAGAAGAAACTTGAATAAGTAATGAGATGTAATCATTTCTCTATTGAGTGAAATAAAGTGTCAAGTTTATTAATTTAGAATGTGGATAATGCATTTCGAATAGATCTGTTTCCATCTCTGTAATTATTGGTTACTGGATAATGGATGACCATGTTCATGTTATGAAATACAGTAGTTTTCATCACGTTTCTATGGATGTTTGACACTTTAGAATATTATTGAACAGTTCTCTAAAGAGAAAGTTGTTGCTATTTAATTTGCCGAAACGATCCATTGTAATAAAATTGTCGTTAATTTTCAACTCGAAACCAAAGAACCGTCCGTGTGCTACTGGCACAATGGTAAACACCTTAAGCAGCCTTGTCAATTATAATTTTCTATTCGAAACTGTTAATAAACCATTCAACTAATTGTAAACGTTAAATAGTTACAGTATTGACTGCTAATTTTTATCCATACGGACCAGATGTGGTCTTGTCAACCTAAACTAAACCATGAAAAATGATAGTTGACCAATGAGAAGTAAATTCCCTATTGTACAACAACTTCCAAAAAGGTCAAGTTTAGAATAAAAAATCCCAGTCAGTTTTGTGCTCAGCACAAGCCAACCATTTAAAAAAGTGTCAAAACATCTTGCTAGTTAGCCCAAAGGTTGGAAGAAACAGTTTCGAATAATGTAGGTTTCTAATAGTTTTAAAGACGAGTTTCGTTAATTTCTTATTGCTTTTCTTCATCATTCGCAAATTAATATTAACACTAATCACGAAAAATGGATAAGTTACTTCCAAGGAAAGTTGAAAACCAACACAAAAAAGAATCAACCTGACACAATCTTGTGGATCCGATCCATTCTTTCATCGGTGGTGCCAACTGTCAATTCAAAAAACAAAATCATCAATTAGTAGCTTTAACATTTGCAATTTTTCCTCCACAACATTCTGTAGATAATTCAAAAGAACAAACGAAGTGAAAAAGATAGCAACTGGTAACCACTTCGATATTTTCATATTCTTGCTCAAAATCACGCACAGTTTCTTCCACCGTAATTTTGACGACAGTATAATTTCCCAACAAGCTTGAAATATATCATTGGCCAAATTTAAAATTCCTTTTCGCTCCAAATATTGAAAACATTACCTTCCATTGTGTGTGAATATTTGCGAAGAAGAAGAAGATTTTCATAATAATATTCAAATAATTAATAATAATATATAATATATATTGAACAATGACCGGAGCAACAGCCATTCTAGAGAATTCCATCATCACCACCACAACTAATGATGATGAAAATATTAATACTAATAATAATACAATTAATGATGATAAAACAATAACAACAGCAACAACTAATGAAACCTCCACCACATCCAACCAATAATAATGATAATAATAATACTGCTAATAATAATAATAATAATACATTATATGGAGTGAATATAGAAGCCCTGGGAGCAGTCGAAGAGGAAGAAGAGGATGATGAAGACGAACATACCAACATTTCCACATCTACTTCCAATAATAACACCATCACCACATCTACATCTAATGGAAAGAATAGCAATACCAAAACCTCCTCAACTCCAAATACTACTACATCCACTCCAACTCAGAAAACTCACACATCTTCATTTGCTTCCAAACTTTTCAATCGTTTCAGAACCAATTCTTCACATGATAAAAACAATTCAACATCATCATCGACAACAACATCAGCAGGAGCACAAAATGGTAGTGAAGATGGTCAAGCTACACCAACCATTGAAACTAAAATAGATGCAGATGAAAAGAGATATAAGGAAACACCAATGATCTTTTCACTGCCAACTAAGAAATCATCAGGTTCTGCAGAGAGAGGATTGTCAACTGTTGCCTCCTCTTCACACATTTCAAAAACTGGCAAGTTGCCATCTCAACAACAATTATTCGTTGAAACCAATTTGGAAGATTATTTATTCTCATTCCAGGGAATTTTCACAGATAGAACCATGTTTCGTGCCTTTTACAGATATTTGGAAACTGAACACAATACAGAACCTTTGGAATTTATTACTCGAGTGAATGAATTGGAATTTACCTATTACAAAATGATGAAAATGGTCAAGGATATTCAAACTGCTAATGCTAATTTGGCTCTTGAAGGTGGTTCTGCTGCATCTTCCTTGTCAAATTCTGGATCTGGCTCATCAGCCACTTTTTCACATTTTAAAACTCCATTCTCTGATTTACCAAAGATGATGCTCATGATGACTCAAAATGATAAGACTAAATCACCATCCAAATCTGAATCTGAACCAACTACACCAAGAAAAGCAGCCAAGAAACAATTATCATTCTTTGGATTGGGTAAAAAGCCAAAGGTGGATGAAACTAAAGCAAATACACCACAAACTAATAGTACTCCAACTACCAATGATGCAGAAGATGACGAATCTGAAAAGTCTAATAGATTTAGTTTGAGACTTTCCATTTTGAAAAAGAAGAAGGATCAAAATGCAACTGCAAGCAATCCAAATAGCAATACAAATAGTAATGTCAATACTCCACATTCAAATCCAACCTCTCCATCTGAAAAGAAAGAAACCACCTTGATGGACATGATTTTGAAGGATGTGCCAACTGTAAAGGCAACTGAAACTGATGCTGAGGTGGTCACAATCAAAACAACTGAACACTTCACCAATGAACATGCAACAAATGGCACTTCTGGTACTGTAGGAGAACCTGGTATTTCTCTTACCACACCAACTCCAAGAGCATTACCAAAATTAAACTTGGGACTCGTTGAAAAGAGTGAAAGTGGTGAAAGTGAAGATAGTACCCCAGTTGGTGCTTCAAGTAATAGTGGACAAGAAGACAATGGCATGAAGAGTCTCTTGACAGTTCTCACTGAAAAGAAGGAAAAGAAGAAGGAAGAATTGAGGAATGGAGTTGCATCACCTGAGGATGATCCAACTTCTGAACGTTCTGATATTTCAGGTAGCTCATCAAGAACATCTGGAGATAGACCAAGATCTCTCCAACACGCATTCCTTACACTTCCACCAAATACTCCACGTTCCAAATATGATCAAGTTCTCAAAGTTTACAGAAAGCAAATCATGTTAGCAATTCAAATTATGAAAGATTTTATTGAGGAAGATTCAAAGAAGGAAATTAACATTTCCTCTCGTGACAAACGTACCTTTGTTGGACTCTTCCAAGAATCAAAACAATATCAGGAATTTGATGAATGGTTGTTGCCACAACCTCCACACTTGTTGTTCCGTACAATGAAGAATTCTGTCATGTATGAATTGGAAAATGACAGTTTCCCTAGGTTTGTGAGAAGTGATGTGTGGTTTAAGAAATTACAACACAAAGGTTTGAGTTATTTGACCAAAGTTGGACGTCTCAAGGAAGCCACTTACTATCCATACGGAGATGAAGACTTTAAATTACCATTTGTCTTTGACAGGGACATTGAATTTATGGAATACTTGGCAAGAGATGATTATCAATGGAAATTATTGGGATCCAAGAAGGAAGGAGCTATCAATGTATATAAATTATCAGAAAAGGTACTCTTCCCTAACGTTGGATTCTATCAGAAAATGCAAATTAACAAGTGGACAGGTATTTTACCATTTCCTTTTGACGCTGTCAAGAAATGTTGCATGCCAGGATTGCAAGTTCACAAATACGATCCAAATATTACCTCCTGTGAAGAATTATCATTCTATGATTTTGAAACTTTGAAAAAGATGTATCCAAATGAGAAATTCAAGAGAGGTCCTAGGTCATGTGGTGTTATCAGATACGGAGTTGGTTTCCCATTCCCATTCACAACAAAGAGAAGTTTCTTGAGTGTTTGTACAGCTTACTATGATAAGAATGAAGAAAAATTAACACTCCTCTACAAACCATGCGAACACGAAAGATTTTACATGGATGGCAAGGGCGTCAATGAAGGAAAGAAGCTCATTGATATCAGAGATTTCCAATACTATTCCATTAAGAAACTTGACTCTTATAGAACTAATATTACTCAAATTCACTTGTTGGATGTTGGTGGAAATGCCAGATTTGCCATCAACTTGTTGAGAATGGATCGTGCCAAGGGTATGATGAAAGGTTTCAATGATTATATTCGAAAGAACATTAACAGCATTCCAGTTATTCCAGAAGAAGATCCTGTTTGGAAACATGTCATTTCCTGCATGGGCAAGGAAGCTGCCGAAAGAGTCGACATGTCAGCAACTCTCTACAATGACTTGAAAATGGGTAGAAATATCAGAAACAAGAGTCTTGCAGCAACCATCAAGAAACACAAGAGAGAAAAGAAAAAGAAGGAAAAGAAACTCAAAAAACAATTGGAAAAGCAACAACAATTGGAGAAACAACAATTGGGAACCGATTTACCACCAACTTCTCCACTTTCCAGCACAATTTCTTCATGTTCTGATGATACCAGTAAGATGCTTTCCAGACAAAACAGTACAGCCAGCTTTGGACAATCATTTATTTCACCAGAGGCAATCTTGGAGGAAGAAGATGCCATGTTAACATTGTTCGATGCGGATATGGAAAACTTTACAATGACTGGAACAACTGATAATGATGCCAGTGATGAAGAATTTGATGATGACGATGAGGAAGATGATGAAGATTTGTAAATTTATGCATCTCTACTTTTGTGCTTTTGTAATTTAGTGCATTTCTTTTGTTAAATATTTAAATAAAATTGTAAAAACTTGAAAAAATATTTACAATTTAAAAAAAAATGACAAACAAGAAGAGAAAACACGAAACATCACAAAATATCGATCAAGATGGTGATGAGAAAATGGTGACTGATATCGAGTCGGTTCTGTTTGATGAGATGACATCTGTCAATAGTCAATTAATTTCATTGGCAAGCAAAGTTAAATTGGTTGATAATCGTTACTTTGTGAACAACAGCGGTATGATCGATGAATTTATTGAAAATATACACGAATTTTTAAAACAAGTCGATATTCATAGACGAAAGGTTTCGTCCGAACAATTAAATTCGGATAACTTGTTTCATATTTACCAATTTTTAGATTTGAAAAACCTTGTTCATTGCTGTCAATTAGTTTGTAAATCATGGAAACAAACTCTAAATCGAGTAAATTTCACTGTAAAAGTTGACAAGTCAAAAACAATGATTGGTCAATTGGTAAAGAGTTCACTAATTACAAATGTAACATCATTGAGAATGCAACATCCAACTTCTGACATGTTTAAATCACTTTCTAGTTGTAAAAAATTGCAGAATTTGAAAACTTTGGATTTGAATTACTCACGGTTGGGGAAAACAGCTGTTAAATATTTGGCGAAATGTCAAATGCCAAATTTAACAGAACTCAAGTTGAATAATGCTAGTAATTTTACAGAAATTGAGGCAAAGGAACTGTTTCATAGCAGTTCATTACTGTCAAATATCAAGAAATTGGAGATTCAACATGAAATGTCAAAAGAATTTATTGAAATTCTTTCAAATTCAAAATATTTAAAGAATCTTTCACATTTAAATTTGAAATCACTCAAAATGGAAACTGGAAATTATGGACTTGATTTGTGTTTGAAAGATAAGAATGATTTGGAACGTTTGGAAATTAGACGTTTCAATCTGACAAATTATCCAAAATTACTGACAGATGGCAGCTTTATGAATCTTACTTTCCTAGATATTGCTCACTGCTCTATTTCTAATAGGGAATTAGGTGATTTGTTAGTTTCTCCAAATTTGCCTAAACTTGCCACTCTTCATGCAAGCTGTTCAAGCACAGACAATTCAATTATTGAACTACCTACAGATATTCACACGAGATCATCACTCACAGATTTGAATTTTTCCAATATTGCATCATTTCCTTCATTGGCCAATTATTGCACAAATCTTTTAAAACTAACAATCATAATACCTTCAATAGAGAAGAAATCAAGCAATGCCTTAATTGACCTAATAAGTTCACCAAATTTATCCAATTTGAAACGATTAGACATTTCATGCTGGGATGAGATATTTGAAATACTATTCACAAGTCCAAATTTTACTAAATTGGAGGAATTACATTCTTATCCAACTGACTTTAGGAATACTGAAGAACTATTGACTACAGAACTTATTTTGAATTGTAAAACTCTAATCAATTTGAGATTGTTTCAATGGTATGGAATGCGACAAGTTACCTCTGAAGAAGGTGAAGAAGCTTTCTTTAAAAATCCCACATTTTCCAAGTTGAATTTTGATTATCAAGAATTTAACTAGTTAACAACCTTAACCTTAATTCCAATTTAAATACCAAACAATTCCAATTCATAATTCATATGAATTCATATTCTTGTTTTCAAATAACTCAGAATCAAAAAATTTATTCATCATATTCCTCATCTTCCAAATTATCAGACAATAAAATAATCTTCTTCTTCTTCTCACTTGCATCTCCAGTACTACTACCACCACTAGTTGTTGATGAAGAAACAACTTGATAACTTGCCAAACAATATGGAGGATCAACTGTTCCTTGCATGTAACCTGGCAATCCTTTGGCAGCTGAAGATTTTGAGATTGCAACTGCAGCTCCAATTAATGACTTTTGAACTTTGAATTCTTCCTTCATGGTATAGGAATTGGTCTTGGCACCACTTGGAGTGACTGATGACTTGGTGACAGGTGCATTTTTAACTTGAATTCCAATAAATGGTTGTAAATGAGCTGACATGTCAGGTCCACCAAATTCTCTCAAGAAATTTCCCCAAACAAAATCAACAAAATAGATGGAAGTGTCAGTTTTTCCATATCCACCATAAGATCTGTCATAATATGAGAGAGCTCTGTAAGGATCATTTCTCATTGACAAAATGTCACGTGGCAATTGTTGAATAAACATGCCAGTTGTCAAATTTTTACCATATTCATCCTTTGGATAGGCATATCCCTTACCAAACATACTATTCCAAAAAGCTTCATTAGCAGATGTAAAATTATTAGAAACGTCATTGACAACTTGAGCAATGACATATCTATTTTTGGCAGAATGAAAAGTTGGAAAATCAGTCTTATCAAAACTAGCTGAATACATGGAAACAATCAAATGATGATGATCTACCACATATAATCCCAATCCACTGCCATCTGTCAAAGGTCCCTTGACAACTGGCACTGGATTTTTATATAAATATTTTTCAATTAATTTCTTTTCGGAGGAATATTCATTTTCTAATTTTTGAATTTTACAGTAAATTTCACCCAAACCAACTGGAATTTGTGTTGGATTTGCTGATAAAAGTGGTAAAGTGCAGAAATCACCATTTTTGGAAGAATGTGAACATGGTTGAAGAGAATCAGTGACACTTGTTGGTAGGGAAGGTTTACCACACAGAATAAATGATGACAATGTCAAAATTAAGAGACAACAAACAATGTGTCTTGTCATTTTTTTTGATGGGAGTTTTTGGCAGGTGACACTCCGCTGAATATTAAAAAATAATAATCAAAAAAATTCCACTTTTTAATTAAAAATAATTGCAACCAGTGCAAATAACAAACAAATCAAAACCCATGATGTCTTGATTACTGACATGTCATTCATTCTAGCTTCATATGCCAATTCATCAGCACATGTTCCATTTTGACTTTTACATGCACTATTTTCACACAATGATTGAATAATCTCAAATTTAGCAATACATGAAGCATTTTCAGTTGAAGGATTATAAAAATCTGGACGAAACTCGATATAGAAATCGCAACCACCATCCAAAATGTCAAATTGAGTGAGTTCAGTTGGATATTTGTAGGAAGTGCTTGGTCGATCAGTTCTTGGTTTGGCGCCAATTCTACTCTTGACAATTAGACAACTGGTATTGAGCGAGGAAGTGTCAAAAGTCAAAAAGTATGGTTGAGTGGCAATTTGTGAAAATTTAAGGAATGCTCTCTTGGAGTTATCACCACCGATTGGTACTCTTGGAACTCTAATTTCAATGGCTTCTTCATTGTTGAGTAAATCAAGAGCACTGACAGTTGTGACAGATTCGTTTGACATCATGACCCAATCGAAAACCAATGATTTGTGACCGTCGTGTGCTAATGTGAAGGAGAGGAGGGAGATGAGAAGAAGGAGAATAGTGAAAAGTTGTTGTTTCATTTTTTTTTAACAATGACAGTTGAATGTCACTTGACAGGTAATACTAGAGAGAATCCTTTTGATCTGGGAAAATCACTTAGTAAAAACGATTGGTGATTTTGTTCAAGTTTCCAGTTTAAGAGTGTTTGTAAAGTTTGTTAAAAAAATTGTCATTTGACATTTTCAATAATACAACTGTAAAGTGAAATTGTAATAAGAAAAGATAATGGGCTATTGAAACGAAAGGTTTAGTTTGACGTCTGTCATTTTGAAAAATAAGAATCTATACCATATTATCAATTTAATTAAAAATCCAACTGAGAGATTCGTATACAAAAAAATCCTTAAACGAAATTTTTTCTTTCCAAAATCTTTAAATACAATTTTGAAAAATCATTTCAAGTTTATTCTCCCTTGTTTGAATTTACTAATGTCACGAAATGTCATTTGGTAGGGTTGACTGTCTATTCTGGTGATTTAAACAGACATCTCTTATTGGAGATAACACTACTTTGTGTTTATTAGAAAGTTGTTAGCATTGTTTTCGTATAATTCAATCACCATTCGAAAGTTATTATTTCATTGAAAACAAAATGGCTCCAAGTCCTTTCAGTAATAGTAGCACCTACCACAACAGAAGAACAAAACTCCAACTCGAATGTGTTCAAACAATAGGAGGATTAGTTTCGGATATCAGTGACGAATCTCAATACAGAAAGAAAGTTCCAGGATTTCCAGTTGATATTAAACTATCTCACAATCATTCCTGTATCCTAATTGCTGACTTTTACAATAATTCTATCAATGTCCTCGATATCCACACAAAGGCCTTTAAACTTGCCATTAAAGTTCCAATTTCTCCAATCTTGAGAATTCTCATTGAGGAGAATTACGAATCGAATAAGGATGCCCTAATTGTCTCTTCCAATGATGAAATGATTAAATATGATCTTGCCAATCTCATTGAAGCAGCCACGTACAATCAATATGCTGATTGTTTGTGGAGATTGTACGCAAGTTGTGAATTTAAGGGAATGTCACTTGTTAAGGAAAAGGATGGAAATAAGATTTACGTTTGTGGGTCTCCAAAGAATTGCATTGGAAAAGTAGATAGCCTGACAGGGTTGATGAACGATGATGATGATGATGTACTTCCAGTCATTTCATGTTTCCAACCAGTTATTGATCCAAAAGATGGTTCAATGATTGTTGGTATTCGAAACAATTTCCCAACCAACTTGTTTCAAATCTATTCTCAGAATGAACGTGGTGTATGGTCATGTGTGAAATCCATTGCAAAGGAAGGATTATTTTCTTATCCACAAGATGAAGACATTTCCTTTTCATTTCTTCTCGACCAGACGAATCAATACATTCTCTTAAATAAGGAAGGACATGGTCTGTTGATGATTAGTGTGGAGAGTGGCGCCATTGTCAAATCATTTGAGAATAGAAAGGAGGGTGCCAATGTTGGTGGAATGTGTTTCAATTCAATTAGTGGTGAATTATTTGTTTGTGATGCTCAATATGGTGTTGTGAGAGTTTTCAAATAAGCAATTTCTAGACATTGTAAGGCAATCATGATGATTCACAGTTCCAATACTAAATACTAACCAACAGTTAAATTCTGTTAAAGTCCTCAAGAAAAAGTTGGTTCAAATCAAATTGACCAAATATGAAAAGGTTCCATTTTTGAACTTCAAATAATTGGACTAAAGAAAGATAATAAACAGTTAATTCAAATAATTCAAAAGAATGCATCAAACTGATCATCATCATTCTACTGCTACATCATCATCTGGCAGTTTTAAAGTATTCTACAGTGATTTGGACTTGTGGGCTCTCACAGTTGACCAATTAAAACAACACATGAAAGATTTGGGAATTTATCATGGTTGTTCCCATTTGAGAAAGGAAGAATTAATTGAAAAGATTAAAGAATTCAATCATTTGGTGGAGGAACATCATCATGATCATCATGGAGAGAAGAGAAAACACAATGATTCCGAATTAAAGAAGGAAGAAAGTCCAAAGAAGGAGAAGGTGAGTGATGATATTCTGGAGGAGGATTTGTTGCATCCACATTCATTCAGTTCCTTGTCCATTTCAAAAAAGGAAGAACCAGCTGAGGTTGCAGCAACCACTCATCATCACATTAGCTCTCACAAATCTAAAGAACATAGAAAGAGAAGATTTGTTTCCAGTTGTCCAATTAAAACTCAAGAAAGAATTGAAAGAGCTCTCACTCAAAAGTAGGTTGTTCCAATAATTTCACAATTAATTCAATAATGATATGAAATACTACTATTTAACACATATCACGTAGATTATTCCTCATAGAAAGAAAGGTAAATAGTGCTCATGAGCAGACATTTGTCGTGATGGGAACAACAGGTAATGTCTATGATGTTGTTATTGGTGAAGAACCTTCGTGTAATTGTCCTGATGCAGAGAATGGTAATCTGTGTAAACATGTTGTAAGTACTTTCTCCTCTCTAATTAATTATCTATTCGTTGTTAATCGTGATGTAAATATATATTGTTAATTATTATTATTATGTTGTGTAAATTAAGTTATTCGTTCTGTTGAAGGTACTACGTATAGAAGAGTCTTCCTATCTCATCTATCAACATGCCTTGCTACCATCAGAATTAGAGGAAATATTCAAGAAGGCTCCAGCTAATAATTCAATGGCAAATTCACAAGCCATAGCCACCTACAAACATCTAAAAGGAGAAGAGGAGAGAAATCCCTTCATCACTTCCAATTGTCCTATTTGTTGTGATGGATTTTCTCAACTTGATGAACAGAAGGAGGCAGGATATTGTCATTGTTGTGGAGTAAATGTTCATGCGGATTGTTTAAAGGCATGGAAAGGCTTTAATAAGGAGTATCCGTGTCCCATCTGTAAAGCTAGCAAGATGGGAGAAGGAGGAGGTGTTGCTGCTGCTTCTCATCATCACTCCAACAACAATCAAGCCAAGATGAATGAAGGCTATTTAAATTTATCTGAATTTCAGCCTGAAATTACAACTACAGAGAGGGAGTATGTTCATTCTAGTCGATGGAATCAACGGTACGGATACAATGATGATGAAAGTTCTTCCAATCAAGAAGATGATGAGTATTAATGTGAGTGAATAATATTGAAATTTTTATTTTGTTTTTTTGCACGGGTGGCCGACTCCAGCGATTTTTTTTAGAAGTCTCCTTCAGGCCAAACAAGCTGATTATTTTTAGAACATGAAAAATATTGGTTAATAAAAGTATTTTCAAATTTTAGCTTAGAATTAAATGTTTTTCCCTATCTAGTTTTTTATTACAACACGTTATACATGGTCGTATACGTGAAAATTCTCTAAACACTATTTAGCAACTTTTGTCGTCAGTTTTTTTAATTTACTTATGAAAACACTAACATATTTTGGAAAAAATGTTTTGTTGAGCTCTATCTTGTTGATAATCTGATATCAACCAACTAAAATGATAAAATATTATACATACAATGTCTATAAGGTGATGTTAAAATATCATCAATTTAAAATAAAGTATGATCTATTAATGCGATTGTCAATTGACACCTATTATTATTTTATAACTAGTCTTTTATTTGTTGGAATGAATTAATGAAAATTGAAATTTAAGTACATTAATACACAATTTATATTATTGATTCATATTATTTGATGAATTTCTGTATTCATTATGATAATACCATATTAATCCATTTTAAAAAATTCTAAAAATGGGAATTTATTTATAACTCGTCAAAAACAATACAAAAATTAATAAAAGTTTTCCAAAATTATTTTTTAGCGTGATAACTCATACTGTGAAAATATGGTATCATGTACCTATGTATTTCTCTGGAAGTCAACTTGGCCCACGTTTTCCCAGTGCTGATTTCAGGCCAAAAGGGATATGCGTCGGCCACCCGTGTTTTTTTGATGGATGAAATTTTTCTTTGCTTTTTCATTTTTTAATTGTTGTTGGGCGGGAAATGTTTACTGTAAATAATTGATAAGAATTTTTCAAAATATTAATTTTATATTATAATATACAATTTATTCACTTGCTTTGGAATAGGTTTCCTCGTAGCCATCACTGGTAATTTGTCTGTTATTCTTCTTCAAGCTCAATAATTTCAAAAACATTCTGCTGACGAATCTCACTAAAAAGCCATATGGAATACTGATGAAACCAATGGAAATAGTTATGGCCCATTGATACCAATTCAATGGAATGGTCTGGGTAAAATTGGAGGCAGTCAAACCATCATTCTTACCCAAACCAATAAGAATTGGATCATAATAGGCAAAGTTAATGATGGCAATTTGTAAAATGAAAATCATTATGGTGATACCAATAAACCAGAAACTCTTGAAAACTCCTCTGAAAATATCATACTCAAAATTAATCTTTCTTGCGTTGAATTGATTGAAAACTTGACAAAATACGAAAGCATTAAAAATGATGGTTCTCATTTCAGCATCATTTCTGGCTAAGCTGAATGAAAGTCCTCTGAATGAGGTTGCTCCATAGAAGAGTGTGAACATGACAGTGAGCTGGAAGATTGATTCAGCAGCAATGAAGGTCCACATTCTCATTGTAATGAGGGAATCCTTTCTTCCGTGAGGTTTTCTGTCTAAAAGTTCTGGAATTGGAGGTTCTGTGGCAAGGGCGAGAGCTGCAAACGTGTCCATGATCAAGTTGATCCACAACATTTGTACAGGACTCAAAGGTGGCCTATAGGAAGAATTATGTTGGAAAGCAGACGAAACAGCAGAAACAATTGTTAAAATCAAAGCAACCACGTTGACTGTCAATTGGAAAACTAAAAACTTTCTGATATTCTCGTAAATGGAACGACCCCACAACACACTCTTAACAATGGATGAGAAGTTATCGTCCAAAATAATGATATCAGAAGCTTCCTTAGCAACCTGGGTTCCACTAAGACCCATACTCAATCCAACATCGGCTTCTTTAAGAGCTGGAGCATCATTGGTACCATCTCCAGTCACAGCAACAACGTTACCCTTCTTTCTCAAATGCTTTACAAGAATAAACTTGTCAGTTGGTGAGGAACGAGCCATAACTTGTAATTTTGGAAGAATCTCATCAATTTGCTCTGGAGTCATCTTTCTGAATGTTGGGCCTTCAATAGCAATACCATCCTTCGACAAGATACCACACTCTCTGGCAATATACTTGGCTGTCAAGATATTGTCACCTGTAATCATACGGACAGTGATACCTGATTTCTTACATTGTTCAATAGCTGCTGGTACTTCAGGTCTCAATGGATCCTTAATGCCTACAATACCAATACATACTAAATCTTGTTCCAAGGTAACTGGATCAATATTTTCTAAATAATTTTCTTCATCAGCTCGTGATGAGAATTCAACTTCTGGATTGACATCTCTGTAGGCCAAGCAAATTGTTCTCAAACCTTGATTAGCCATATCTTCAATACATTTCATCATTTCAGCTTCCTTTTCAGAATCCATCTTTCTCAATGAACCATCACTAGCCATGTGATAGGAGCACAATTTGAGGACAATTTCAGAAGCACCCTTTGTGAAGAGACGATATCTGGTTTCTCCCTCAGAGTTTGTAACGATGGTACTCATACGCTTCAAGTTGGAATTGAATGGAAGTTGGAGGTGAGAGCCTCTTTCTTCACTTAGCAATTCATTTCTTCTATCTTTGTAACTGTCAATGGTCTGATTCAAATGTTTGACAAGTAAAAGTAAAAGAGCAGCTTCAGTCTTACTTCCTTGAGTGGCATACTCCTTATTCTTATTATTGTCATCACCCTTGACCAAGTTTGCCTTTGAATTGGCAACAATACCATCAATGATTACTTGCAACAGTGGTGATTTCAATGTCAACAGTATTGAGCTCAATTGCTCACCAAAGAATCGATCTCCAAAATAAGCTTGGGTAACTCTCATCTGATTCAAAGTAAGTGTACCAGTCTTGTCAGAACAAATATTGTTAGCACCACCCATAGTCTCACAAGCTGCCAAGTGTCTAACTAAATTCTGATCTTTCATCATTTTACGAACAGAGTAAGCAAGAGCAATTGTGACAGCAAGTGGTAAACCTTCAGGGACAGCAACGACGACAATAGTCAAAGCAATAATAAAGTACTTGACCACATCAACTACATTCTTTTCTTGCCAAGTTTCTTCAAATGTTGATGAGGCCTCAACCCAAGTTGAAGTGTACATCAATTTCTTAATCCAAAAGGCCAAAATCAAAATGGTAACAGTACCAATCGCAAATGCAGTACCAACTTTACCAATATTGATGGCGAGCTTATCTAATTTGGCTTCGAGAGGAGTTTCTCTTTGTTCTTCATTGGCTTCTTTCAAACTTTGCAAGGTTCTTCCCCATTCACTTCCAACACCAACACCTGTAACAAGCATCTTTCCAGAACCTTCAGCAACTGTACAACCACTCAATAAGAAAATTAATTCTGTTGTATTCTTCTTAATCAAATCTGGTTCTCCTGTCATGACAGATTCGTCTGTTTTCAAATGGTTTGATTCAATACAGAGCCCATCAGCTGGAATACCATCTCCTTGTTCAATTTCAACAATATCTCCAACTCTGATATCATCAGTGAGAACGCTAAAATTTTCCCCATCTCTAATAACCTTAACCATTACCTTTTTGGATTCTCTTGACAAGTTTTTAAACTTTTTCTCTTTCGAATAGTCGTTGGCGGTTGTAACCACACAAACAATAGCTACAGCTATATAAATTGCAAACGAATCAATCCAACCAATTGGTCTTTCCTCTTCAGATTCAGGAAATGCCAATCCCAACACCATCGAAATGAAGGCGAATATCATTAAAATAATGTGAGTTTCGTCTGATAGAGCCTCAAAGAATATTTTGAAGAGACCTTTAGCCGGCGGTTCAGGATACACATTAAGACCATACAGATTCGTCCTCTCATCATAACTTTGATAATTCGACTTCCAGGCAATCCCCCTCTTTGCATCAGTTTTCAAATCTCTCATCAAACCAGACATTCCACCCATCTTTTGCAACCCTTTCAAATCCTTATTCTGATGCATCTCTGACAATTCATCTGCCGTTAATGTAAACGGTCCTTTCGGGTGATGATGTTGACTATCAACATGTTCATCCTTCGAATCGCCGTGATGAGCCAATTCCTGTGCCTTATGATCATTACTTTCTGTGGTCATCGCGTTATTATTGTTGTTGGTTGACTCGCCACTACTTCCCTTCTTTATGAAAAGCACTTCATTGCCGTGCTGATATTCAACGCTGCTCATTTCTTCGAAGAAATTTGGAATCGCGAGTTTTTTTTTGAGTTGCTGAATTGAAAATAATTGTAGAGATTGGATAGAGGGAAATGGCGCGAAAAAAAAATAGTGTTGGTTTGATGGTTGGCAGGTGAGATGGGATTTGTTATGAGGAGGAGGAATTAAGATGTACTTGGTGATGGTGGTTGATGGTTGGATTTTTTACGTTTTGAGACATTTACTGGTGGTTTTTTGACACTTGTCAGATGACATTAAGGAGGAAAAGGCGCCAAAATAGTTTTCATTCTATTACAGGAGATAGGACCTTCCTAATACTGATACGTTATTAGATCATAAAGAGATAACACTTTGAGAATCAACTTTAGTTTACTTTCGTCCACTTTATTTACCTTTATTTCATACAAAAACAAGAACCTAATCTCGAAACAAATCCGCTCTCCCTACTCTTCTCAAACATCTGCCTCGATGTCTTGAATATAAACCCAACAGCTTGATCTTCTGTCATGTTATTGAGCTCCATCTTTGAAACTGTCACTAATAATTCTTTCATAAAATCAGCAAAGAAATGATCTGACGTTTCCAAGTTAACTGTGTTCATGGCCCATCCCTTGAATTGTCTATCACGATCACATAAATCTGTTTCCATTTTGACACATTTCACATCGAAATGTCTCGAATCTTTCTTAATCTTTTCGAATAGATTTGAAACTAATTCTTTTTCACCTTCTAATACTTGATAGAAAATTCCTTCTTTACAATAGAGAAGGAGACCAGTTACGTTGATACTGGAATTGAATCGAGTTGCAGTGGTTGCAATCTTGTCAAGCTCTGTAGAATTGAAATTTTTCTTACATTTGGAAATGTAGGTCAATCGAATAATCTTATTCGAAAGGTGGTCGAGATTTGAGGTAGAAGTGCTTGCGAGGTGAGTTTTTCTTGGAGTGAGAAGTTCCTTCATTTCCATCTTGTTTAGTTTCTTCACTTTCCTATATTGGTCATCAATGTTAATTTCGTATAAATCCAAAAATTCGTCCAAAGTTTCCAATAAACCACACGAATCATTCACCTCATTCATTGAACTCCTGTCCATCTCTTTCAATATCTTATTCAACGAATGGAATAATTTCTTTCCTCTCCTCAGTTGAAATTGCTGAACTAATTTTTCACTCATATTCACATCCATATAATTGACCAAAGTATATCGTGAGAATTCATCAGAAATTGGTTGAATAATCCAACCACCGACAAGATAAGATCTGACACTTCCTTCTTTTGGTTTGGCAAGTGGATGGTTGACAGATTTGATGAGAATGAAATAACGTTGAGTGGATTTTTCATAGACATCTGTTTGACTGGTGAGGAAATCTCTTCCAGAAAGTGGCCAGTTGAAAGGATAATTTTGTAGAATGATAGAGGAGGAGAATTGAACAGTTTCGTCCAATTCGAATAATGATTCAGGAAGAGAATTGCTTTGAATTTGAGAATTTACAAAATCAATGCATTCACAAACAGCTAAATTATTATCATAAGTGGCCATAAAGTGAGAATCTGTCAGAGCTTTCAATACTTTCTCAGTTGAGTGATTAATGACACCTGTACATTTGTAAATATGTTGTGAATTTGGATTTCTATATTCGGAAGTTTCTGGTCTAATCATGCAATGAGTTTCAGATGAAACAAATGTTGCAAAACAACTCTTTTTAAAGTATTCTTGCTCTAATAGAGTCCAATCAGAACTATCTATTGATAAAGAGCTTAAAAATTTGACATCTTGACCATTGACATTTAGAGATTCACAATCAGCTCTGTAAAATTTCCAAAAATCTTCAATAGAAACGTTGCCAGATTGACGACACTGTCTTCTCTCATAACCAATCTCTCCCAGAGTTTCTCTCGATGCCTTCTTACAAAATGTCAGAAATCTGTCACTTCTCAAAAAAAGTGGAAACACGTCTTCTTTGAGTTGTCTCTTAACTGTCACTAATGCTTCATCAAAAATGTTAATTGGATCGACCATTATGAAGGTAGAAGTCTCATTCATCGAAGAAAAGCTCTTTTGCTTATTTGTTGAAGTTTCTGATTGTTCATCACTTTCGGTTTCTTTCTTATTGAGCGTTTGCTTACTATTCGAAAAATATTGCAACTCAACTTCACTTCTTTGTGGGTTATTACCTAATAATCTCTTCACCCTCTCAAGTACCTGATTTCTCTCTCTTTTTCCAATGTTAATTTCATGCGCGGAGCCAACAAAAATAACATTCTCCACAATATTCTAAGCAAGTTTCGTCTGATGTTCAGTCAGAGCTTGTCCTTCGAATGATTTAAATTCGAGAACTTTCTCATAGAAGAGGATAGCTTCTGGGGAATGTAAACTCTTCATTAGAAATTCTTTGAATAATTTCAATGTTCTTTGGTTGAGCATGACCTTGTCAAAGACAAATTGAAATTGAAAAGTGGTAGCATTTTGGTCAATGGATGAAGACGTTGTGGTATTGTTGGTGGTAGAGTTATTCTTGTGAGTCATGTTTTGTTTTTTTAGGTCAATTTTTCAGATAGTTTCGAATAACTTTATTGTTGGGCAGGTTTTTAAAATTTGCCTTTTTAGTAATTTGTTTGCCTGTCATTTCAATGCTCCTGAAAAATTGAGATTAATTGTGTCATCAAATCCATAAAAATCCTTGTTCTGTAAAAGTTTCGGCCACTTTCAGTTTCTAATTTGGTAAAATTTGGTTTTTCACATGACAAGTTTTCAAATTCATGTTCTCATACCTTATTTCTAGCACCATTGGTTCATTTAAAGTGATATTGGTAACCCAGATTCGAATAGTTTTATATTCGAAATGCATCCATTATTAAATGAGTAGATTCGGTAGAGAAAGTTATTTATTCTTGGTTAGCAGAAAGGAATTAGAGTCAATCTTTACAAATATTGCTTCTTGATTCAATTCTTCAAGTAATTGCAACGAAATTTCCTTGACCTTTCGTTTTGTTTCGACCAACAAATTATCCGGAACGCTTACAGAAATAATGTTAACTAATTCGCTGACAAGTCCCTCTCGTTCACTCAACCAATATCCTTTCTGATTCGGATGGAGAGTAACCCCTCCAACAATATGAGAAATATCTGAAATTATCCTTTCTAATAGAGTTTCCAATTCTTCATTCGAAATTTGTTCATTAACATTTCGAGTCGAGGGAACAAACAGTAAAATTTCATGATTAGCAAAAAGTTCCCCAAACTCTCCGTCCAAAGAATCTTTCCACTCCTCAATTGATTTCGTTTCATTCCACATGATTTTCTTATTCGAAATCTTGAACGAAGCTTGCGAATTCTTCAAACAAGTTTCCATTCGAAACCCATTCCATTTCTCATTCCAATAACCAACCCTTCCACCATCAAAAACTTCAACTTTTCCTCTCACATTCAATTGACAATTAAAATCTTCCAAACAAGCAACATTTTCATTGAAAATCACTTTTGAAAATTCACCAATTTCAATGCCATTCGAAATGAGAATTGGATTTTCAATGAGTATTAAATTTTCATCTTGTTTGAAGCTTTGATTTGTGGCAATATTACTTTCCACAATTATTCGCTTCACTTTAATAACATCCAAATCAGGTAAAATTCTCAATTTGGAATGTTTAATAATTGCTGTTTGATTCATTGTTGGAATTTGATGATTTTCCCAATTGGATGGATCTTGCCAATAACCATGAGGATTAGCACCAATCCAATAAACAATTTCCGATGAAAAATCAATTCCACTTGCCTCCGAAATTCTCATCATTAAACAAGAACATGAAACAAGCAAGAGAAGTAACGAAATCTTGTGAATCATTTTTTTAAGATAAAAATCAAAACACGTTTTCTTTCGCGCCTCTGAGTTCAAGTCTTTGAAGGGTTCGTTTTGGAAATGTCCAATAAGAAACAAGAAACATACAAAATACCTTTACTAGCAAATTGAAGATTACTTTTTTTTATTTAATGCAGCACTCAATTCATTCATATCTAAACCTGTCATCATTCCTCCACCTCTCTTTCTTGTCTTTGTAGATGGGGACAATAAGGCAGAACCTTCATATAGGGACTTTTCAAGAGACATGAGAATGGAAGGATTTCTAATGTGACCACTACGTCTTGATGGACTATTTTCTTCGAAAGAATTACCCATTTGCATCGAAGGTGAAAGCAAATCATGTCCATTCTTGGTTAATTCGATAGTTGGCTCATTTTGCTTCTCTTGAATTGGTGTACTTGGAGAAGTGATTTCCACACTTGGTTCACTATCTGGTAAGGAAATAATAATTGGAGTTACAGGACTGCTTGGTGTTACAGAAACATCTGCATTTTCAGCAATGAGAGGAACTTTAGATGGTGTTCTGAATGAATTAAATGCCTTCAATCCACCAACTGTAACTACAGGGGATGATGGACGATTGTCTTTCTCCTTAGCAAGCTTGCTTTCTTCCTTCTTTCTCTTTTCTTCTTCCTTTTTCAAATTATCTACTGATTTGTACAAGTCAGTAATGAATGAATTTAACATTAAAAACATTTCCTTTGGTTCCTTCTTTACAGTGTTTGGGTCTTCACCCAAGAATTCAGCAACCCCTGAAATTTGATTATCCATATTTTGTTGCTTTTCCTTAATAAGTTTCATTTCATCCTCACATTCATTCAGGAAGGATCCAAAAACTTCCAAGAATCTATCGTTTGGCTGTGGATTTTTACTATAGTATTGAATCTCTGTTTTCAGAAGAGCAATAGACTTTTCCATACTGTCAATCTTGTCTGCTAATGTTTGCATTTCAACTCTGGCAGCCCTTTCCAACATGTTCAAATCTTCTTTAACTTTGAGAATATCTGGTTTTGCACTTGTAATATGCTTGACAATCATATCAAGGAGCGTAATGTTCTTAGCATTACCTTTTGTTTCTTTTAATTTTTGGAGAGAGTTCAATTTGAATCCATGGATACCAGTCCTGCTAAGGTAATTACTGAAAGCCAAAATGACAGCAAACAATTCTTGAAGTTTTTCAGATTCTACCAAACTAGCACATGTTGAAATGATGGTTTCCAAGTCTGGGTTGATACAAGCCTTTGTTTCAACATATTTCAACTTGAAATTCCAACATTTCAATCTGGAAGCAAGTCTCGGAACCTTCATCATGGCTCTGATAAACTTATCGGCTTCATTCAATGTGGCTTCATCTCCATCAAAATCATTTTGTCTTTGAATTTCATCTTCATTAGGAACTTGATTCAACAATTTTCCAATTGATTCCTCATTAAAATCATCAGAGATGGTCATTATCTTTTCAACCAACTGAGTTGAAGGCATCTTGAGATATTTCATAAAGATGGAAACGTTTTGCAATCTAGGTCCTTCCAATAAACTTATTGTTGTATCCTTTGGTTTTTCTGACTTTTCTGGAGTTAAACCTACACTAGGGGATTTAGAAATTTGAGCGAACATATCTTCTAATTCTTTTTCTGGAATATCAATATCGAATAACTTGGCATGAATGTTCTTCTTCATCCAAACAGACTTTTGAAGTTTGTTATTATCTAGTTTGTTGAGTCTTACGTCCTTAGTGGGCACAGAAGCCTTCTTCTTAGGTATGTCTGGAAGTTTTGGAGCACTTGCAATAACAGGTGGTGTTTGTACAAATCCAAACATTGGTGGGGGTGGCATTCCCACTCCTAGTGGAGGAACTGGAACAGTACCATTCATTCCAGGAGGAGGTGGAACACCTCCAAAACCAGGAGGCATTGGTACATTTGAGAAAGGCGGTGGAGGAACAATACTCCCATTCCTGGAGGTAATGGTACTGAGCTAGTCATTCCAACTGGAGGTGGAGGAACAACAGACCCAGAAGGAGGAACGCCACCAAAACCTGGAGGAGGAGGAACAGTACTTCCTACCACTGGCATTTCTATTCCTGGTGGTACAGGAATACCTGGAGGCATTGGAACAGAGCTATTCATTCCTGGTGGCAAAGGAATGGCAGAATTTGGTGGAACAGTTCCCATTACTGGTGGTAAAGGAATAGATGACGAAGGTGGAACAGAACTATTGAACCCCACAGGTGGAGGAGGAACAGAGCTACTGATGGTCATGGGAGGCAAAGGAACTGAGCTTGAACCAATTGGTGGTGGAGGAACAACACCTCCCATTCCTGGAGGTGGAGGCACTACAGAGCTAGCTTGAGGAGGTGGTGGAACAGAGCTGTTACAAGAGGGAACTGTATCATCTGGAAAAATATTAGGAGGTGATGTTGTCGGTGAATTGGATTCCACTAAACCTGCAAGATTACTACCGGAACCAGACGATTTCAATTCTCCAACTTGTCTTACAACTGCAACCTTTTTCACAATAACTGTTGGTGGTGCCTTCTCCAAAGCTTCAATTCTGACTTTTAGCTTTTCCATTTGATCTTTTAATTGTGCATTATCTTTTGTAATGGTATCCACTTGTTTTTGAAGTGAGAGATTTCTATCTTTTAACAAGTTTACAGATTCACTTCCCTCCAAAATTATTTTGATATCATTGACCCATTCCAAACTTGATCTGTTGTTGAATAAATAATTAATGATGTTGAAACTGTTTAAAACTTACGAAGTTTGATTACATTTCTCCAACATCTTTTCAGAAACTGCCTTAATTCCCTCAGCTAGAGGAACATTAGAATTTTCTAATTCTTCGACAATTTCTCTCAAATCATCAAAAATATCTTCTTCTAAATCTCCAGAAATAATCTTGTTGAAAATTTCTATTTGGTTGCTTAGCTTGAGGGCATCCTCTGTATCCTTATTTTCCACTTTAATCTTTTCCAGTTTTTTAACCTCAGTATAAACACCTGCGCTGATAAATCGTTGCTTTAGCTCTCTTCTGAATTGAACAGGAGCTTGCCTCATCAAAATATTGATAAAGGCCAGAATGATGTATCTGCTCTTTAAACTGTTGGCCTCTCTCAAATGCTGCACAACAGTTAAGAATTGTTCTTCACCTCTAATTTTTGACAAATTCTTAACAGATTCATAAACTTGTGGAACGTAGGTACCATCCCTACAAAAACACAATGATGACAATAGGAAATATATCGAGTTCCTCTGACCCTTATCTTCATGTTCCAGTAAGAGAGCCTTGGAGATTTCTTCAATACTATTTGGATATTCTAAAAACTTTTCCAATCCTTCATTGTTTTTGCAAATTTGAGTCAAGATCATAATAATAGAGATGGTAATTTCAGCAAACAAGAGTTTGTTATTCTCGTCTGCAGCTCCATTCAGATTACCGAGATTATTGGAAAGAGATTTCATGGTGAAATCAACACCACCTCTATTGATGAATGCTTCTTCTGCTTCGGCATAGTTTGACAAGACAACTCTCAATTCCTTCAGTTGCGTATGTAGTGTCAAGGTGGAGAGCGGATGTTTGATGTTATTCATTGTTGTTTCCAAGTGAAGTAAGATATTGTTCTGAGAACTGATCTGAGATTGCTTCAATTTGAGAATTTCCATCTTTTTCTTTGGTGGAAGGGCCATCAACTTTTCTATTGTTTCAGTTTGATTCTTGAAGGTTTTGTCCAAGTATTGCTTGAAATCCTCTTCAAGCTTTTCATTCCATTCCACAGCTGTTGAACTTGTTGTGCTGCTGTTTTTAGAAATTAGAATGGCGTCTTCATGTTCAACCATCACAAAGCCTTGATGATTCGGAGAGATTGGAGAACTCCCAGAGCTGCTATTGCTGGCATGCTTTGATCTATGTTCACTTTCCTTCCTCTTTAAAAAGGTTGATATCTTTTTCATTTTGGTTCTTATGAAGATTTTAAATTATAGATGGTATGTACACTAATGTTCTTGCTTATTATTTTACAACTAGAAAAGAAGCAGATTTAAACGATAATCAATAATGTAATGATGATGGTATGGTCACCTGTGATGATGCCTTAATAAAAACAACAAGCGACCCTCAAAGCTTCGAACAGCAGCGGTTGTTGGCTATTTTTTTAAAATAGATGATGTCTTTTTTCGCTTGCAACAAACAAGTAACCGTTATTAAATATGAATTCAACCTTGACCACCCTTATACTGTTTGACTTGATTTCTGAAAGGGCTCAACTTTCCCCTCATTAACTTCAACTCAGAAATTAGTGGTCACTGTAAAGCTATTCATCATCTTGGAGAAACTTATTAGGAGAAGTGTGAGGAGGTTTTTTATTGGGAGGTTGCATTTTCCTCTTCCTTTACAATTGAGTTGTTAAAGTTTGGTGATGATACTCCATCCTTCTCCAGTGTGTTATTGGAACCTTCATTGCTTGGTTCACCTTGCTTCTCAAAATCAGTTCTTCTATTGGCCAAAGGTTTAAGGTATTCCTTTTGTAATTCCAAATTGTGACTTGAAGATACTCCACTTCTGCTGCTTGAGGATGTTTCATCCACTTGTGGGGCGAGTTGTTCTTGTGTGAAGAGGGCATTCTCATTGGTGAGTATGGCTTCATTTTCTTCCTTTTGGGAGATTTCTAGTAAGGGTGACTTGTCAAGGATTGAACACATTTCTTTCACTTGATTTGCAGTCGAGTAGAGCATTGAGAGAGTGATTGGTGAATTTGATGATAGGTTAATTTCCTTATCTTCCTCACTAATCAAATCTCTCTTGACACGGATTGTTCTTGAGCTTGGAATGATTGGTGTTTCTGAACAAATGAGAGGAGTAATACTTTGCATAGTTGACAAGCTTTCATGTGCTTTGGCATGTGATTCCTCCTCTTCATCATCAGAAATAACAACAATATCACTAATAAATCCATTGTTAAAGAAGGAAGGTGTACCTGAATCAAAAATTACAGAGTCTGCTCTCTGTTCTAACTGTTCAGTCTTGACAATTGTTGTGGACATTGGTAGAATGGACGAGTCCATCTTGGATTGAGTTTCTTCAACCTTTTTCATGATTTTCTTCTTGATGGCCTTAATTCTTTGTCTGCATTGTTCCTTCTTGTTCTTGGTGTTTGAAGAGAAAGAGGTGGATGCAACAGAATCTTTAGGAGAATTCTTTGTATTTGAAGAAGCTGAAGGAGCAGATGCTGTTTTAGAAATAGTGGTGGCAGGAGTAGAATTCAACCTCTTAGTCTTCTTCAACAATTGTTGAAATGGTTCCTCGATTCTTGTAGGAACCTCATTTTCCTTATCACACGATATTTGAGTGGAAGCATCTGTGAATAATCTCTTCTTTTGATTTTTTTCCTGTTGAATGAACTCACTCGGTTCCAATAACATCTTCTTACTGTTAGGTTCAAAGAATTGGTAGATGGCAGACTTTTGAGAAACCAACTTGACATATCGAGCAACAATAAAGAATTGAATTGAATCTTCATCAACCGTATCCTGCTTGTAGGCTTTTACCTTTGGTGCATAGAGAATTTGACCAGGTTGAATTTGACATCGTTTTGTAACCCAAGAAACCTCTAATTCTGTACAACCATTCGAAAGGCTTTCTTCAAAGAGATTACAAACTATGAGAACACCTCTCTGCCTTTCACTATTCTCCACAAGATAGCCCATCCTTGCCATTTGTTGTTGCTGATAATCTTTCTCTGATGATGATGATGATCGAATTGAGGATGAGGCCTTTCTTGAATGATCCAAGCCTACCAAACGATCCTTGATAGATTTGACAAGGCTATTATGATGATCACCCTTTCTTCTCAAAGTTTCTGATGAAGATGATCCAATACTAATGTGACCTTCATGAGAGGAAGCCTTAGAGGTGATATTAAAGGAGGAAGAATCTACAGGTTGTTGACGATCACTATTAGAAAACAAGATGGAAGAAACATCCTCAGAAGATGATGGTTGACTTGAGTCTCCTCTCAGCTCTACCTCCCCACATACCATCCAATACATTGTAGGACAAAAAGTAGCCTTTCCTTTGAAGAACATGTTGAATGAATTCAATCGGTGGTGGAAGTCTCGTTTGATGTTTTTTTTCTGTAGTAAAAATTGATAAGGTCGAGTGAGAATTTCCTCAGAGCAGTGAAATCAAAGGCTTGTTTCAATTATTGATAAATACAACATGTTGAAGAGAGGAGGAACTATTAAATCCCAAGCATTTAGCCTTTCCTTTGAATGGGATATATGAAAAGATGAATGAATACTATAGTCAATTAGAAAATGAATATTGATGAAACAAAGATGATGATGATGATATAAATAATCCTGCATTATCAATTCGTTAAAGCTTCAATGTTATTAAAATTTACAATTAAATAATATAAATTACAAAATACGTGTCCACACAAATCTATTGATCATGTTGTTGTTGTTGTTATTAATCTTCTGCTGGAACAGTTTCACGTAAATATTCCTTCAATCTCACACGAATTTCAGATTGATCATCACCTAACAATGGACATTTTCTAAATTCACAATCAACACGCATCAAAACCATTTCCAAAGCACCTCTGATAACTCCACAAATAATATTAGAATAATACAATCGTTTTTGTTTGATATTTTCTGGTAATTCCACAAAATCGTTCAATGGATTTTCATCAAAGACAAGACTATATTCTGATTGATCCTTTGACCAATTGGTGATATTGGCATTCACTCCTAAAAACATTTTAAAAGCAACTTTAGCAATAGATTCCGCAGTGTCTTTAAACTCCCGACATGCACCCGATCCTAAACCACTCTTTGACATGAACTCATCGATGAGTCTCATACCCATCTTGTATCCCATCTTTTCCAATTGTGTATTCACAGCAGCAACATCTTCAAAATCCTTCAACATTTGTGTTACAAGAGAGCCATAAGTCATGGCAAGTAATTCAGAGTTGATCTTGTCTATCTTGTTGAATGACTGTTCTCCGACCTTTGCAAGTTTACTCATTTTTTAAATATTTATTTTTTTATTATTTTTCAAATCCTGTTCACAATCTGTTCAGTTTGATAATATTATTAATTATGAAATGATGATGAATGAAAAGTGAAACTAACCTTTTTCTTGCTTCTTCTTTCAGCTTATGGAGGTTTGCAATAAAATTCCCATCCGAGGAATTTCCTTTAGATATTGAACACAACAAGAAAAACCACAAGAGAAAACAAATTGAAGCAAAAAAAATGTCCAAGAGAAGCAACGAATATCAAATCACTGAAAACGACCTTGATAGGTAGAGTTTCAATACCAATTCTATTAAATTGTTGCTAATCTTTTGTATTTAACATGTACGGATGAATGTATAATGAAATTAAAACATCAACAATATCTTTTTTTGTATAACAACAACAATAATTCATCATCATACAATGAACAATAACATTAATAGAGAGGAAGAAGTTGTTGAAGCCGGTTCTTTTGAAAAGGCTAGTGAAGATGAAATCAAGTCAAGGAAGTAAGTGTTCATCACATAGGATTATTTACATTCAAACTTATTGCAATCTAATGTATTGATGTGGATAACAACATAATTACATCTTTAATCTACAACAATTTAATTGAACAATCATAAAAACACAGAAAAATTGTTGCCAAGAAGAAGAATCCACAACAACCAACTACATCAACACCTGCCACAGGAGGATTCAATTTTGTTCTTCCACAAACAAATGCATCTGGATTGTCTTCAACAACATCCGAACCACCTAAAATGGCTTGGACATTCGGTAACACTACATCAGCACCAACAACAACAGGAGGATTTGTTTTTGGAAATCAACCAGCAGCTACCACTGATCCTAAGGATAATATTATCAAGGAATTGGAAAAGAGAGTTAAAGACTTGGAAAACCAAACTGAGACATTGAAGAAACAATTACAAGAAAAGTCATCAGCTCCTTCAACCGGTGGATTTGCATTCTCTTTCAATCAACCAAAGCAAACTACTCCAGTTACATTCCCAACTCCAGCAGCTGTCACAACTCCTGTTGTTGAAACAAAGCCTGTCACAATTACACCAACAGCAGCAGTCGTTCCACAAGAAAAGAAGGAAGAGGAAAAGAAACCTGAACCAAAGGTTGAAGAAAAGAAGGAAGAAGAAAAGAAACCACTTTTCAACTTTAATTTTAATAATGGCTCTTCAACAGCATCAAGTGAATCAGGTAAATTCTCATTTGGTGGATTTTCATCCTTCTCTAGTCCATTCGGAGGTTCAACAGGTGAAAGCCAATTCAAATTTGAAATTAGTAGCAAACCACCAACTTGGACCAATCAAGAATACAAGCCAAAGGAAAGTGAAGATGGAGAAGAAGACGGTTCCGAAGATCCATCCATTCCAGAATCGCCATCAAGAGCCACTAGTCACAAAATTATTGATCTTCCTGCTGTTGAAATCAAGTCTGGAGAAGAGGGAGAAATTGTTGTGGGAGAATTCAAACTTGCCAAGTTGTATAGAACTGTTGTAGTTGATGGAAAGTCATCATGGCAACAAAGAGGTGTTGGTTCATTGAGATTAAACGTAAGAAAGGATGATGAAAAGAATGCTCGTATGGTAATGAGAACAGACTCAGTATTCAAGCTTATTCTCAATTGTAAAATTATTAAGGGTATGAAATTCACACCACTCCAAGAACAATCAATCATTTTCCCAGTCCACAAGAGTCAATTGTGTGAGCAATTATCTGCTGAAGAGTTGGCCAAGGAACCAGAATTTGTCTCCCATCTTATTCGTTTTGATCAAAAGAATGATAGACCACAATTTAATCAAAAGATAGAATCCATCATTTCCAAATTATAAATCTAAATTTCAATTCAATAGTACAATGTGTTATTTCTGGTTTATTTAATAAATAAACAAAAAAAAAAGTTTTGTAAAAATGATATGATATTAACTTATGGCGATTTTTAAGAAAGAGTCAAGAAGGGGTTATAGCTCAGTTGGTAGAGCGTCTGCTTTGCATGCAGAAGGTCTAGGGTTCGATTCCCTATGACTCCACTTTTGTTTTTTTTTGCAAAAATCTCAAAGTTCCTCTTCCAAACTACAACAACTGCGTGGGTGTTACTTGTTGGAATGAGAACTCGTTTTTTTTTAAAGTGTGAAACCACCGATTACTGCAAATTTTCTTTGAGTTCCAGCGAAAATTCGAAGTGTATTTTGTAACCCAAAAATAAAAATGTTCAAGTACGCCAAAACCAAGAAAAAAAATGCTGCGCAGTCGTTCTGCTGTAGCTTCCTCTTCATCATCATCTTCAGGAAGAAATTCAACAACAAATGAACACGAACAACAAGAACAACATGAAAATACATCACTTCGGTCGGTTGGACCATCCGAAGACGATTTATCAATGTTGGGAGTGTCTGCCTTCAGAACCGAAGACATTGAAAAGAATGTTATGGATGAAGTGAATAAACAAATTGAAGAAAATCAAAAAGTATTAGAAAAAAAGGAACACAGCAGAATTGATAAATTAAATGCAAAAATCGAAAAGTATGAAAAGGAATTAAAAGAGTTGAATAAACGATCATCACTTTCGAGTAGTGATGAAAAGAAAATAAAGAGTTTGAAGAAGAAAATTGCAACTCTCTTGGATAAGAAAGACGAAATGATCGAAGAATTGGAAGATAGAAGAGAAATTAGAGAATCATTAAATGTAATTGATAATGATAATAATGAATCGGAAAGAGAAAGATTAATTAGAACAGGTATCATTACTCCGTTTGATAATATGCCTTCTAATGAAGCCAATGATATTTTCAATTGCCTAAACCAGGTAAACGAAAGGCTCCAGAACAAGATAAGAATAAAAAACCAAAGAAAATCAAGAAGGAGGACGAAGATGATGAAGATTATGTAGATGATGAGGAAAATCAAGAGGATGACGAGGAAGAAGAGGAAGAAGAGGAAGAAAAAGTACCAATGAAAAAGGAATTTAAAGAGGACGATTCGAATGATGAATACTATAAAAAGAGATTGGAGGAATTTTATGAAACAAGAGAAGTGACTAAAAGGTTTATAATCAGTGATGAAGGCGAAGAAATGGAAGTTACTAAAGTGAATTATGGACCAAGTATACAAATTGCAGGATCTTACTCAATCCCTAAAGAGATTTATGACAAGTTATTTGGATATCAAAAGACTACTCTTAAGTGGATGTGCGAATTGAATAGACAAGGAGTTGGAGGAATACTGGGAGATGAAATGGTAAGTAGTTTTATTGGTTCAATCCTTATAACATGTTATAGGGATTGGGAAAGACTGTACAAATTACCACTTTCCTTGCTGGACTTCACTTTAGTGGATTATTCGAACCTTCTATCATTATTGCACCTGCAACTGTAATGAAGCAATGGCAAGAAGAAATTAATACATGGTGGCCAGAGCTTAGAGTTGTGATTATGCACACATCTCAAGGAACTAAAGCCAATTTCGAGTCACTCATAGAGAAGGTTTCCAGCTGCCCTAATGGTGTTCTTATCACAACATATGAATCTTTAAGAATTTATCAAGACGTGCTTACTTCTAAAAAGTGGGGATATATTATCTTGGACGAGGGTCACAAGATTAGAAATCCTGATGCTGCCTTAACATTAGCATGTAAAAGATTTGAAACACCACACAGAATTATTTTGACAGGTACACCAATTCAAAACAATTTGAAAGAGCTTTGGTCACTATTTGATTTTTGTTATCCTGGAAAGCTCGGAACTCTTCCAGTATTTCTCACCCAATTTTCAATTCCTATCACACAGGGTGGTTATTCGAATGCAACCAAATTTCAAGTACAAACAGCTTACAAATGTTCATGTGTACTGAGAGATTTAATCAAGCCATATCTTTTAAGAAGAATGAAGAAAGATGTAAAGCATCAATTACCTGAAAAGAAGGAAAATGTAATTTTTTGTAAATTGACAGACAAACAAGTTAAGATATATGATGAATATTTGAAGAGTAGAGAAGTTACTGGAACCCTTGATGGAGAACATTTACTTTTCAAAGCCATTACTAATCTCAGAAAAGTTTGTAATCATCCTGATTTGATATGTACTGAGAAGAAACCTGATGATTTTGGTGCAGTAGAAAAGTCAGGTAAAATGATGGTTGTAGAAAAGCTATTGAGTCTTTGGAAGGAACAAAATCATAGAGTATTACTCTTTTCTCAAAGTAAGAAAATGTTAGATGTATTTGAACCATTTTTACAAGAACGAGACTATACCTATTCTAGAATGGATGGCGACACTCCTGTAAAGGAGAGAAGCGTACTGATTAATCAATTCAATAGTGATGACAAAATCTTTGTGTTTTTACTAACAACAAAGGTAGGAGGATTGGGTGTGAATTTAATTGGTGCAAATAGAATTATTTTATTCGATCCTGACTGGAATCCATCCACAGATCTTCAAGCTCTCGAAAGAGCATGGAGATTGGGTCAAACTAAACAAGTTACTGTTTACAGATTGATGACAAGTGGTACTATTGAAGAGAAGATGTATCATAGACAAATTTTCAAACAATTTCTTTCGAATAAGGTTCTCAAGGATCCTAGACAAAAGAGATTTTTCAAGTCCAATGATCTTTATGAGTTATTTACTCTTGGTAAAGAATATGACTCTGTGAGAAGAAAGAATGGCAACAAATCTATTCCTTATGACGATGATGAAGAGAATACAGAGACTGGTAATTTGTTCTCGAATAGTGAAATTTTAAGGCAAGACATGCCAACAATTAAGAAGAAGAAGAAAGATGTGGAATATCGTGTAGAAAAATTCAAGGGCTCAGAAGATGACTCAAAAAAGGATGAGACTTATATTTTGCAATGCTTATTTGACGAAAAGTCTGTTAAAAGTATTTTCAATCATGACTCTGTTGTGAATACTACCAGTTCTGAAACATCAATTTTGGAAAAACAAGCAAAACAAATAGCTGAAATTGCTGTTAAGGAATTAAAAAAATCAGGAGAATTAAGAAAAAGCATGCCTTTATCTGTACCAACTTTCACAGGACAAAATGGATTAGGAGGGCTCAGGGTATCTGCTTTGGGAAGTAGTAGTGGTACCAATCCAAAAGGTGGATTAGCATCGTCTGTACTTTTGGCAAACATTAGAAAGAAACAAGATATTATGAGCGATCAACCTAGATCTGTAAATAATGTAAATGATTTGGCTGATGAACTCAAACCAGTTTACAAAAGTTCAAACAAAATGGTGGATAACATTGTTTCCTTTTTCCAAAAACGTGGAAAAGCCACAACTGATGAAGTAAGAAAGCATTTTAGTTATATTACAGGAGATGATGTCATTTACTTTAAAGAACTTTTACAAAAGATTGCAAGATTCAGTAAATCCAAGAAAATTTGGACTTTGCGAGAAAATAAAGAATAAAAAATTTGCACTCACTTGATTATTTTTCACTCCCTCTTCTTTATATTGAACTTGTAGTAAACATGATGAAATTTCTAATTACAATTTATTGATTGTCAATTTAGGAATTTAATAAAGAAATTTGTATTAATAGAATTGAGATTTTACAAAACAAGAAAATACAAAAAAAAATGCCAAGAAGAAACAACTTTGATAATGGAGGTGGTGATGCCTTCTACTCGAAGGGATCAAACTATTCGGAAAATGCTCACTCTGGAAAACACGTTACTCGATCATCGGGTCGTAAAAAGAAAGATGAAACATACTATCAACAACAACAGCAACAATCATCACACCAATCATCATCATCTCAATCTCATCGGAGAGGCAATCAGAGGGAATTTGTGAGTGATAATAGAAGGATTAATTTTGTAAATTTACCACACATGAATGCCTATTGGAATGAAGTGAGCGAATTGTTGTATGGCACTGATATTAATGATGAAGGTATTCTGTGTGAGACTTTGAGAACTGTACAAAATATTGTCTACGGATCAACTGAGAAGGGATCAAAGAGTGGATTTAATGAATTTGTGATCAGTGCGGAAAATAATTTGACCTACTTGTTGGGATCATCATGTGGACAAGTTTGGGAAGGAAGAAGCAAGTTTTTTGAGACTGTCGAGTTTATCAAGAAACTTGTTTTGGATACACCAATTATTTTAGGTCCAAGAGCTAAAACTGAACTGTACAACCATTCTAGCCAGAAGCATTCTACCATTCAGGAGAATGGTGGTATGCTGCCTATTCTTGGAGATTTGAACCAATTACCTTTTCAACTTGATTCCAAGTGTGTTAAATTATCCAAATTGGAATGTGCTTGTATTTTAGCAAACAGCTTTTTCTGTACCTTCCCAAGAATTGGAGACACTAGAGATGGTCCTCATTTATTCATGCCAAGCATTAATTTGGATTCATTGATCAATAATCCACACGAAGCAAGTGCTAGCAAGCTCTTGATGATTATTCACTACTTTGAAAGACTTTCTGAGAGAGGATATGAAGAAATTGCAAGAATGGGCTATGTTCATTTCATTAGAAAGATAGTAGATCCAACCCATATTGAATCACTTTTGTTGGCAAGTGCTGATGAGGAAGGAAGTACATTTTCTGAAATGCAAATCCACCCAGAGGGATCTATTGAAGATTGTCCACAAGCTTTACATGCTGATTTTGCCAATATGTATATTGGAGGTGGTGTATTGAGAGCAGGTGCAGTACAAGAGGAAATTAGATTTGTATTGAGTCCTGAAACTATTGTCTCTCGTTTATTTATTGAAAGAATGGCTGACAATGAATCTATTCTCATTGTAGGATCTGAACAATTCAGTACACACAAAGGATATGCCAAATCATTGCTCTATGGTGGAGATTATCAGGATAAGGACTATGAACAACTGTATGATGGAAATTTATTGTCTTTCAACTCACAAATTGTGGCATTTGATTCCAAATATTATACACGTTACAATTTGTTGGAACAATGGCAAGTTGAACACATTGATAGAGAAATTACAAAGGCCTACTCTGCCTTTTGTCATGTTGATAAGGAATTATATGATTTGGAAATTTATGAAAAGATTAGTACTGGACATTGGGGTTGTGGTGCATTCTTGTGTGATAAGGAGCTCAAGTTTATTATTCAATTTATTTCCGCTTCAATTGCCATGAAACCATTACATTATTACACTTTTGGAGAGAAGGAAATCTCAGAAAAAATGCAAGATTTTGTGGATTTTGTGAGAGATTACAACTTTACCGTTGCTGACATTTATGAAGTTTTACATGGAATCTATGATGCTTATGTAAAGCCAAATAGTGAGGAACAAGGATTCTTTCCAAAAACATTTGATTATGTTAAAGGTAAATTGATGAAAAACCAACAATAAATTGTAGATATCATTAAGCAATGTTAATTGTTTGATTGCACTTATTTGGCTTTAAAAGAGAATATCGATAAGCAAAGATAAGAAAATTGTCATTAAATTTAACATTAACAATACCATTTAAAACCTTGAGAAATTACGAACTTGCTGATGCTCATGCTAGAAATGCACGCCCTTTTGATAATATTGAAGAAAAGGCCAGATCTGTCTATGTTTGGCTCTGCTTGAATCTTACCTATGACAAGGTTAATAGAAAGAATCACACTCTATAATGCTGAATTCATTCATAAATTGAACTATCTTACAAACATATCATCATTTTTTATTGAATACATTCTAATTAGGAGAGTTTCAATTAAAGATTATCACCAAGAAGCAATGATCGAACTGGATCATTATCTTGCAAATCGATTTGTAGTTTCTTATTACTATTCGAAATGTTTCTTATTTCTTCTATATTTGCAATACAATTACAACTCAAGTTTAATTGAGTAAGGTTTGATAAACTATTCGATGTGAGAATCACCAGAGCATCTTTTTCAATAATATAATTTCCTTTCAGATTCAATTTTGATAATCTCATCAGTTTCGAATAACTTGCAAGTGAACTCACATCACTAATCAAATTGTCAGACAAATCCAAATCCACCAAATTAGTCATCATCCCATTTGCAATCCATTTTACATCCTCATTATCCAATCCACATCCTGATAAACTCAAAATTTGCAAATCTGCCAAAAAAATACTTGAACTAATTGACTTTACACCTAGGTTTCGAATATTATTTACATTTAAACTCAAATTCGTTAGACATGACATGTAGGGACTATGCGAGAGTGCAATTACTCCACTTTCGTCTATCAAATTCTGATTTAAATTCAGAGTTTTCAATCCTGACATGAAGGAACATTCAGAAATTGATTGTAAACCTTCAGATGAAATTCTATTTCCTTCCAAATTCAATTCTTGTAAGTTTGCTAGAAATGGAGTAGATGTAAGATATGAAACTCCATTATTCGAAAGTTCATTCCTTGACAAGTTTAGTTTCGTCAAGTTACATGCAAATGGACTTTCACACAACATGTAAATACATGCATCTCCAAGTAAGTTATTACTCAAATCCAAACTACTAACACATGCTAACATTGGAGTGTTAGATAATGCTTGCATTCGTTCGTGCATGTCAGTTCCATGTGGACCAGTGTCACGTGTCCAATTCAATGTCAAAGTTGAGTGACTTTGCATGAGTGAAATGCAATGCCATTGCTTACACACCACCGAGTACACTCTCACTACATGCTGAAAGGGTAAAAATCCAAACACTCTCAACAAAATCGAATAATCTTCAGTCAATCCAAGTAACATGTTTTTTTTCTATTGAGAATTACAAAAATAATCATTAAAGAGTAACATGAATTTTCACCGGTGAATAACAATGATGAATAATCCTTCCCCAATGAAAATTGCACTATCGAATGGAATGTCACCTTGCATTACAAATATTGTGTTAAAATTTTGCCGCTCCTTTTCATATTTGGGTGTAGCACGATAAATTCTAATTAAAGAAGTGTCAATGGGTGCATGTGGAAATTACCTTCATTTGTAATGAATTTAACAATTGAACAATTTAAAATTGTACTGTGAATAGAATGGACCACCTGAAAGGTTTCTATGATCATTTGTTGTTTCGCATTGCTTTTTCATCAAGTAACAGCCCCAAGCCTTGCATCAAAATTTTATAACAATTAAGCCATTTTTCAATCCTCCACATTAAAAAAAAATCTAATTCCATTCAATGTGGAATGAAATAAGAAATTTCTTATAATTGGTTTTTTGATTGGATTAGGAGTGTTTGCAATTATTAATAGAGTGTTGATGTGTATTAAACACGTGTATTGGAAAACAATTTAAAAAATGTTTGAAGATTTGATTGAATATCAAGTAACGGAAACGAATAGTTTCGAACAAGAAGAAAATATTGTGAAACATTGTGATTTGTACATTTTGATTCATGGCTTGCATGGAAAACAACAAGATTTTCACTTTATTGCACAGAAATTAAAAGAATTATATAATGATGATTCGAATAAAGATTCGGAACATGCCATTGTAAGTTTAATTCAATTTTTTAATTAATTTGAATATCGGAAAGATTATTGATTGTGCTTGTAATGAAGGGAAAACAGCTGATGGCATTGAAAGTTTGGGAGTGAATGTATTGAAGGAAGTTTTGAAAATTATTTATGAAAGAAAGGTTTCGTCTTTACTTTCGAATGGAAAGAAATTGAAATTGAGTATAATTGGACATTCTCTTGGAGGATTAATCGGAAGATATTTCATCAAATTGTTATACGATCTACCAAATAATGAAAAATCACATGATTTACTCCCAGAATATTCGAAACATTTCGTAGATGATATTTTCCCTCATTTAGTTCCATGTGTAAGTTTCGAATATTTACAAATTTCACCAACTTTCAAAGAGCTTTACAACAATTTCAACTCCACATTTGGGTTCTAGAAGACCAGGAGGTGGAAACTATTTCGGCTCAGCGTACAGAATAGCAGCTCATACTTTTCTTTCAATTCTTGGAAAAACTGGAAAGGAATTGATTTTAAATGATGGAAATTCAATTGAGGAATCATTGCTTTATAGAATGAGTTTGCCAGATTCAGATTATGTGAAAGTTTTGAAAATGTTTCCGTATAGAACTTTAATTGCTTCGTGTCATTTGGATTCGACTGTTCCATTTCCATCGGCTTCGATTCGATCATTTAATCCATATTTGAATAATGGTTATGGTGAAGCTTCGATGAAAATTGGAGGGATTGGTGGGGATTTTTTGGATTCTCCAGAATATGTCTCGTTACTGAGTGAATTTTTCACAGCTAAAGGAGAAGGAGAAACTGGACTAAATGAGCGAATTGAAACATTAAGGAAAGCAAGTTGGAAAGGAACCGAAATTGAACCATTTGATGGAATTTCCAACGACAAACACAAAAGTCTCTGTAGGGATAATTATTTTGAAGTTGAATTTGAAGTGAAAATGTTGAAAAACTTGCAAGATATCAAATGGAGAAGAATTGATTTGGATTTCACAGTTTCGTCTTTTTTACAAGCAAGAGAAATTCACGTTGTGGTTGTCAGAAAAAAGATGCCGATTATTGGAAGTTCTGAAATGGATCGTTGTGGAGAGAGATGTGTTAATTTGGTTACTTTGCTTTCCAAGTTTGATTCAGATCATTTGTTGAACTAAACCCTTTCGAATAGATTAAAGATAGAAACTGATCAATGATTTAACTTATTATTCAAAATGCCTAGATCACCAAATTGTAAAAAGAAACATCAATTTCGAGGATATGTCAATACATGTTGTTGTGGATCTTGTTGCATTACATATTGGGAATAAGTTGGAATCGGTTGGAGTTGTTCTACAAACTGCATAGATTGAGGTCGATGAATCACTGTTGGTTGATAAACTGGTTGACTTGTTACTGGATGAAATTGAGGAATTTGTTGTGAAAACAGAAATTGAGCAATAGGAGTAATTGGTAATTCCTGCTTCTGTACTCCTCCTGGTTGTGATGTAGAGTGATCACATTCATATGAACCAAACATTTTTTCATGGTATTCATAGTATTGCATCTGATAAATAAATTTAAAAGCCAAGTCAACCGTTACAAAAGCAAGGAAAGCTCTAATTGCACAACTATCAAGGCCAATCAAAGACATGATGTGTTTGATTAGCTCGTCATTTCTTTTTACATTGGAAGGACCTGCGTACTCATAACTTTCAAGTAAGGGATTCGAATTACCCCAATCAAAAGAGTTCAGTAACATCTTGTGAGTAATGTTGATTTCAACTTCACTTTCACCATTGTTTGGTGTTAAATCCTTAAAGGAATAGTAAAATTTCACAAAACCATGTTCTCCAAGATTAAGTATTGAAGTCAATTCTATAATTCTTGTACTATCCTTTCCAAAATAATTCGACTCATTCTTAATTTCCAAAAGAAACAATCGTGGCTTGACTATCTCTTTAACTATTCCATAATTTGGATCTTGATATAAATCATAACGAACACGAGTAAACTCATCAAGTCTGTATTTTGTAAAATTAGCTTGCTTTCTCTTGGCCTTTTCCAAAATATACAAGTTCAATAAAAAAGACTTTTGACATGTCCTTAATTGACATCCACTAAATAATTCAAAATTACACATCTTTTCATATTGTTTCGTCCAATGACCATTAAAATCAACCATAATCCAATCATGCCATGTTTTACAAACACCTCTCAATATTAAAGCAATACTCTCCACATCCAAGCAAGACATAATCTCCTGAAAAACATCTCTCTGATTCAACAATAATTCTCTCTCGATCGGAATGAAATTTCTTTCATTATAAATTTTAAGTTTCTTCCAAACATTGGAATTTTTACTTTCATCTACTTTCGTATTTGTGGATGAAAACAAGTCGGTCTTCCTTTTTTTACTTTTTCCTTCTTGGTTACTATCCAGCCTATTAGGATGATCAATTATTTCGGAAGATATTGGTGGTGAATTATTGTCAATTTCATACACATCATGATGAAGTGAATTATCACGCACCATGCAATTAATTTGCAATCGTTTTCCTGCATGAAAAATGAAGAAGGTGGAGGAAAGATCATGTGTTGCCATTTTTTTTTTTACTTTTTCATTGGAATTAATTTTGGCGCCAATCTTTACAATAATTATTCAAGAAATAAAGATAATCAGCTCGCTCAATGTTATTAAGGATTTTTTTTTAATTAATTCCAAAGCAACTCACATTGAGAATTGGTGATCTACTCCAACATCTCCAATTTTTTTCCGAGTTCAATATTTTGAAAGTTTACAAAAATATTTCAAAGCTATGTATCACATCTTTTGACTCTAATTTGCAAAGATTTTCTTGTGTAGATATTTTCACTGTAAATTAAGGGTCGATGTAAAATTGTTAAAATATCTAAGGCGGAGAAATTAGATCTCTTAAATCCGCGGATTAGCACAATTAGGAAGTTATTAAATGGAAAGAAATTAAGAATTGAATATTAATAACTTGTTGTCATTAAGGGAAGTTGTTTTTTATTATTAATGTTGATTTTCATTTTTTGTTCATTTGGTAAAATAGTTTCAATTCAAATAGAAATGTTTTGTTTCTTAAATTTCACATTAGAAATTTAGAAATTAATGAGATTCAGAGCTATTTCACAATACTACAACTCACTTCTCACAATCTATTTTCACCTTCTCTCCGAAAATATCCTCCAACACTATTAGAAACCTTCTCACCTTTCTTCCCAAGTCAAATTTCATAAAATCTTCTGCTACTAATTGTCTTTCCAAATCAAGAAATTCACCATCTACAGCTCACTGACTCCAAAACCTTTCAACATTCCTCTCAACACCTCCCAATCCCTTCCTTTCATCCAATTTCCATGTTGACTTGAAAAAAACGAAACTCTTAAAATTTCAGCATTAAATTATCAGCGCTTTTCTCTTCCAAAAAAAATACCGTAATTTATTTCCAAACAGCAAACAGCGTTTGTGTTCTCTCGCGCTAATTTTTTCATCATCAATTTTTATTTTGTGATCGCATCATTGTTTCGGAGGAGTAACAAGAGTTTGATCATCATCATCATTTTGTTTTTTTATTTGTATAGATAGATACAGTTTTTCTTATAGAATATTAATTGATCATCATCAATTTATTATTATTATTATTATTATTAATATAGTGTACAAAAGATATATAGTACTACTTTAAGAATACATCATGGGTGCTCTATTTTCAAAGTTGTGGGAATTGTTTAATGGAAAACAAATTGAAATTTTAATGGTTGGTTTGGCTAATAGTGGTAAAACAACCTTGTTGAACGTCATTAGTGATAACGAACCTGGAGATACTTTGCCAACTGTTGGTGTGAATATGAGACATGTCAAGAAGGGTAGTGTTACAATGAAAGGTTTGTATTTGATGTTTATTTGATGATCGTGTTAACATTATTCATCAAATTGATCCTTATTCCATATTTTCATCATGTTATAACATTGTTTGTGAAATTTCATAGTGTTGGATCTTGGAGGTCAAGAGCGTTTCAGAAATTTGGTAAGTTTTTAAAGCTCCGCTCGGAGTTCTAATTGAATGATCAAATCTACAGTGGTTGGAACATACAAAGTCATGTGATGTGGTGGTATTTGTTGTGGATGGTGCTGATATTGATAAAGTACCTGATGCTAGAAGAGAATTACACAAATTGTTGGAAAATAAGGGTTTGGAAGGTAAACCATTGTTGGTTGTTTTGAATAAGATTGATATTGAACGAAGATTCACAAAGGATGATATTGTTAAACATTTGAATTTGGATTATATTGATAACAATAAGAATCCTTGGGCTGTCATTCCAATTTCTGCCCTTCACAAGACCAATATCACAGATGTTGTTGATTGGTTGTTGAAACAATCTAAATAATTCAATGCCATTCCCGAGAATTTGAATGGCATTATTTACACTTTTTCTAATTTATTCACCTATTAAAATTTTGATTCAAAAACAAGATGGATTAATTTATTGCGGAAGTATTGGCACGATTGTCTTCCATCTTTTGTTTGATACTAGGAAGAGAAACATTCAAAGTATTCTGATCACCTTTGAAAAGATTGTGAGGAAGATCTTCAATTTCCTCTCCCAAAACACATTCCAATTTATGCTTGAATTCCATATATTGTTTGATGGCATTTCGTCTATTAAATGATGTATTTCTGAATTGCATATCTGCACACCTACTTACCTGTAATATAAATAAGGCGTATGTTGTTTTTGAGATCTATTGGGACTGAAATTCTGGTAATCATTCTTATTCATATTTCTTCGTCTCTTGAAATATTCCACTTGGGCTTGCATCTCGGCTGGATAATTCTTTGCATCAAATAACTTTGCTAGAGCAGGATCTGCATTATTTACAAGAGCCATAGTGCTTCTATCAAAATCTTTAAAATTGAAAAAGTTTGCCTTTTTCGTACTCAAATGCTCAACCTTAATCTCCTTTTTAGTGGCATTTTCGTAGATTCTTCTTTGGCTAGCTTCCTCCTCGGTTTCGTCAGGATTTCTTTTCTTCATTTGTTTTGGTCTGAATTGAGTTATGAATGAGGAATGGGCATGCATAGTATTTGGATCATTAAACTTCTGGTTTCGCTTCCTGTGAATGTCATCTGCAGTGAGCTTCTCCTTCCTAGGGTTTCTGTCCAGAGGCATTGGTGAAATGACAGAGTGGGCCCTTATCGATAGGGTATCAGGATCAGTTTCACCAAGATGAGAATTGTTTTGAGCAGTGAATTGAGTGTGACCTTCAAGTATTGATGATCTATCTAAACTACTATTTACAGATTTTAACGAGCCGCCATCAAGAGAATTATTTCTTGAACGTGTAGTTGGACTGAATGATCGAACTTGACATTTAGCATGTGCACTTTTGATTTCTTCCTTTTTCTTTTGCAGAGTTGGGTTGTCTTTCTCGCTTTCAACCATGATTCTTTTGGCTGGAACCTCCTCATTGGCATTCTTTCTTAAAAAGTTTGGATCATTGAGGTGTTTGTGATTTGTATTGAAACATCTCTGTTGAAATAATAGTCATTATTGAAAATAAATTTGAATAAAAATGTTAAGATGATCATCAAGACATTACAAAAACCTACGGGACTATTATAAAAACCTCCTGTAAATTTGGACCAAGATCCGTTTTTAGAAGGGGAAGTGTTGGTTGGACTCGAAGCTCTGAATGTACTCGTCGTAGATTGGTGTGAAGGAGAATCCAAAGGTTGTCCACTCTTAGATGAGGGTGATAAATTCTGACTTCCATTACTCTTTGGACTTGAGTAGGACATATCCTGTTGATAGGTATTAACACTCGACATGGTATTATTAAGACTGGGAGGAGAGGGCAATGAATTGGCCTCTTTAAAAGCAGACCAAGAGGACTGATAAGTTGGACTAGTTGGTGAATGAGTAAAATCTTCCTTTAGCAAAACATCTGCCTTAATAATTTCATTGGAATGAAATGGAACACTCGATCTAATTTTCTTCAATCGTTTCTCGGTAATGTGAGATTCCTCAATTGTATGAGGAGTAAGTTGCGTTGGTTTTGAATAGTTTTGGTAAATCTGCTCGAGTTTGCTCAATTTTACACCACTCATATTCTTATAGGAGAGTGATGAATTCTTTGTATGGGTCGGTACAGTTGATTGCTCTGTTGTGACATTAAACATTTTCGAACCAGTTACAAAATGTTTAGTTTTTGGTGAAGTGTCCTGATGAAGAAATTTGGCTTTTCCGATTGGACTCAGTGTTATTAATTCCTCAAGGGATTTCTCTCCTTTTGGCGTGGTTGGAAGTGGTTTCTTTTCAGGATGACTATGGGAATGTTTTCTAGCTGAAAGTGTTTTTACAAAAAGTTCTTCTTCCTCCTTATTGGTGGCTGCTTGATCGAAATGAACACCTCGAGAACGATCCTCTCCCCTCTTTGGTGTTGCAATCTTTTCCAGCTCCTCAATATAATCTTCATCTTCATAGAGTTGAGATTTTAAATGATGCATGGTAATATCGTGATGTTCTAGTGGAAAAGAATCATGATGATGATTTGAGGGAATATCAATTTTAAGTCCAAATCGTGATTTGGAAGAATCGGCTGTAGTGAGAGGTGTTCTCGAATTGGCAGTAGATGAAGAAGTTTGGGAGATGAGTGTTGAAGCAGATGTTTCGTGTTTTGCTGAAAATTCCGATTCTTCATCAGAGTCCTCAAATTCTTCCTCTATATAAACATTCTTCCTGCCAGAATGTTTTTCTTGATTGTCATTAGAGGATTGATGTGTTGGCATTGTTTCTTTAAAGTGGGGTTGATTTTGTTGATGGTGTTGATTGCTCGGAGAGCTAATTAAGGCGACAGATGGTGAGTAGGAGGGTGGCTTGTGTGCAGGACTCTCTGGTGGAATTGAATCAGCATCATCCTCCTCTATGATGATATCTCTGTCATTTGTTGATGTATATATTTGATGGTCATCCATTATTGTATTTTAATAGAAAATAATTAATAATTAAATAACAATTAAGATCTGTGGTTGTTGTTGTAGTTCTTCTTGATGTTGTGCTACTATTCGTTTTGAATTTCTGTTAGAAATTTAATGCGAAGATATGACAAGCAACCTTACTCCAAAACTTATAGTAGGGAATTATAACAAGTTGATAATTTCCGCAAATACTATTTGATAAAAAGTTATTACTATTTGAAAATATGATTTACACTTGTTCACCAACTCGGATGAAGTGAGAGGTGGTGATTTGTTTGTTGTTTTTACTGTAAATATTTTTTTAGTGGTGGAATGAAATTGCGGCAAAGCCTTATTGAATTAATATTAGTAACTGAACTCGAACGCTGTTATAATAAGCGAATGAAACATTCAATTTCGAGATCCAACATGATAAGAATATTAACAATTTTTATAATTTCATTTATTTACAATTCAAAGTATTATAGTGATGGAGATTTAACAATAGAATAAATTAAATATTTATTCAGTAGCAGTAATAATTCTAACAGCCAAGTTCATAGCCATAAGTTCTTGAATCATCAACTTGAAAGCATATGGAATGAAAACTTGAGAGAAACTAGTCTTGTTATCACAGGCATCACACTTGAATTGTTGTTGTTTGATATTAGCAGTTGCCATCATACCACAAACATTACAAATGTGAACTCGGTATTCGTCAGAAACTTGGAACAAACGTTCTTTAAGCCAAGCAGCAGAACCATGGGAAATCATACAATCACGTTCCATTTCACCGAAACGCAAACCACCATCTCTAGCACGACCTTCTACAGGTTGTCTTGTCAAGTTTTGTAATGGACCTCTTGCACGAGAGTGAATCTTATCGTCGACCATGTGCTTCAAACGTTGGTAATAAGTTGGACCAATAAAGATTTGAGCTTCCAATTTTCTACCAGTGTGACCATTGAACATGACTTCATTGGCACGTTTTTGATAACCCAATGAGTGCAACATTTCAGAGAAATAGTTAACGTTTGCATCAGTGAATGGTGTAGCATCACCTTCGTTACCAGACAAGGAACTGATCTTACCCAATAAACATTCAATCAACTGACCGACTGTCATACGAGATGGAATAGCGTGTGGGTTGACAATAATATCTGGAACAATACCTTCACGAGTGAATGGTAAATCTTCTTGTCTATATGTAATACCGCAAGTACCCTTTTGACCGTGACGAGATGAGAACTTGTCACCAATTTGAGGAATTCTGACAACTCTAACCTTAATCTTGACAAATTTGAAACCTTCAGAATCTGTTGTAACAACAACTGTATCAACAATACCGTTTTCATTACTTCTCAAAGGAGTACTCATATCAAGTCTGGTTTGACGACTTGTCTTTTGCTTAGCTGATTCTTCTGGGAGTGGAACAGTCTTACCAATAATGATATCAGATCCAGATACTCTAACACCAGGAGCAATAATACCATCATCTTCAAGCTTTTCATAGGTACTTGTCTTCATACCAGCTGTAGTATCACGTTTTGGTTTTTCAAAGTTTTCCAATAAAAAGTTACCCTTCTTTCTTTCGTGATCACTGTAGGTACGATAAAATACAGAACGGAACAAACCACGATCAATGGCACTTTGGTTCATAATGACAGAGTCTTCTTGGTTGTAACCAGAGTAACAAGCAATGGCGACAACAGCATTTTGACCAGCAGGAAGTTCACCAAAACGTAAATATTCCATAGGTTGAGTTGTAACAAGAGGTCTTTGAGGATAGTACAAAACGTGGGCAAGAGTATCCATACGTTGTTGGAAGTTTGTAATATAGACACCCATAGCCTGCTTACCCATCGCAGATTGGTAAGTGTTACGAGGAGATTGGTTGTGATCAGGGAATGGAATAATTGAACCAAGAATACCAAGAATCATACTAGGGTGAATTTCTGCGTGTGTATATGGTTGCCTACTACCACCCTTCCTAGATTTGCCTTCATTGGCAGATGATCTCTTTTCTACAAGTTCTCTAAAGTCCATAGCAATCATGATTGATTCTTCTTCTTCAGTATCAATCAATTCAACAAGACCTTGTTCTAATAAATTGTCCCAGTTCATGGTATTTTCACGAAGAGCTTGAACATGTTGATTCTTAATGAATAATGTATCATGATCACGATCAACAATGAATAATGGTCTAGCACAACGACCACTGTCACACCAAATTCTAACTTCTCTTTCTCTAACATCACGAACAATACTGACTTGCATATCGACAGCACCAGTTCTTCTCAAGACTCTCAAGTGTTTAACCAATTCATCTGGGGTGTGGTGAACACCCATCCACATACCATTAAGGAAAACTTTAGTGTACTTGTTCAAATCAGATTCGTCCAATTCGTGCAACTTGTTAATACCCAATTCGTCCAACATTTTAGAAATGTGAGTCTTGTCAGTACCGACAGTAATATAAGACATTAAAGCCAAGTTCTTGACCAAACCGCAAGCACCACCTTCTGGAGTTTCAGCTGGACAAATAACACCCCACTGAGTGTTGTGCAATTGTCTAGGAGCAGCTTGTTTACCTGATCTTTCAATTGGTGTGTTCAATCTACGCAAGTGAGATAAAGTTGAAGTATATGTCAAACGATTCAACACTTGAGCAACACCAGCACGAATATCTCTAGAACCTTGGACACCCCAGTTACCTGTGGCAAGTGAATATTGGAGACCCTTGGTAATAGTTCTCTTATTGACAGCTGGAGCAACATCAATTTCTGATGATTTCAAAATTGACTTTTTCAATGTTGATTCCATTTCCTTAACAACCTTCTTGAATAATTGTAAGAATAAACCTTGCAACAAACCACCAGCCAATTCCAAACGCTTGTTACCATAGTGATCACGATCATCTAATGGTCTTCTACCTAGAGCACCCAATAATAAACGATGGACCATGTATCCGATAAAGTAAGCTTTACGATCGTATGAAGTGTCACCAATACCAACGTGTGGAAGCATTTCCTTTTGTAAAATTTCTTCAGCATGATTCATACGTTTTTCTTGACTGGCACCAAGAGTGTTACCTCTCTTACCAATATAATCCAAAGCTACAGTGTTTGAAAGAACAGCAACAGCTTCTTCCAAAGATGGACGCAAAAGTTCCATCATTTGACCATCGTTCAAATTATAGATAATATGTTTGATAATTTCCTTATCGGCTTGACAACTCAAAGCTCTGAACAAAATGACAATAGGGATATCTTGTCTAATATATGGAATTGTGGCATGAATTAATCCACCAATACCACCCTTCTTATTACCTTGCTTAGGTTCCATTTTAATGAAAAATCCACTTGGTGCTCTGTAGCCACCTTCTTGTGAAGAACGGATTTCAGCAACATAGCTGAACTTACTCATTGCCTTTTTGAAAACATATACATGGTTAGTGGCCATACGTTCTTGAGCAATAATAACTTTTTCACCACCATTAATAATAAAGTAACCACCAGAGTCGAATGGACATTCACCAACATCGGTAACATCCTGCACTTCACTCAACATACAATAGACAGAACGAAGCATGATAGGAATAGAACCGAGTGGAATTTGATTATGGATTTTGCTTTGCACAATAAAGTCATCTGTATCTTCTTCACCAACTTGGGCTGTATAAATGTTTGCTGTTGATCCGGGCCTGAGAGTAATCTTCTTTTCGTGAATGTCTACATAGAGTGGACTTGAATAGGTAAGATTTCTCAGACGAGCATCATTAGGATATACGGAGGAGTAAGCTTCAATTTGTTCAGACTTGGTATCTACTGTTGGTCTAGATAAATAGATTTGTCCAAACTTGATATTATACTTGAATTGTGGTTGATTTTGTTGTTGGTCTCTCTTTTGGCCAACTTTGTATGAAGCACTACTGGAGAGCATAATTTCTGATGTACCTTCGACAAGTTCTTGAATAGTTTGTTGAATAAATACGTTAAAAGAGTCCAATTGCTGTCTTACGAGACCTCCTTTTTGATCAAAGAAGGCTGTAATGACTGGCCAGACATCTTCTTGTACTTTCAGTTCATCAGCTTCGTTAAAGTTGAAGTTTTGTTGATCATCTTCCATAGAAATACCAGCGTATTGGTTATTGTCTTCATAGTCCATTTGTTCATCATCTTCGTATTCCATATCATCCATGTTAGGATTATTATCGTCCATCATTTTCCTATAAATTAGTTAATAAATTATATAAAGTAGTTTGTATACAACTATTATAGTTGTAGAGGTAGTAGTAGAGTAGTCTAGTGTATCAATCTTTGTACAAAAATCAAGAATTGTTCACAACAAAAAAACAATAGAGTGAGTAGCCAACAAGACTTGATATTTTTTTTGATTAAAAAATGCAATGTAGTTTTTTATTTTTTTTCTATTCACTCACAACGTTTTTTCACCAACTTCACATATGGCTTGAAGATGAAGATGATAAAATCCAATAACAATTACACCAACAACAACAGTACTATGCTAATTGGAAAGGCTTGTTGTAGATTGTGTTCATAATTAATATAATATTTATTTGCAATTACTAACAACCTAATTGACCATATTGTAATAACCAGTAATCTATCTAGATAGTACTTCGCACTACCTTTTCCCATTCGATGGTGTTATCAAGAGAATATTTATCATCAAGGTATTCCATTCTCTTTCTTCCCTATCCTTACATACGAAAATTGAAGCACAGATAGAGATTATCAATTAATATTTAATAATTTACTGCTTTTACATTTTTTTGTTTCTTAATAGGGTTCTTACAATATAATTAAGCTTACAATAGAAACAAGAAGAAATTAAATATTTAATTCAACAACAGATTAGAGAGTCCACATACAAATAGCAGCTCTCTTTTGAGTTAAGAAGTTTTCTCTCATAGTCTCTCTCGAGGCATGTGGCACAAAATCAGCAATACAAATCACTCGATTAGCGCTGATGGTAAAGTTTCTCAACATGATATCTGAAGGAATTACTTCCAATAGCTTCATCACAGAGTACTGATTCTTTGGAGTGAGGAGAACATTTGGGAAACAGTAGTGTCTCTTCTCTTCCTTAGATTGCTGATCTGATATCCATACTGATAAATATTCCAATGAATCACTTGGGCACTTGGATTGGATGATTTGCTTCCACTTGTTACAATTTTACATTCTCTCGTGCTAAACATACTGCTAATTTCGAGGATAGAGCTGACTGGACTTGGGGAAACCAGCTGTTTGTGCTTCTCTGGTCCAATAAGTAGCTGCTCTAGTTTACAATCATTCCTCTCTATTTTCCATTGCTTGGCGAATTGGTCAACTGAGCATGTAGTGAAACAATCCTTTCCATTCGATGCAAGAGAAAACAGAGGTGTCGAATGAGCTTCACTCACTTGTATAACTCTCTCCAAAGTAAGGGCATTAAATATGGAGATGGACTTGTCGTAGGAAATAGTAATAATGAGTGGAATTAATTGTTTAGGAGAATCTGGATTAATCTGATTGGAAACATAGAGAATGTCAGATATGAGGTCAGAGTGAGCTTTCATTTGATATATTAACTTTCCTCCCATTACATCATAGAATTGTAAATTACCATTCGCCAACCCAACAATGAGATAGCCTTTATCCAAGTGATCTGCTACAGTCCATGCTAAGGTACTTGGTAAATCAATAGTTATTTCTTTATCCAATCTATTCAAATCCCAAATCTTGATTGTCTTATCTCTTGATGTGGTAACAATCTTAGTTGGATGTTGACTGATGAGAGTAATGTCACGAATCCAATCCTGATGGGAATCTAAAGTGGCAACTAATTTCATGGAAATACTTCTCTTACCGCTCAATGTTTCAAATTCTGAGAAGGTAATTTTCCACATCTTGAGAGTTCTATCCTTTGAGCCAGTGAGGAGGATAAGAGAATTGATATTGTCAGAGTGCATTGACCTCTTGGTAAAGTATTGAGAATTCAAGAATTTCATGCATGTAATTTCATCATTGTGTGCACTTTTAACTCTGAGACTGAATTTGTAATCAGAGTCAGATTCCTGCATGTATTCATCATCATTCTTGATAAGGTTATATCTCTCAGAAAATTCCTTTCCATAATCTCGAGTATAGATATGAATCAATCCATCACGAGTTCCAGAAGCAATCAACTCTGTATGTCTATTAAATACATTACAAATGGCAAAGCAAGTATTTGAATGAATACTCTCAGTCATGATTGAAGAGACAACTTGAAAATTCTCCTTCACAGCATTACCTCCCACACTCAATCTATCCTTCGACTGTATCAAATGAACCAACATCCACCTGAAAACATCAGTTTGTCTTTTATCTTCCTCACTATATTGTTCAGGTCTGTACAAAAATTGACTGCTATCAATCAAATTCTCATCACCTTCCTCATCATCTGAAATCTTTGTATCATGTGCTTCCTTCTCCTCCAAAACATAATGTACAGTATGCTTGTACGATTGATTGGTTTGTGAACTGGTTTCATCAACTTCCCTTCCATAAATTCTTTGCCAGAAATTAATTTTGAAATGGAGAAAATGGTAGAAATTCTTGCAGACTAAATCTAATCGAGATTGTGATAGGAGTGCCAATCTATTGATAGGAACAAAGGAAAATATAGATCCGAGAAGATTTTCATCAAGGAGTGAGAGGTTCATTGTCACTTCTTGTTGTTGCATTGTTTTTTTATTGTAAAATTAATTCAATTTTATAATAAAACAATCTTTGGGAATCGGAAGGTATTCGGAAAGGAACCGATGATCCATGGAGAAATCATATTGATTCATACAAAATCTGATTAATTCAATAATTGAATTAATTGTTATTGAATTAATTGAAGAGTTGATGGTATTAATATTATTTACAAATTATTTAAATGTTTAAAACAATTATTCCTCTTCGTCGTCATCAGAAAGAGGATCCAAAACCAATAATCTTACCCATCCACTTTCAATATCCTCCTTCAGCTTTTCTTCCACTATTTCAAAATTTGCTGGTGAGCACGTAACCTCAAGACAAAAGAATTGAGGGAAAAACGAAACTAAAACACTCGAAACCTCATCAATGGTTCTTTTTCAATTCAATACAATTTAAAATTCCATTACATCATCAATTAGAAAATCATATTCAAAATTAATATAAAATTCCGAAAATACAAAACATAATAATTATCAAATCAATTCTTCATAAAAACCTACTCTAACTTTTCTTGAAACTCTCTAGTAATCTTCAACTGCACCGTGCCTTCCTTAAATTTGAAATATCTCTTCAAAACGGCATCTTCCTTCATGGAGGTATCAATCTTAATACTTCCCATCACTGTCTTAGTGAGTGGTGAGTAATCTTGATATCTATTGAATGAATTTAAAGTGTCTTCATCGGAGATGTTGCAAGTGGCCAAGTTGTGGTCCATCTTGTTCCAATCACTCTCGGAAACACCCATATTATGACAAATATTTGAAAGCATTTTTTTTTGTTGTTTCTTAATAGTTTTTTTTGTATTTTATTGAATTTCCTTATTTGATGAAAATTAAATACTACTTTACAATGAGAATTAAATAATCTAATAAATGAGTTTTTAGAGGAATGGATTGAGGACGAGAGCAACTGGATGAATAGGGAATGCACAATCATGACTCTCAGAACTTAAATATCTGTTGGATGAAACATCAGCTTTTTGCCATTGAGGAATTTCCACCTTGTAATGAGTTAAAAGTTCAATAACGAAAACTCTACTCGAAAGATGAATGAAATTACAACCCAAACAAGTATCCAATAGAACACTAGTGTTACTTTCGATAGATTCACCATTCTTGACAATTTGTTGATGGGATTTGCAAGGAACATATCCGTATTGAGTGAATGCTTGGTCAACTCTCAATTTGTTCATTAAGGAGCGATCTTCTTCAATGGAATTGGACTTGTTGAAGGATAATTCAGAAACTTCAGATGGTCCACCACGAAGTACTTGTTGTTTCTCAGTGTCACTATTCGAAACTTCAATGGTTGGAGTTTCTTCCTTCTCATCTGGGTGATACAATTCCAAGAATCTTTCTGGTCTGTAGGTATGAGTTTCGAATGGGAAATATTCCTTCGAGTGATGTGAAAAGTATGGAACGATGGAAACGAATTGTCCGCTCGGAATGTCATAATTGAAATAACGAAGAGTTCTAAAGTCTAGTTTGGTCGTCTTGCCTGTCATGAATTTCAAAGAATATTGACGAGTAGTTTCTTTAAAGCATGCGTCTAGGAGTCTGAGGTTGTTTTCATCTGGATTGAGGAGGCCTGAGTGGTGCATGGATTCGAATTGCTTGTCGAAACTGGAAGAAAGAACACTTTCAACAAATAAAGCATTGAACAAGAGTTTCTTTTGAACCAATCCCTTATGTACAAGATCTGGACTAATAGTCTCCACATTGAAATCATAATTCTTGGATTGAGCAATAGATTGCATTGGTGCTTGAGCAGCCAAACTCAAATTATCCATATTTGGCAATGTTAATTGTTCTGTCTTGGATGGAGATACTGTTCTATTGACATTCAAATAGTGAGGAGGAATCAATTCTCCAGTAATAATTTGCTCCTCAGTATAATTAATTGTATCTTGATCTGAAGGGAATGTATTCTCTTTCAACTCATCATTCGAACGAGAAAATGGAGAGGGAACGAAACCAACCGGTGAGGAAGGAGCACTTGAAAGAGTACCAATACTCTCAGATGGAATTGTATCCAATGAAGTATGTGAAGCAAATGGATCTGAAATATCATTGGCAGAAAATGTTGTCGGTGGGGTTTCGTCCATGCTATTCACCCTATTGAGCAAATCCAAATCTTCCTTTTTGAGTGTATGAATACCTTCCAAAAGCTCCTTTCTAGGCTCATCAAAGTTATTATCATTCATTACTCCATTCAAATGATCAAATTTGCTCAAATACTCTTCTGTATCTGTTTTCTGTGAAATTAAACTGGTCATTTGATTTTTCAATTCATCTTGAAATTGGAAGATTTCCTTTCTTACCTTATCTTGGAGGGATTGATCTTGTGCCAAGTGACAGATTGTCCAGGATAGGTTGGTTACTTCATGTTTGTGAACAGAGAGAATCAATTCTTCAAAGTGAATGGCGTAGATGGACATGGTGTGCTCAATTGTGGATCCATATTTGGAAAGGTTAGGTCCAAGATTTTCCAAGACATAGTCCATGTAGCAGCCATATGTTTTAAGAGAATTGTTAGCATAATTGGTATTCTTCAAGCATGGTTTCTTAGTGCTGGCATTTGTCATGTTAAATTGATAAATTTTGACATGTCTCTCAATTTCTCTGAACAATAATTCGTGTAATCTCTTCTTCTTCAATTCAATTTCATAAACCTTATTAGGAACCCAAACATTTTCTAACAGTTTAAACCTAAAAAAGTTATAATAACACATCATTAATGGATCACAACAAGAAACTTGCAAAGTTGAAACAATTTCTGACAACTCATCACCATGACTCTTGGCAAAAGTTGATCCAAAGATGCTTCTCAACACTGACTTGATAACAAATCGAGACATGTGTGAAAAAACGTCACCCATCACTAAAACTTGATCATTGAATTGTTGCTTCTTTAAACCTTCGGTGAAAATGTCTTCGTAATGCCAAATAATTGCTTTGGAGTTTCTAGATCTGCTTCGGCTATGGCTGGCATTTCATTCTTATCAACAAAATCCAAATTGATGTGATTGAGGTGGAAGAGTGAGCTTTTGACTTCCTTTCGAATATTTTCTAAAACAAATTCAGAGAGTGGTTGAATGGAGGAGAAACCTTCATGAAGCATTTGTTTCAAATGTTCTTTTTCAGTTAATAGTTGTTTCTTGGAGATTGGCTCCTCCTTTAGTTCAGGTTCGTTTTCAAGTGGATGCCATCTCACTCTTCTGGAAATGAAAGGCAAGCAAATTTGATGGTTTCTTGGCAAGATGTCACTTCTCTCAAATGCCTTATTCAACATTTCAGAAGCTTTACTATAATCAATTAAAGGATTAAACAAATTCGATTGTTTTCCCTCAATATCTGAAAAGAAAATTCTATTCGAATCTGGTCCCACCATAAAAGTCCACTTGATACCAAACCAAGCATAAATTGAAAAGCAAGGACCATAAATCTTTGCACATCTCTCAACAAACACCACAGGATCACTCAAATACTGAATCAATACACTCAAATAAGGCACTGGTGGAAGTAATTCGTATAAATCCCACATTATTTTAATCCACTTGTGATGATCGTAGTGTAATGAAGTGGACGAGTGCAACGATTGATGTAAATGAGTACAGTCGATAGAACTTCTTCTTATCCTATGCGAGGATGGAGTGTGGGTTTGAGAGGGGAAAGTTTCTTGCTTTTCGTATGGATAAATTTCTTGTCTTGAGAGTGGAAAGATAACTATAGGAGGAGAGGATTCAAGAGGTTCATGTTGGCTGACGTGATGTTCTCCCTTTCGAGTAGAATTGACATGACGAGAAACTCTCTTGAGAATATCCTTTCTGAAAAGTCGTTGTTTCTTATCGTAATATTTCCAAGCTACCAATCCTACCAGATAGAGAATGATAAGGGAAGTGCCAAATATCAAATTGAATGTTAATAGGGTGAGTTCCATTTCTTCTTAGCAGGATTGACTTCAAACAAGTGCTTTTTGAAACTAGTTTCTTGTGCAAAGCGTATTCGTCTAATTTTTTGAAAGTAGTTTTGAAAATGAGAAATTTCCAAGTAAGGAATTTCGTTTTTTAAAGGAATCATATTCTTGGAAAGTACCATTCCCATTCCAATGATTATTAGAAACATACGTTAAAAGGTAAAGAGATCATGATGGTAAACTTTAAGTTATTATTATGATGAAAATAATATTAAACAGCTGGTTCATCTTTTAATCTTACAATGTAAAAGTTTGTTATGGAAGAGACATTTTCCTTGTTGAAGCCCAGCCCTTTGGTTGATCGTTGTGAGGACCAATACTCGAATTCAGTACCATCCTCACTCAAGCTATTGAAAATAACACTATGACCTGTACCGTTATGCCTCCAGAACTGAATGAAATCACCCTTTATAGCATCACTAATTGACTCGACATGTATTCCCAAATTTCGTGTCATGAGTGCCTTGTAACAACCTTGTTTGTAGGTTTCATCATCTTCGTCTTCCTTCTCACAGAACCAATCTCTCTTAATATCCATCATTTGTTCAATGGAGGAGAATTGCTTGTATTGTGAATGTTTTGCAATAAAAACCTTTACAAAAATCTCATAGGTCATGCCACAACAAAAAGTTCCTGGGATGGTGAGTTTTGGAGCTGGCGTTGAAGGAGGTTGGAGGTGGCCAGGATGGGAAATGGAGAGGAAAATTGGGAATCTTGCATTCATCATGGATGATTGGGATTTTCTGTACACGTCCATCATGAGGTCTTTCTTCTTTTCGGCTATCAGCTTTTTACCTTTCAGTGTGGAACTGAGAGATGGTAGCAAGAGGCGTCTCGATTGAGTTATACCAGTAGACAAGTTGGGCAGATACAAATCTTTTGCTGTCCCATAACCTACGTGGCCACAGACACAACAGTGGAGGGCCTTTCTATCACATAAACACTTCTTCACAGGTGGTAAGGCAAGGAGGAATGATTCCAAATCACCTCGTTCATGTTCCTTCAACAAATCATTCATAGTTTCGAATGAGGTGAAGAATGGTTCGTCAGGCACAGCATTTGGGTCCAGTATTGGGAATGGACCAGAGTTTGCTTCTTCTTGGTGTCTCACAAGTGTTTGTACAAGTTTGGTGGAGAGTGGTTTTGGATTGGTTTCATCCGATTGCATGGCAGAAGGTAAATTGCTAGTCAAGGCAAATCTCAGTAAGCTATTATTGTTGTTGGATGGACTAGCCAACTCGAGAGGGGAAGTGGAAGGAGAAGCAACAGGAGAATTCGGTACAGTAGTATTTGGATTCGTCCACCCAAAATCAAAAGTTCCATCAGTTGGATATTCGGATAGAGTTTCCATTATGAATGAATTGAAAATAGTTGATATGAGTGATTGTGGTGAAGATTGAGCTTTCTTAAAGGTCTTTAACAATTCATGTTCGTCGTGAATTGAATTAAGGATTGGATTGAATGCAAGAATGTTGAGTGGTTGGGGTTTATCGGTAGTAGTAGTAGTAGTAGTTTCTGGAAGAATGGATTGGGAAGGACTATTTTCTAATTGGGTTCAATGCTGAGTAAAATAGAAGGATGAATCAATAACTTACTAATCGGAGGAAGAAGAGCAAATGATGCGAATGGGTTAATTGTAGTGCTGCAAGAAGAGACAACTTGTGATGAAAGTATTGAAGAGGTTATCGATGTTGTTGTTGTTATTGAAGATGTTGAAGTGGCTGTACATTCGAGCACTGATGAAGGATCCTCTTCCTCTTCCATGAGACTCGTACTATCTTCCGAATCATCAGCATTGGAAGGAGAGAGCATTAATTGTTGGCTTTGTTGGTGATGGCAACTCCATTCAGTATTTTGTGACTTGCGAATCACTATTGGTTTACTATGATGTTGTAACGTTGTAGTTGTTATTGATGGTGATGTAAAATTGTTATTAGTAGTATCATTACAGTGGTGGTGTTGATTGCCAAATGTTGCTCCTTTAATTGATGCGCCACTTTTCCCTGTTTGCCGTATGCTGGATTTGTAGTGGCGTCTTTGCATACTTTTTTTTTCTTTCATAGCTGAATCGATGTTGCGGGGAATTTGGTTCTACCTTGCTGTGTTCTTTGAAGAACATACATACAAAGGTGTCTTACCACAAAAAAATTATAATCCCTTGTTCATACTCCAATGAAACAGAGTTAATTTTACCAACAATGTTCATTACTTTGGACTTCTTTCAAATATCTATTGTATGATGGAAGAGAGAGAAGTAAAGGTTGCATACAATCCACTTCCGAAATGTTCCCAATCACAACCATTAAATATCTTGTCTCAGCTTTCATTATACAGGGTTCCACGAAAGAGAGATCGGGAGTGCAAAGCAACACTCCATGAGCTGAAACAAACAAAATAACAAAGTTTGGCAATGGGTGTTACAACATATTGGCGGTTATTTGAATAGCAGGGCTTAATTGGTTTATCATATTAATGTCTGTTCTCTGTAATTCAATAGTATTGAGGGCAATTAAGTACGATTACTGTGATGATCAACTACAAGCAAGTAGGATTGATTCGAATTGAGGTGTTTCAATTCTTTGAAGAAAAAATCTATGAATTGGAAGATGATTGTAATGTATGACAATTAAATAGAAACCTTTTAACCATTGAGTGTTATCGTGGAGTTTCTATTGTAATCGAGGAAACATTTGCAATTTTGTTCAACTATTGTTCACAGAGTATGTATTTAATTTTTTGGATGACTGAGCATTGGAATATTTACTGTGTTAATCTTCAATAATGAATGATCCACTGGCAAATTCAGTGCTACATGCTTTGCTTTTTACGGAGTTTTTGTGGCTCTTTCATTAAGGGTCCCTTTTCCTCAATCGTTTTTTATTACCAAACATGGACCATAAATGGACCAATAATTTGATTTGAGTAAGGTAACTTTTCAAGTTTTCTGGTAAATTTTTATTGGTTGGCGTGACCTGTCCAAACATTATACAAGTCAATTAAACATTACAGTGCTCAATTCCAAATGGTTTTGCTATAACAAGTTCCATTAAAAGAAGAATGAGAAAAGGGATTGTATTGGATGGAAGAACATTTTTGAAATCGAGACTTATTTGGAATAACAAAATTGCGTCACTGAAATTATCATCAAGTTAGAATAATTTATTATTAGTTTCTCTTCTTTCTACTGAGATGGGGCAATTGAAGAGTTATTGAAATGAGTGGTTTCATTGAGCAGACAGCTGTCTTGTCAGCTCGTTGTTCTCTATCAACCTGAACGGTGACTGGTCTGAGTTTGCAATACTCTGCCAATAGAGTATCTTGCAATTGCTTCAGTTCATCACTCTCCAGAATTGTTCCAGATTGATGAGAGGATTCCTTTTTCAAATCTGTTGCAAAACAAACATCAAAAACACTAGGTATTTCTTCAATGACTTTTTCTTTCAGATGGATTCCAGTAGTTTGCATTCGAGACCGTGGCTGCTTTCCATTTCTGGGAGAATGAGCCAAATGACTTGGTGAATGAGGAGTTGTAGGAGTACTAGGAGTCAGTTGAACATTAAGAGTTGGAGAGGATGTTTGATAATTATTAAGTGAGAGTTGTTTTTTCTTTTTCAAATCCAATCTATCTTTGAATAATTCATTGGATGAAATCATTGAGGCAGAGGAAAATGAATCAAGAAAAGGAGTGGAAGATTTACAATGGTTGGAGGATGATTCAAAACTTGTTGTTGTTGTGTGGTGGTTAGTGGCAGAAACAGCATGCAGTGGTGACGACACTGAATTATTCAATGTCGATGATGCTGATGAATTGACCATAATCTTCTTGAGTTGTAAGATGACCATTCTTTCTATTCTGATTTAAATGAAAATTCAAAGGATACAATTATTATTATTCTTATTGAGTAATTAGTAACACAAAATCTGCGGGCGGGAAGAGAGAATACTTTCAAAGTGGTGTATATTTTCTTTATATTGAAAAACTCTCTGCGTTGTATGTGATGAATTCGCAAGTGTTTGATGTTGCTTGTTTTTTTTTCAAAGCAAAGATTCTATTAATATAGTAACAAAGCGAGATCTCAAACAACAACAAAACAATATTGAGGTAGTAAGTAGTTGTGTGTTGTTGTTGTGTTGTTTTACAGCAAGTATTCGTTGCGTATTGTATATATAGCTACTTAGTTGAGGTTTTCTGATATTTTAATTGTTATTCGTTACTTACTAAATTTTGAAAAAGATACACCCGACTACAAATGAGTAATTTGTTTGGACAGATTAGAAAGAGGGTTGTGTATGATTTGGAATGATAGTGGGATCTATTTTTACAATTGGATTTCTAAAGTTTCTGATAGTATCAAATTTGTTAGAAAGGTAGTGTTTGGACAATGGTGCTTTGAGTTGGTTGAATCTGTCTGTGAGCGATATTGAGGTAATTGTCTGGTGGTGCAGTTACTACTTGTTGTTCGTTCTTCAGAGAAAGTTGTCCTATTGACTTTCGTACAATATTTCGTCTACAAGAAAGCAGTTAGAATAATTGCTTTTTTTTCAATTCACCAACATGCAAGATATCTTTATAATTTTGACAGAGATTTCTTGGACCGTTATGTAGCTGATTGACAAAAACTTGTTTCCTTGCGCAATTTCATGGTGTTGTATTCGAAACAAACCGATTCATATTTCACCCTTAGTCTATTTGAAACTGAACTTTTAAATAGAAAAACTACAAACCTCGATTTTTTGTTACATTTTTGCTCAACACTTGACAGATTGATTCCAAACATTAATAGCTAATGCCTTGAAAAAGTTTACAAAATCTAAGGAAGACAATTCGAGTAAATCTTGAAAAAGTCAAGACGAATCAAAATCAGGAAAGAGTTGACTAGAGTGGAATTTTCTATTTGAAAAAGATCTATGAATATGTGTGATTATCTCTAGAGTTCATCTTGAACTTTGCGTGTATACAAAAAATATTGTAATAATTATTTAATACTTTACAATAATTATTAAATATTTAAAAAGATCATGAAAAAAATAAAAAGAAATGCAGTGTAGCAATCCGATCTCTTTCAATTTGAACTCAACAATTTCCAAAGAGTGGAAACTATTTAGGATAATAATTGAAAATGCTCAATCATCATGCATGCACATTCTATAGAGAGCAATCAAATGCTTTGGATCTGAAATTGGATATTGGCCATGATCTGTATCTGTGAAATCGGACCAATCTTTCTCTTGCAGCATCTTTTCAACATGGTCACTTAATTTCTCATTCTCGTCAAACATGGTGATATTGTAAAGTACTTGACGAATATCAGAATCATAACAGTTATTAACACAAGCAGAGAGAGTTTCCACATTGAAAATAGTTGGCGTGAATATTTCATTCAAATACAGCAAACCATCTGTTCCATCAAATGAAAAGTTGACTAAAGATTTAAATCTTCTCCAAATCGAATCAGGGTTTTCTGTAACCTCTAATAATCTATTCAAGTCAATTGGAAATTCTGAGGGCAAGAATACACCATTGAATCCTTCTTTTAAATGATCAAATGTTTGGTAAGAGTTAATTTGTTGCCATAAAAAATTGATGAAGAATTGAGTTCTTTTCTGAATCTCATAAATGTCCATTTTAAAGTGATCTCTAATGTAGCGAATTATTGAGGCTGTGTCTGTTAGGGATGTACCTTCAGTGAGCGCCTGTTGAATACTTTCGAATGGATACTGAATGCCTTTTCTGTTGGCAACTTCAATAACCTTGTCAACTACAAAGAAACCTTCTTTAAAAGGGAACTTGAGTAGATCCATAGAAGGGTACACTCTCAAAATTTCGTCTATAAAATTGTTCTGGTCATCTGTAGAAATCAAACTAGTACAAATTCGAAACAAATCGACCATATATTGCTCAATTATCTCTTGTTCAGATTTGAAGTTTTCCAAATATCTTAATCTTTTCACAATATCATTGGCCTTTGAAATGCCATCACGATAATTAAAATTAAAATTACCAGAAAATGTTGGCATTTCGTAATATGTTTTCATCTTTTGAAACAATTGAGTAATTATAGGAAGAATACCTTCATAATACTCAAAGTCTTTAAACACACATCCAAGCATTGTATTGGAAAGAGGACACACAACATCAGAATTGATAATTTTCTTCAATAATTTTTCACAATCCTGAACTTGACACTGTTTTGCCATTTCATAAAGACAACAATTCAATATTTGTTCCCAATATTTGCTTGCATTATCTAGTCTTTGATAGTTCTTTAAAAATAGAGTAAACACTTCAATTCGTAATTTGTACATATCTTCATTGGGTTTAGACTCGAGCTCTACCTCTCCATTCATAAAGACATTGAAAAATTCCTTAAATCCAATTTGCTTATTATAATGAATCGAATTGAAAAATGTTGAGATGGTAATTGCAATATTTGAAAATAATTGTCGTTCCATCAAATACTTGAATCGTTTTCCAATCATTGATGACCTATCCTCCACTTCCTCCACTTCCTGCAACTCACTCTCCTCCAATCTACTAAACCTTCCCAAGGATTCCCTCGAAGCAGTTCTATCTTTCAAAATATGACTCTCATACGAGAAACAAACAGAATTCATCAATGCCTTATCAATTTGATAATTAATTGTCGTTTCCTTCAATTTACACGATTTCAAAGCTCTCAACAGTGAATATTTACTCTTCACATCATTTCCCTTCAGAGTTTCCTTCACCTTTCCAATATTCCAAAGATGATTCGAAGCCATTCGATCAAATAATAAAATTAATTTTCCATTTAAATGATGATGAAGAATCATCTTCCAGAATGGTTCATATTGATCCAGAGAGTGCCATTCCTTGCAAACAAGAAGAGCATTTGATAAATCATGGAGTGGTAAATACTCCATCACACAGAAAAGTTCATCCAGAGATAAGTTGTGCATTTTTTTTATGATTGTTTTTTGTTATTTTCGAACAATGTGAAAATTGGAGCAAATAAGAATCTTGTAATGTTTAGTTCGAAAAAGTTCTGTGAAGTATGCGTATTCAAGGATGCGTTTAAGAACATGTTAGTGCACATGTTAATTGATTTTGTTTTATTTTACTTTCGGTCATTTCCAATTTTATTAAGGGAAATTATTGGCTCTCTAATGTCAGAAATGAACATATTTCCAGGAGCATGAGTAATGCAAATGTCTGACTCAATAGCAAGTGCTGCCATTGAGCTTGTAACACCACCTAAATTAATGTAAAAAACAATTTCACATTATCATTAAAAACTTACATGCCCAAAAACAAGGAATCTCATCTTGATGCACTGTAACTGAATCTCCAAAGTCAACCTTACTCAAATCCTCAATACCAATCTCTTTAGGATCTCCACAATGAATTGGTCCTCCGTGAGTTGTTGTGAATTGTTCAGTAATTGCTTTGGCAAGTTCTACTTGGTCTGGTTTTACAGGTCTCATGGAAACAACCATTGGAATTGATTGATTCAAATATTTAAAGTTTGGTTGTGTCTTGCATAATATATTTGTCTTGTACATGGATACATTTCTCTTCTCTGTAATATTTCTAATTTCAATTCCATGAGCTTGAAGTGCCTTCTCAAACGAAAAACTGCATCCAATCAGAAAAGTTACCAGATCATCCCTCCAATATTTTGTAACATCACGTGTTTCTTCAATCAATTTTCCTTTTTTAAAAACTCTATATTTTGGAATATCCTTCCTAATATCACATTCATTTTCATTCAATACTAATTTCTCTGGTTTTATACATCCTGGTTTGAGAGTCTCCAATACTGGACATGGCTGATGATTTAGCTTACAAAATTCTTCAAATTCTGTTGCATATTCCGAAGGCAGAATGACCAAATTGGCCTGAATAAAGCCTTTAATCATATCATCAAAATAATTATTAAAATTCTCAATAGTCCACTCCATCATCCAATAAAATTCAACCAACCTTCACAATATCCTGATGATGTACCATGCTCAAACTGTCCATTCCGAACCAATCTACGAAATTGATCAGGAGAAATATCTTTTTGCATTTTTTTTAAATTACATCTTATTCACACGGATGTGAATTAGGAAGAAAGTGGATTTTGAAGGATAGTACCAAGAGAGAAGCAAAGTCAACATGTGTTAAGATTCTGAGTAATCTTTAAGGTTTTTCTTCATTGTTTTCCTTTAACATTACTAATAACTCAATAAAATTTGTAATACAAGTTGACTAACTTAAGAGTGGAACATTGCCAATAGAAGAGAATCGATGTTTCAGAATATTGTGCAAACAACTGTGAAGATTTATCAACCACTATTAAAAAAATGTCATCACAAGATTCTACTGTTATTGATGCTATCCAATATCAACTGTTAACTGCAGAGTATTTGGATGAAGCCGTTCAATGTCTTGCCTATACTTTTGGTACATCGGAACCAATGGGAGTAGCGTTGGGACATGTTCCTGATGATTACTTGGATTTTGAGGTTTATTTTGCAGGTGTGGCTTGTGAGCAGAGATTGGGACATGTAGCTATCGATACAGCTACTGGGTAAGTGTATTGCTTGTTTGTTATATTTATTCCGAGGTGTTTAATAATATTAAAATTAATTTTTTAAAATAATAATATAATTGGTGAATATTTATTTAAATTAATGAAAAATTAATGAAAATGAATAGAAAATTAATTGGTGTAATCATCAGTGAAGACTATGCCAAAAGCTTTTTTGCAACTATTCCAGAAAAATTGATGGAAAATAAGAAAATTGGAAGAGTGATTAAAGTTTTGGAATTGTTACATGAAAAATTCTTCCATGCAAATCCTGAACGTGAGAAGGAAATTAAAAATTCTGAAAGTTTTGGAAAGATTCTTCACTTGAATTGCACAAGTGTTTATGCAGAGTATAGGTGTGTAAATTGATTGACTTTAAATTATTGAAATATTCCATAATTTTTGACTAAATTGAAAATAGAGGAAAAGGAATTGCTTCACAATTGACCAAAATTCATTTTGATTATGCTAAAAATGTGTTGGGATTTAAGGGAGCCGTTGCAGAGTGCACAAGTCACACTTCAAAATCAATTAAGGAACAACATAACTTTGTCTCAAAAGCTGTTGTAAAATATTCAGAATACGAAACTAATCATTTGGAAACTGGTGAATTATACAAACCATTCGAACAAATTACTTTTAAAAATCCAAAGAATGATGGTTGTCACTTGATGTGGCTCGAACAATTCGAATAACTTTAAAGGAAAGATGAAACAAATAACTCAATATCTTTATTTCAAATATCAAATAGTATTGAATCATCTTTCAAATACTAAATTCGTGCACAAACTAGAAGTGAAATAAAATCAAAAAAAATGAAACGAAAGTTTGATTCAGATTCACCCTCTTCCCGCCCAACCAAAAAGACCCCTGACAATCAGGTAATCGTTATCAGTGATGATGACAATGATGATCTCATTATTGATTGGGAGGAAATTCAGGATCATGAAAAAAAATCCACTACGATTGCTTCCTCTTCTGGAATTTCCCGCCAAGAAAAAATCCAAAATGAATTTAATCCAAACATTTTCTCACCCAACAACAACAACAATATTTATACAATTAAATCGAGTACTGATGAGGTGGCAATGATTATTGAAGATGGAAAGATATTTTCCAATGGAGGTCTGATACGTAAACATGAAGAGGATGAAGAAAGATATATCGATTCCGATACTAATTATTTAATGAATAATTGTGATGAGGATGATGGTGATGATAATAATATTATTAATATTGATTGGGGAGAAATTCATTATGAAGTAATACCTGATCATAATTTAATCAAGCAAATTCCAAATGAAATAATGTTAGATTGGATGTTTTATATGGATACGAAGAGCCTTTTCAATTTTATATGTACATGCCGAGATGTTTATCAATTGTTTGATGAGATTTATGGTCAGAGTGTTGAGAGGCTTCGTTTGGATATTTTGAATGGAAAGAGGAAGATTGGAGAGTTGAGTAGAGCGTTTGATTTGTTTTCGGATAGTTTGGCTAGTGGTGGAGAGAAAGTCATGTTGACCTATGATCAATATTTCCGAACGAGAAGTTCAGTATCGTGGCCTTTGAGTTATTTTCATGATCAGAAAAAGTTTTCAACCGTTTATCAAGCGGATGATCCAGAAATTAAGGAAATTAATGATACTGCTGATTTGAAAATGGCCTCTTTAAATAGTTTGCCAGATGATGAAATTCAAAAGTTGTCAAATGAAAGTCTTCCTGTCTTTCCTTATGGACTCTTTCCACAGAAAGATGGATACTATCTCACGTTTGATCAATTTGTAAGGAGAAGATGTGTGAAAGGAATGACCAGGCAGTATTATACAGATTTGGACAAAATATGGAAGTTGGATCGTGTAATTACTCCAGATCTTTACAATCAACAAAGTGAATTAGGTAGCCATTCACAAATTGATTATCACACATATGTAGACAAACCAAATCCAGACCTTTATTCTATTTACTTGGAGAGATTGGTGAGATTTTTCAAACATCCTCACAAGATGACATTTTCTAATTTCGAAGAAAGATTCAAGAACCATTTCCTTAATGAACTAGCAAGAGTCCTTATTTATGATTGCATCTTTCAGTACAATAGAACAACCAAAACAAAGGAACGCTTTGTTGTTTCAGGAGGATCACTCCTTCACACATTAACTGGTTGTGGATGTCAAGATATTGATATTTTCATCATTAATAATGGCGAGTCAAATGATGTGATTAATCAAGCAATTAAACACGTAATGCTAATGTTTGAGAAGAAATCTACCAAATTTGATTATAACATAATGAGCTCCAAGACAACAATTAATATTTGTCAAAAACGTCCTAGAATGAGTCTAAAGGATGGTTACAGAGTGGAAAGCAACCAAAATATTCAAATAGTTTTATTGAAATATGATTCTATTGAGGAGTTACTTTTATTTTTTGACTTGGATTGCTGCAAACTTGCCTATGATGGATCACAAGTATTTACTGTTTTAGAATGTTTAAGATCCCTCAAGTATAAGATAAATTTTCTTTCTAAAGAAACCGGAAACTCAGAAATCAATAATAGGCGGGCATGGAAATATGGAACTAGAGGTTTTCACACATTCGTACTGAAATATGACCATCCTTTGCTGCATGCCATGCATTGTGATTTTATTGTTGAAAGCCACCGATTGCATACTCTTAAAAATTATCTCTCGAATTATGAATCTGGATATTATAGGTTTCATCCTTCATCTAACTTGCATGTTCAATCAACGCATACTACTGACCCTAGTAGTTCTATAGATTTGGATGCTTCTGAATACTTGTATCCTTTAGTATTGAGAAATGTGGATTATTATTTTATTGACCTATGTAAGAGTATTGGATTGAGCGCTGCATTGTGGAAACTTCGTAGACACCTATCAAGGAATCATCACTGCTTTATATTCGATTTTATTCTTACCACACCATTCAAACACTCGGAAAATGTGGAAGATTTTATGAAAAATCTAAAATCTGATGAGATTCAACATGCAGAAAGAGTTGAAAATATTATGACAACAGATGAGTACATCTTTATTGATAGACCTTCAGAACTGTTTCAGATTTTAGCAGAAAACCATGATTTTGTAAAGGAGAAATACTCTGACAGGCATTTGGCAAGAAAGTACTGTATAGCCAAATGTGACAAGTGCTTAACCTATCTCTATTCTCCAACATTGGCCGAAATAATTAGCAGCAAACGATGGAATGGTAAAGAATCTACTGATACCGATGACCGTGATGTTTTTTGTCCATCTTGCAGGAAACTTAGAACTGAAAGATTTTTAATGAATTACTCATTCAATAGAAACACAAAAGAAGGTCTCATTAAACCTTGAATGTGAAAGAAGAACTTGAATTAATTGTAATGTACGAATCATATAACATTATTTAAATTTGAAATATGAGTTGATATTAAGTAGATTGAATCAGTGAAGGTTTCATTAGGGGAAATCAGATTTCCATCCAAATTTGGAACCTTACATCTAACTTTTTGAGTTTGTTCCAAATGAAAAACTATTCGAAATGGTTTAAATTAGCACCATGTGTTTGAACTTTACTATCCAACAAAAAAAAATGAAAACAAATCTAATCTTTTCAATTGCAATTCTACTCTTGCTTGCAGTCCTCTCAGTTCAAGCAAGTGACAGCTATCAAACCAAACCTCCAGTTGTTGACAAGTATCACAAACCAAGAATTTGTAAGAGAAAATGTTTAAAGCACAAGTGGATTAAGAAGTGTTTAAAACACAAACTCGTCGGTCAAAAGAAGGTCTGTGATCAATATGCAATTGTCGGTGCTGGAAAATGTCTCAAACATAAGAAATATTCCAAATGTGACAAGTACAGTAAGGCAACAAAGAAGTGTGTCTTACATGCATACAAGACTGTTGGATGTGCCAAGAAGAAGTATTGGAAGGTTTGTGATTCTTATGGAACTAAGAAGATTTGTATCAAGAAGGGTTTCAAGAAATTCTGTGCCAAGTACAAGATTGTCAACAAGTGCGTCAAGAAGGGATATAAGAAGGTCTGTAAGAAATTCAAGAAGGTTCCAATCAAGAAGTGTGAAAAGAAGAAAGTCTGTGATAAGTACACTGTTGATTCCTATAATAAGAAGGTTGCCAAATGTAGATATGTTAAAAAGTGCAAGATTGTTTCATGGGCAAAGAAATGTGCCAAGTATAAGAAGGTTAAATATTGTAAGGAGAGAAAATCCATTAAGAAATGTTGTCTCATTAAGAAGAAATTCTTCTGTGCCAAACATAAGACCATCAAGTTCTGTAAGCACAAGAAGACTATTTCCAAATGTGTGAAATATAACAAGAAGAAGTATTGTGCCAAGTCAATTATCATTCCACCAAGATGTATCAAGAAGAAGTATTATAAGAAGTGTTTGAAACGTTCAAAGGGAAAGAAGATTTGTAAGAAATTCAAATTAGTTGGTGGAAAGAAGAAGTGTTGCAAGTCAATCAAGAAGAAGATTTGTATCAAGAGAAAGACATGTAAAAAGTCATCAAAGCCAATCGTTAAACCATCCTTGTAAATTAATGGCATTTACTTACACACTCTCAGTAACACGTGAGAAATATTAATAACAAAATAAATTAAACTATTTCACAATCTCAGTGGAAGGCCAATGTTTCGATCTCTGCATTGTAGGTGATTATGGAAAGCTGAATTTCCAACTTTTGAATAGAAATTAATCATGCTGGATATTTCCTCAACAGTGGTTGATTGCATTTTGTGTAAAGGTTTACAATAATGAGATTACAAACTGGATAATGCCAAACGAATTATAAGCTATGCTTTTATTGTTTCTTCTTAAAATATGAATCAATTCGTTTTTGTTTCTTTGAAGGTAACTCGAAGGGGTTAAATGGTATGTACCTTCGTTCAATTGTAATTTCATTTTCTTCAATATAGTTACGTAAAAAATTTGTTGCAAATGGTGGCATAAAAATATCAGTTGGAACTCTTCCCCTATTATCACAAATATTCAATAAATGGGGATATTTGACTAATTTTTCTGTTAAAATTTTCTGTTGCTTAATCTCCAAAAAATTCTCTGCAATGTAGTGCAGTACAGTTAACCCATTTTGGTCTCGATAAGAAAGTTCAGGCTCTTCCATGTATTGGAAAGCAATTTCACAACCAGCTGAATAATGATTGGCAAATAATAAAGAAGGTCCTGAAAATGTAATGTAAGGTCTATAAAAATAGCTCCGTAACTTTGGATCCAAAGTAATCAGACTCAAAGTTTCGTGCATCATGTGTTCAATAGAATAGTTAGAGTTTCGAATTACATCAATGAATTCATAGTCAGTAGTGGTCTCCCTTTCACAAGGATGAGCATTAAATTTTCCTCCTGACTGGTGTTGACAAAGTTTTGAAAAGTATTCGTTTAGGTGAGAAGGATGGAATGTAGTGTCCAAAATTAAGCTATGATTATTATTTAAAATTGAGTCCAGCATTCGTTTGGTTTGCGATAAATCCATGCAGAAAAATAGCTTATTTTGTATGGGATAAGGATCCATTAATGGATGATATTCTTCTAGCTCAAATAGATTAATTTGTATAGGTGGATTTTCATCCGTCTGTATAAATCTTTGTATTCTCTTGCAAAAATCTCTTTTGTGTAATGTAATTATATAGCTTTGAGTGCTTAATTCATCAACAATAAACTGTGATACTCTAGTATCAAAAAAGAGGCAATAGATTTCTAATTTAGAGCAAGAAAAATTTCTCCCAAAAGTGCTCTAAACTCTTCCAAGATGAACGTAGGTCTATATAATTTTAGTTCCTTCCTGTTAACACAAAAATCTATTTTTTCCATCAAATATATTTCATTAGATGACAATCCAAACTTTTCATAGAATGATACTGCAAAATCAAACCTGCTCAGTTTATCTAAAGATGGCGCACATGCAATATTAAGATCATTATAACCATAGTAGGGATAGGCATGTTTTTCTATCTGTGAATAATAATAAAGAAAATAGATGGGATTAAGTGAAGGGTCTTTGAAATAATCTCTTCTTGCAAGTTCAATACTAGTCCTTACCAATCGTCTCCTTCCTATATCATCTCGATAAATATATAATAAATCCAATTTCATAATGTTTTCCTTCATAATTTTGGCAAACTCCTTATTAATCAATCTCATTTTCACAAATCTGATAAAATCATTATCTATTTCATATAATCGATCTGGATTTAATCTCTTTTCAATACGCATTGCAGTACACGTTTTATCACAATATTTATCATTAAACTCATCCTCACATATTTTCAAGAGTTCACAGGCTATTCTTACATTTCTCTCGACTAGTTTAATTCGTTCTTGTTTCGAATAAGTTGGAATGAAAGAGATAATCTCAAATTTCATATCAAATGGTAATTGATCAAGTAAACTTGCATCTATTTCACTCTCTTCCTCCACTTTTGAACTTTTCCCATTACTCACATACTCCTTTTGAATCCAAATATCATTCATAGTTTCAGTCATATACTCTATCCTACCTGGCATAGTGTTTGCTTTCTCAATAAACGTCACTGAGTCAAGATGCAATGCATTATCAATAATTAAAATTCTTCCAACTTCCACTACATCTCCTGTTATTACAGGTGTATGTGTATACACTTCAATTGGGCTGAAATAAACAATATCCGCATTAGAATACTCCATATCCTCATTGAGAAATGGATAGGCATTGTCTGGCTTTGCTCTACAAACAAGAAACTTATTATTGTCTAATTCCCAAATTATTACAAGTCGAATTGTGAATTGTTCTTCCGGTGGTAATTGTGCCAAATAACAAAGCTCTGCTCCAAGATTTTCCATTTAATTTTGTTGATGGACAAGATTAATGATCAAAACCTTAAATTATGAATTTTTTTTAATCAAATTTATTAGATGTTTAAATTTTTGAAATATTTATTCCTCTTGTTGTTGGATAAATATTCTGGGAGTTCTTGCTTGATCCAATATTTTGATATCAGTTATTGATAATAAATTTTCAATCATTTCCTAATTTTTTCAACAATAAACGAATGATGATTGAATTTTCTCGTTTCTGCTAAAACCTCAATTACAATTATTGGTCTTGTTGATTGATTATTGGTCTTTACAATAATTTTAAACGGAATTAGAAGAGTTCTAAAGTACCTATATTTTGCTCTTGTAATATCAACACTGTCATAACTTTAATCCATCGAATATTATCCACATTTCTATGTATGATGACAATATTGTTGTAATAGGAAACATTGAAATACTAATTAGATCTACGCTTCAATCTTCGCTTGAGTTTAGTTACTCTCTTCAAATCAAGAAGAATAGAACTGAAATCTATTTAATTCCTTCTCTTCATGATGACATAATTCTTTACCCAGTAAAATATTTTCCATTTTTTTTAAATTTTCATTAATTTGTTTCATCAAAGTTTGTCTACTAGTTCAGAATGGCAAGGTAACTTTTCTGGTAGACCTTTTCTGAGGCGAGTTCTATACACAATGTCATGAAATTGGGATGAGTTAGCAGGTATTGGCTGCCAGTGATCAAAAATAAATTGAGACGAAACGTTATACTGATCCAAGTATTGCAAAACCCCAAACGATTCAGAAACTGGCAAAAAAGCCTTTCCAAAAACAGATGAAGTGTGTTGCTCTTCTATCACAACTCCTCTTCTTGAATTGAGTATTGAATAAACAGCACTCAATTCCGATTTTTTACATTTGAATTCCATTAGAGAAATTGGCTCTAATAAACTTGGCTCTGCATCCAATACACTAGCATAGCAACCTCTTTTCACAGTTGGTGCTATTTGTCCAGTGCCTCTATGAATGGCATCACTGTACATGGCTACATCTTTAAGATTAAAACGTACGCCTCTCATTAATTCATTACATAGTGGCCCTTCTCTTGTTGCAATATGAAAACCAAGAATTACTGCATCCTTGATTTCATTCAAATAACAAACTTGTTGTGTCTTGTCAACAAATACGTTTAGACTATTTTCGCAAAGTGACCAAATCTTTTTTGCATCTACCAAATCCCAGCCAAAATTTTCATTCAATATTTTACCTCTCTGTTTAGGCTCGCTAGGTAATTTTCCTGATTCAAAATAGCTAATTACATCCTCTTTTAAAGGTTCAGTAGTGAGCCATAGCCTATTGTGTTTGTTTGGTGTTTTTACAAGTGTTATATTTGCAGATGAACTTGTCACTGTTTCTTGATATTTTACAATGGGTCCAGAAACCTCGAGTTCAATACTTGGATGAAGTTGTTTAAATTGGTGTAGCACCGAATCCAAATGTTTTTCATCAAAAACTGTAAGTATCTTCTCTCCAGTATATTCATCCAAAGTGAAAGATAGTGAAGAATCGCATTTGTAAATTAATTCTAGTCCTCTTATAAGTTTGGGAAGATAGGCTTGTTTCTTAGGCTCTACATAGACATTAATCATTGGTAAATTACTTTTTGAATCAGAAATAAATGGTTTAGCCTCCAATTCTGTACTCTCAGTTATTGTGGATCCTTTGTTTGTTAAACATGATTCAATTCCAATCAATCCAATAATAGGATTGAATTGACAACTTGCCTCTTCAATAGGTTCAATACTCGTGCCATTGATCTTTACAATTCCTCGAAGAGATTTTTCCTCAAACACCTGCTTTGAATTAAATACTCTTACAATAGTGTCAGATTTCAAAGATCCAGAAAAAATTCTTGAAATTGCATAAATCTTTCCATTAATAATTTTGTTAGAAGAAACATGTACAACTAAGGGACCACATGGATCACAATTCTTGATGGCTGTTCCGAATTTGTCTGTAATTGAGCCAGAATAGATACTTTTAGCCCTGTTATACGGAGCCTTTTCTGGGGAAGGTAATTGATTAAAAATCAACTCATGTATTGAGTTGTTGGCTGATAGCCATTTTTGCATGGTTGAGTTGATTAATTCTTGCTTGCTGAGATCCGTGTATTCTGTTTTTGAAAGACTTTTCACAAAAGGATTTAACACCTCTTCTAACACATTAAACTCTGATTTTTCACACGCTGCTAATACTCTCCTAATAGGCTTTAAAATAAATTGACAGAAACTCCTTTGGAAAATGTTGTCATTAGATTGATTTGTCCATTTGCCATTTTCTGCATCGTAATAACAATCTCCCCACAATTTCTCTAATAATTCATCTTGGTTCATTCCAAATTGTTTCGAATAAAACATGGCAAAATGTTTCAACGTAAAAGCCCACCCCTGCTTTGTAGATCCAAATACAATACTTTCCAAACTTAATTTACTCTCAGTATTGAATGTGCTCATCACCAAATTAACTGAATCAACAATCCTCTGTATTGATTTGTTAATTTCCTCCAAATCAACATTGCAATCCATCAAAGGTTCATCTAATTTGTTAAACAGTACAACAAGAGGAATGTTCTCCTGTGAAATTTGTCTCAAAACCAATTCCGAATATTTTCCAAATGTTGGTAAACTTGCATCAACTACCATAATACAACCATCAGTCAATCTGAGATCTGCCTTGACTTGGGAGAGTGATTCTAATCTACCAATACAATCCACCAAGTTGAGGATAGAATTTACTTCAACATCATGATGAGAATTTAATTTTAGGCTTGTTGAATAAAGTTGTGATTGAAAAGTTTCAAAAAGAATTTGTGTTGAATTTGTTTGATGATTGTTGTTGATTAACAAGTGGACAAGAGAGGATTTTCCACTTGATGGTTCACCACAAATTGCAACATTTCTAATGGACATGTTGTTAATATCGTGTTGAGACATTTTTTGATGTTGTGATGAATGATGATTGTGTAGATTGTACAATGATTGCTCGTATACGCTTTAAATAAGCAGTCTAATAAATACTTCATCATCAAATAAAGCACAGCTTGATGATGTTATTATCGCCAGAGCCCAGCTTTTTGTTTCAAAAAATATGTGAAGATGGGCTCATACTAATAATAAGAAGTTAATTGTGTATTCTAATCTTCATGAAAAGAAACACAATTTATCATTGCTCATCACATGTAGACTACAACTTTTATTATCAACAAAATTCATGTGTATAATTACAATGAACACCAGAAGAACTCAAAGTGTTCAAATTTATTTTTAAAATCTAAAAATAACAAAAACACTTCACTCTAACAAGTATTGGAAAGCCGAATATCATGGAGCCGGAAGAACAATGACTCGTTCCGTTTTATCAAAGACTACAAAGGATTGTACTTTGAGTGGAATTGAATCATTGCCACATAGACATGAATATAGTGATGTTTGGGATGCTAGATGGTAAAGAAGTGCTCGGATTGTTATGTGTAATAGTAACAACACATATTCAATAATAGGCATATCATCTTGATCAATATAGACCTCAAATTTGCTAACTGCGAGCGAAACTATTAGCATTGAAAATTGTATCATACAAAGAAAAGGAATAAACTATTTCTAATCAAATCTATTTGCAAAATCACACTCAAGATTATTATGAAAGATGTAATTTATAAGAAGATTGTTCCCATTTGCATATCAACTAATTTGCCTGACCAAACCCTTAATATACTTAAATTATTCTAAATGTAAGAATGCAATGAGGGAGATGGTTTAGTGGGATTGTGGTTCCAAAGATCAGAGTTTGATTCCCTGTCTTCCTACTTTTACTTTTTCAATCTTTCTCTTACTATTAATTTGATTATTCTATTAGTATAACAATCCACTCTCTCTAAAATAAACTAGAAGATTGATAATCAACCATTACATATGCATTTTCAATTGTAAAATGAAACCAAATCTTTCCTCCATCTGAATATTTCAATTCAACTCCTTCCATCCAATGATAAACATGAGAACTAGTTATTCTATGTTTCTCAATATCTTTCATGATAATTTGAAGGGATTCTGTATCTCTCATACTTGGATTAACTCCTGGCCAATTCATTGGACTAAATGAATCAATTGAATCAATCAACTTGTGGGTTTCTGCAAAGTTTCTCTGTGTTGAGCAACTAATGCAATCATTGCCATTTATATCTTCTTTAACATTTTCTTGAAGATAATACGTATAATTAAGAGGCAGATTTAGATCAACAATGATGGGTCCACTGTGATAACTCTAATACAATGTATTATCCCTATGATTTCTCTTCATTCCATACAGGATAATTCCAATACTAGAAATGGTCGTGTATTCAGTTGGCAATCTCTGCACTGAATCTCTTTTTATAAAACCCAAGGGCTTTTAACTGTCTAACAAGCAATATGATGATAAGGGAGTGCTTTCTTAAATTGTTCACCAGTTGCGAGTGGGATTAGCTGATCCTCAAAGGAGAGATGAAGACTAGACTGGGAAGGTAACGTTTCTAATAAGACTCTCTTAGGTGGAGTTGCTATTGTAGAGTAACCTTTCGGCTCTGAAAATTAAGGGTTTCAACAACATTCTAGACAACATTTAAAACGTTTTTTTGAATGTTTTATTAAGGAAACGTTACTTGTTTAAAAAATAGTCTCTTGTAATAACAACGTATGTTTCTCCATCTTGCAATTCTTCCAATAAATCAACAAATTTGTTCTGTTTCAAGATTGCAATCAGTTTTTCATTTTGAAATCTCTGTTGACATTGAGTACCCATAACATCAAAATTGGTTACATCAATAGTTTTTTCATCACCACCGTTCAAGCATTGCACTTTTACAATTTTGGTTGGTTTTTGACTTGATGAACCATTTGAAATTGGAAACAACTTCAGAAAACGAGAATCGCCATCATCGATGTTTTCGGTGTCTGAGGATGGTGTCGATAGTAGATTAAGCTGTGGTCTTATCATATCTACAAGTTGCAGTATATCACTGGCTGTTTTCTTCAAATTTGGATTAACTTCAAGATTCTCATTTACCATATCTAATATTTCTTTTGGATTTTTGTTTTTTCTTTGTTTTTCAAAAAGTTTGTTGACTCTTGATAGGTTTTGTCCTAAATTCAACTCGAATTCTTTCATGGCATAGCCCAACTTGTTTAAATGTTCCTTTTCAAGTTTACAAAGCTTACGTGTTTGATTTTTGTCTGGATGTGGTTCAACATTCATAATCTTACAAATAATCATAACACATGTATCTTGAATAAAGTAATCAGAACTCAATCCAGCACATTCATTGTTGTCACAAAAGCTGAGAATATTTTCAGGTGTCATGGAAAGAACATCAACATTAAACATGTCAGCAATATCTTCCAAATAAACCGATTTAGGTTCAAAACATCTTTTCTGTCTATAAGATTCATCGATTCTAAGACACGGTAGTGGTATTGGTGGATCAACAGCTGTATTAATAATGCTAAGTTCAAAATCTATTTCGTCTAATTCTGGTCTTTGGTGGGGATTGTAACTTAACATCCTTTTCAATAATCTTTTCATTCTACAATCATCCATAATTGTTCTGTGTAATCTTGTATTCACATCAAGGCTTTTTTTCATTTGTTCGGTGTAATCTTGTTGACCTTTGAAATTTTGAGAAACGTGCAATTCGTCTCTTTCACCATAGGTACCATACAACATTCTAAATAAAATCAAACCAAGAGCATAAATCTCGCTCTTGGTGGAAAGTAGTATATCATCTGGGCATCGATAACTTTTAGTGGCATGATACATTTCTTCTTCAAGAGCTCCCTGATTTTGAATAGAAACAGCACTTTCAAAATCAATAACCTTGATGATTGCGCTTTGAATTTCATTATTTTCAACTACCACTTGATCAAGAGCAATGTTATCTAACTTTATATCTCTGTGGATAAGACTCATTTTCATGTGAATATCTTTCAAACCTTGAACTAATTGTTTTCCAACTGAAATTACAAAGTTAAATGAAAATCCATATTTGGTATTACCTAAAGTACCTCCTTCATAATATTTGGTTGTCATAAAGTAGCTGGTATCGTTTGGATCATCCTTTGCTTTTATAAGTGTTTTGAATTGTGCAATGTGTTCAAATTGTTCATCACGTTGAATAAGTCGCAAAGGTTCGTTTGGAATAATTCGTTCCGAATGCTCTATATACTTTAATACCATGAATTTCATCTAGGATTACATCATTCACCTTTACTCTATTCTTTACTTGTACACTCCATCTGCCAACACTGCAACAAATATGTAATAATTGTATTGATCTGTTTGCATAGTTTCTGTGTCTGCTTTCTGATCACAGACTGAATCAAATACTTCAAAGTATTGATTGGTTCTCTTGGTAACAATGACTTGGCCACTGAAAAATCTAACAGGTTTGTTGGTTGTCATTTTTTTTTAAGCTTTTCAATGGAATTCTCATAACTGACTGGTTGAAACGTGAAAATTGCTTTCAATATTACAAATTACAATTTTTTCTGTCTACGCACATCATCCTTTTTTTGTAAATAATTGTCTTTCACAATTTGAAAACAAATCAAACGAATTACATTGCTTGCAGCGATGAGTTGCCAAAACTTTCTCTTCATCATCATTCGAGCACTTGTCGCAATTCTTTGCAGACGAAACATGACTTTCAATAGCAACAACTGAAGAAGCATGTGATTTGGTCTTATTGGAAGTATTGTGAATATTCGAGTGATTTTCACAGAAACAAGTAATGCTTGTCAATTAATATTTGACGTCATAGAATGAGTCCAAAGATTTTTAATGAATTACTCATTCAATAGAAACACAAAAGAAGGCATTAAACCTTGAAAGTGAAAGAAGAACTTGAATTAATTGTAATGTACGAATCATATAACATTATTTAAATTTGAAATATGAGTTGATATTTGAAAAGTAAATTAGTAGATTGAATCAGTGAAGGTTTCATTAGGGAAATCAGATTTCCATCCAAATTTGGAACCTTACATCTAACTTTTTGAGTTTGTTCCAAATGAAAAACTATTCGAAATGGTTTAAATTAGCACCATGTGTTTGAACTTTACTATCCAACAAAAAAATGAAAACAAATCTAATCTTTTCAATTGCAATTCTACTTTTACTTGCAATCCTCTCAGTTCAAGCAAGTGACAGCTATCAAACCAAACCTCCAGTTGTCGTAGTTGACAAGTATCACAAACCAAGAATTTGTAAGAGAAAATGCTTAAAGCACAAGTGGATTAAGAAGTGTTTGAAACACAAACTCGTCGGTCAAAAGAAGGTCTGTGATCAATATGCAATTGTCGGTGCTGGTAAATGTCTCAAACATAAGAAATATTCCAAATGTGACAAGTACAGTAAGGCAACAAAGAAGTGTGTCTTGCATGCATACAAGACTGTTGGATGTGCCAAGAAGAAGTATTGGAAAGTTTGTGATTCTTATGGAACTAAGAAGATTTGTATTAAGAAGGGTTTCAAGAAATTCTGTGCCAAACACAAGATTGTCAACAAGTGTGTCAAGAAGGGTTGCAAGAAGATCTGTAAGAAATTCAAGAAGGTTCCAATCAAGAAGTGTGAAAAGAAGAAAGTCTGTGATAAGTATACTGTTGATTCCTATAATAAGAAGATTGCCAAATGTAGATATGTTAAAAAGTGCAAGATTGTTTCATGGGCAAAGAAATGTGCCAAGTATAAGAAGGTTAAATATTGTAAGGAGAGAAAATCCATTAAGAAATGTTGTCTCATTAAGAAGAAATTCTTCTGTGCCAAACATAAGACTATCAAGTTCTGTAAACACAAGAAGACTATTTCCAAATGTGTGAAATATAACAAGAAGAAGTATTGTGCCAAGTCAATTGTCATTCCACCAAGATGTATCAAGAAGAAGTATTATAAGAAGTGTTTGAAACGTTCAAAGGGAAAGAAGATTTGTAAGAAATTCAAATTAGTTGGTGGAAAGAAAAAGTGTTGCAAGTCAATCAAGAAGAAGATTTGTATCAAGAGAAAGACATGTAAAAAGCCATCAAAGCCAATCATCAAAACCTTGTAAATTAACTGAATTTGTTAACAGATTCTTAGTAATACGTGAGAAATATTAATAACAAAATAAATTAAACTATTTCACTTAATGTTTCGAATAAATAACAGAAATCAACTAATAATTGAACCTGTACCAAATACATTGAACATGTTACGATCTCTGCATTTCACAATATCCAATTAAATTCCAAAAGTGGAGAGGCAATTAAATGGTTAAAAAATAATTCTCCAAAGAGCGTTCAAGAAAATATATTCCTTCTCTACAAATCTCAAAACAACAGAGAAATTCTGTTCAAGACCTTGATGGCAATATTGCTTGTCATTATTTGCTTCATTACTACTCTTTCAATGGCTCAACAATAAATTGATCTCTCTGATCAAATGGGTGTTTCCATTCCTTCAGTAATTCAATCGAATGGTATGACCAATCTTTACAAATTTAAAACAGATCCAGTCACTAGCTCCAATTTGATGGTTTTTGTTCTTCCTTGTGAAGGAAAAATTGATTGGTTCATTGCCAACTCATCCCAAGTCTCTAAAGCAAGCGAACTGACCACAGGCAATAGCTTATTCTCTTTCATATTTCCACAAATTAAATATAAGAGCAGATCATCCAAGGACGATATTCCAAATGTTGTTACTCCATTCAATCTTAAAGGTATTTATGGTATTCTCCCAGGAAACTCCACCTATTATCTCAAGGTTACAAACTCAGGTAATGTCAAGGCAAGATATAATCTCCTCTACTCAACCTCTACCAATCCATATCCAATCCTCCCATCCTCTGATTCCATCACTGTTAAACAGAATGGTGACCAAATTGAATTGAGTTGGAATCCAGTTGTTGAGAATGCTGCCTATATCGACTATTGTGTCTATGCTCACTCTGAACAAGAACATGATGATGGAGATGTTCATGGAAGTGCATGTGCTGTCTTTGCAGATAGTGAACTTCAAGGATGTACCTCATCAACTAGTTTCGTATTAAATCTGAAGAAGAGTGCCGCTTATCATATTGATGTAGTTGCAACCAGAAAGGACAATGGAAGATCATGGGCCTACATTGGACAAGAATATGTCTTCAAGATGAATTCTGCTGTGGGTACGTTCAATATGGCTTGCTTGCTCCTATTGGCAACTCTTCAATTTGTCATTGTCTTGTGTTAAATAAATTATTTTCACAAACAACTTTTCAATTATTAATAATTATTGAAGAATTGTGGTTGTTCTGTTATTGACCTAGCATAAAGGAATGGTATCATCAAATCTTCAAATGTATCATTCTTGGAGCTTAGCGCAAAATATTGTACTCTATTCGAATATAACCTGCAGTTGGCCGGTTCAACCAATAGAAGTTCTTTAATTTCCTGCGATGGAACCTTCTGCTCTAGATCAGATTTCAATCCAAGTATTAAAACACATCCATTATGATTTTCCAAATATTCCATAACTTTGTAATTAGCATTCCTTTTTTTCCAATCGTTATAATTTTCCTTACACCTTTCAAAAGATGAATAATCATTCAAACTAAAGCAAAAACAATTAATTTTTGCTTTCGAGTGAAGTGTAGAGTTGACAAATTTAAATCTTTCCTGACCACTCGTATCCCATGTATTGAAATGAAACAATTTGTTTTGATATCGATATCTACAAGAGCAGGTATCTAATCCAATAGTAGGAATATAAAAATCTGTGAAATTCTCTCGTTTCATTGCTTTGGATATGAGTTGCGATTTTCCACATTTATCCAAACCAACAAATCTAATCGAAGGACCCCAAGAGTTAGTAATTGAATATTCCACAAAAACATACAGTATTACGATTGGTATTCTACTCAAATCCGTTGCTTCCCGTATTTCAGAATATACAAATGAATTATTAATTTTGACTTTCATTGACTTTTGAAAGAATAGAGAATTCATCACTGGATTAATTTTCGAAAAAACAGGACAAAAAGGCATCATACATTCTGAAATTATTTTAGAATCACTTCTCGATTTCCATAATTGTGGCAATTCTATCCAGTAATTTCTAAAATTCCTCGAAACTCTGCCAAGTTTTACTAAACTTTCAAAAGGCAAAAAAGTCAAAATGCAAACAATGATTTCACACGGCAGTTTTTCTTCCAACACTCCAATATTCTCTTCATTATAAACTAATTGATGATAATATTGATCATCAATATCGGAATTATCATCACTATTCGGAATCACCCAATCAAGATCGTAATCACGAAATAAATCGCAAATTATTCTATGGCCTTTTGTTTGCTCATCATCACGACCATTCTCTGCATTATCATCATAATCATAATAATTATTGATTCTCGTAGAAAAAGTGGAAAATGTTTTAGCGATCCAATTTCCCATTTTTTTTCATTGATTTTTCTCAATGAATGGTGGAAATCAATTAGAAAGTAAGTTGATGGTTGTGTTTGGGTAATAGTTTACAATTCAATTATTGGAAATTGTAAAATATTTATTGGGATGGAATGACAAAAGGAACCCACACTGAAATGATTTGATGTTTCAAATGCTTTTCAACTTCCTTTTTGAGTCTAAACTCGATCTGATCCAATTGATTTGTTTCATTCTTGATTTGTATTCCATTCAAAATTTCACCATCCTTTGTCCACTATTATTTTCATTGTAAGTATTTTAGTAAATAAATTTTCAAGAATTAAAGTCAACTTACACTGAAGAGACATGCATCAGTTGTTGTGGAGAATGGATTCAATTCAACAATGTAAACTCTTCCATTCGAATCAATTGCAAAATCACAAATGTAATCATTTAGGGGAACTCGATGAGCAACTTGGTTTGTGAAAAAGTCGTATAGTTTTTTTCCTTAATTAAATCTTCCTCTGCAACCAAATCTGGATAGAACAAGTGTCAAAATATTGAGAGATGGCTGTCAATTGTTTGTTTTTCACAAATGATCTGAATTCATATTTTGAAGGAATATCAACCCACTCTCTAATGATAATCTTGATAGGATTTTCTTCTCGTTGCTTCTTATCATATTTGAGAAATAACAGTAAATCTTCCAATACTCTTGCTGACTTGGTAAAATATGTGTACTCTTCAGCAAAATCCTTCACCTTCATTGATTGTATAAATGATTCGTTGACAGCTATCAACCTTTCATTGGGAGTTGCTAAAACTCCTTTCTTTTCCATTACAATTTTCTCAATCTTGTCATTGAATAACTCCTTCATCTTTGCACATACAGCAAAGGCATCCTTCGGAGATCTACAGCTCAATTTAATAAAACATCCTTCATCATTACAACAAGATAATTCTTTCATCTCTCTATTTACATCAATTTCTAACGTTTCCAATACTGTTCGCCTTGTGTCGGAATTTAAACTCGACACGATATCAATACCACTTGTTTCCAACACTTCCTGATTGCATTCACCATTGAAATATTCATTATCGAGAATGATGGCCATAATTTGCTCCTCCGAAAGAGATATCATTCTTGTTCTATAATATGATAACCAAATTAAATAATAGAAGAATAATAGATCAACTCACCTAAATGTTAGATCGACAATGGCATCATACCAAACATCCATATTAGTTTCAAACCATTTATCTGCTTGTTCTTGTGTTGACATTTTTCTAGTAAGTGAATTATTTTGAGATGATATAAGATTTGAAGAGAACATCAACGAGAGTCAAGGAACTACAAGTTCATATTGTTGGAATTCAAGTTAGCGGTAGTACAAGGTAAATTGAGAGTACTTTTGATGTTCTTCAAAAGAACACAATTTTCTTAAGACCTCACAACGGTAATAGAAATTATCTCAATAGACACTTTTCCGATTAGTACAATTCAATGAGGATTTTCATCAACATCACAACAAGCAATTCAACCTTTCGATTGAGGAAATTATCTCTTCTCTCTAACTTGCCAACTATGAATCATCCTCACTCTTAAGCTCAACCTTTCATCAATAAAAATTGATTGAATATTAATAGAGACTCTAGTTTAAAATTAACTCACATCTACAGTAAAATTGCAAGTGATATCTGTACACCTGAATTAGATCCTTTTGTTCAGTTCCCTTCATCAACCTCATCAACTTTCCATCGATCACAACATTCGACAAGCCTTTATTATTATCTAAGATTTTTTCTAATTCCGTCACTTGTAACGGTAGAAAACGCAGCGTTTTATCAAACAATTTTTAGCACTTTACTGAACAAATCAATAAGTGCAACAATCAGAAGAGAGCGCCGAAGAAAAAACGACGTCACAACAAACCAACAACGAAACGACAAAACGTTGATAGTTTTTCAATCAAACAAACTCTGTGTGCTTGAACCATATATTAGAAGATACAAAATGCTCGAATTTCAAAACTATAGAAATCAAATGGGATTCATTGGAACTTCCTATGTGCCAACAAAGGTAAATAATGGTCATCAAGTTAATACTCCAGTTTCAAGTTGTACTCGTCCGGTAAGCAAGGCTTCATCTCATTGTGAGTTGGGAAAGATTTTGGATATGGCTCTTATCAATAGAAAGAATATGGTCATGTCGAAACAAAGTATCAAATAATTCTGGATATTGATCATGAACACTTGTTGCTGCTATTTGTCAACTCTGAGGAATGATGAACAATGCTAAAGATTAGACAGTTCCTAATTGTGGTGCAATCACCACAGCGACTGGATATCTTGTTATGTTTATCATGATGAAAAACAGTTGAACATTGGAAATTAGTTGGCCATAATAGTAGCAACAACTTGTGGATGGACAATATGTGATTGTCCAAAGGTACAGTCACCTTGCAGCTGAGTGTAACCACCTGGTTGTCAGGATATTGTACATGTGGATTTGCAATCATTGTCATCCGAAGAGAGTGAGAGACACTCGTTATATTTTCTCATATAACGAAATTTACCATTGTCTCATTCACCATAACAACCACACAATACCTCTAATCTTTTTCTCCAACACAATTTTGATCATTGACTAATGATTCTAACAAGGGGATGATATCCTTATCGGCTTTTTTCAAATTTTGCTCATTAAATTATTGTTTTTAATTCTTTCCAAACTATTGTTTAGTTATAATAGTTAGAATAATTATTGAATATACTCTGCCAAAGATGATAATATTATTATTTGATCACAACCAACTATCAAGCAAAAAATCTTTTTCATCATCAATTAAATAATTAATAAGTGAAAAAATGTCTTTAAATCCAGCCCAATGTTTTCAAAGTGTACCTGAAGGATTCCACAGTGCTGTTGATGATTTGAATAGAGTTCATCCAGATATTATCAATGAAATGTCGCACAAGACAGTCATGTTTATTCTTGGTAGAGGATTGGGATGTTACGTTGATGATTATCAATCATGGATTTCTACAGTTAATAATCAAACACTTTCCGAAAAACAAATAGAAAATGTTATTAATCTTTTATTGTATATATTCCGTACAGCAAGACAATACAGAGTACCACTTGCTGAATTTCCGAAATTATTAAGATCAACAACACAAATTCAAGTCAACAAGATTAAAGTCATGTGTCCAGAGTATGAAATTTTGTTGGCTGAAACCAAGTTTAGAGATGAGGATAATGGTGAAAATACAGAGAATAGTGAACAAAAGAAAATTTTGGATGATTTTGAATTACCTCGTCTGAAACATTTGGATTGGAAGTTGAGTATTTCTACATCATCAAGTGATTGTGAGGATTTACAAACAGCTAAAGTCACTGTTACATTGTTAATGACCAATTCTCAAAGAAAGACTATTGATTTGAGTTTGAGTGAATTTAAAAAGATGTATTCCGAATTTTCTGATATGGCTGGTTTAATTGATTCTCTTTAATCAGTTTCAAATTACATTTTCTATTCCTTTTTTGTGGATGGTAGTAGAAGCTAATAGATGATTTCAAGTGGCAGAAAAATCAAATTTTGCAAAATCACATGTACAAATATATAATACAATTTAATTTTGAATTAGATATCTATTTACAATGAAAAGTTCTTGTTGAGGACACAATTCGAGAGAATGAGCATTTCTTGAGTAGCTCTCATGTTGGCAATTTCTTCATCCAAATCGACTAACATTGCTGAGTTGGTGAGTGAGGAATCATTGTTGAATTGTTTGCACATTTCTTCAATTTTGAGTTTGTGATCTGATTCCTTTTGTTTGAGTTTTTTTAAGGCTTGTTCGTTGGCTGTTGAACTGATTGGCATGAGTGCACTCTGATATTGGTCAATCAAATCAGATAGACTATTGTAGCAAATTTCCAAATCTTGGGTGGGTATATTCTTTAGAGAGGATGTTTTCAAGTTGCTACTACTGAGCAATATTGGATGAGTTTTGGTAGAGTGCAGGAAATTCTCTAAATTATTCCACTTTGAATAGACACAACTTTGAAAAGAGTTAGAATCACCCTCATCTGTCATGGAATCTTTGAGATAATTTCCAAATATTAGATTGATTAAAAATCCCATATTGATAGGTCTCAAATGTTTTAACATCATATTCATACATCCAACCAAGTCTGAATGAATTCCTTCCAACTTTTCCTCCTTTGTTGAAATTTTGTCTCCAGCATTAGAAACTTCAAATGTGTCCAAAATATGATACAATCTCATATTGGTATAGCATGATGTCAATCCAAGATATGGTATATTAATATCCTCGTTATGTATTTCACTTTCAGAAGTATTCAAACCCTTCTCCTTGTCCTTATTTTTCAAAAATAGTTCCACATCTCGCAAGAGCTCAGCATCTGCAGCCGAAGCAGTCTTGGCTGAGGGAGAGGATTGAACTGAATTAGTGACCTCAGTCTTATTGATGGAGAGGATTGGTTTGGTAATTTTTTCAATTTCTGTGTGATCGTACAGAAAACAGAAACCGTCAATCATCATAATTACAAAGTAAATTGTAACCAATTCGTAGAGTTTCGTACTAGTATTATATGTGAGAAATCCTCTCAGTTCCAAAGCCTTGGCATGCTCAATCTCAATTTCTGTTGTAGCTTTGAAGGTAGTTGGTTTGGTTGATTCCAGTTTCTTTCTCTTCTTTTCTGATGGAGGTACATCATATTTCAAAATACATTCTCCAAACAAGTACCTTTCAGCAGCCTCTGCAGAATTTAAAGAATGGGCTTTAATCAATATAATTTTTGTTTTCAATTGTCCAGGATCACTACTCTCCTGAATATTCAATTGTTCTTGTTCCGATCCTCCTGTTTTAAAAAAGAAGTGTAATTCATCTCTATCATCAGTCAAACACGAATTTCCACTAAATATCATAAAGGCATCTTCAACATATTGTTCATAATGTTGCTGTAAAAACTTGGACAACTCCACAACTCGTACATTATCATATTTTGAAGAGTAAGGTTCCTTCCGAGAAAATTCTTCATAAAATTGATTAAAAGCATGAAATGGCTGCAAAAACGGCAAGCTAGACAAGAAATCATATCTATTCATTTTTTAATTAATTTTTCCAACCACTTCCAGAGTTTGAAAGAACTGTAAAATAGCTGAACAAGTTGTTAGAAGAATTGAAATTACAAAAATAGGAGAACATTGTCAAGGAAATGGATCCGTTCTGTTGCTTGTTTTGAATCACACCTTAGTAGTTTGACAATTCTCCCACCAAAATCAAGATGACTATTTTTGGCGCCAAATTTAATTGAAAAAACTCTCAAAGAAAAATGCTCAACTCGAATCTTTCTCATCCTTCCACCATCAAAATCATCATCACAGCGAGATTCAAATTATGATGGTTATTGTGGATTATTTTCTATTTAATTTTCGGAATGAGTTGTCTGGTTGTATCTTATAATATTTCCACCTCGCAACAAGCTTGTTTTTATACATATACTGATAATCATCAATTGATGGATATTGTTCTGTGGGGAATGTTGGTTGTTGGAGTGGTTTTTATGATTGGAATTGTTTTTAATGTGTTGTTTGTTCCTTCGAGAAGGATTTGCTTGAGAATGAATTGGGCAATTGGTTCTGTGTTGGGTTTGTTAGTTTATTCGGGAATCGTTGGGTTTATTCTCATGCAGAGAATGAATTCTCCGTTTTATAAGGATGAATATGCATACACCATGACAAAGAGACAGTGTGAACGTCATGCTAATCTGTTCTTCTTGTTGAGGATTGTTCTATTTGTTGTGGGGTTGTTAGTTGTTTTGGTTTCGTCTTGTTACATCGGTATTGGAAAGTTCTTCAAGCAATATGAAAATGGAAGAACAAGGTCGTATTAATGCCAGGTTTTGAGATAATGCTGGCTTAGAACATAATGAAAATGGTTGATGATTAATATTTTCAAATTGCTTAAATTTAAGTGTGAACCCAATCCCAGACGTTTTTATATCAAAACGCAATATTGTAAAGTTCACCAAACATCAGAAGCAGTCTCATTAGACTAATGAACCAGGTTCATTTAAATTAGAAAGAACAAAAAAATGTCAGAGTTAGAACCAGTTACAATTATTCTTACGGATCGTCCCATCACCACTCAACCAACTTTCCAATATTTAAAATTCAAATTTGAAAGCCAACAATTTGGCAAACTGTTATGGTTTGTTCGAATGGAAAAATCATACGAATATTTTCCCATAGAATATGCCAAAGATAAATCATTCATCATTGAAAATATGAAGAATAATCCTCAAATGGTTTATGAAATGATTGATCCAATGTTAAAGTTGGATGTTGATATTGCTTTGGAATATTTATTGTGGACCGATAGAGTGGATTCAAAGCAAGTATTGGCTTTGGAAAATACAATGAATGACACGAAATTTGTGGCCAATTTCCTAAAGAGTCATGCACATTTGTTAGAAGAAGATATATTAAATAGATTGATGACATATTATCCATCAATGAGAGCTGTATTTGATGATAAAAAGCACTTTTTAGAGATTGTTAAATTTGAGGGATTGGTAGAAAAGAATGTTTTACTTCTCTTAGAGTTGGCAACTGAGAAAGTGAGAAGTGATAGATTAATAATAGAAGAATGTGTGAAGTACAATGGGTTTTCATTAAATTTTGCAAATAATGATCTGAAGAATGATAGGGAAATGATTTTAAAAGCAGTCAGGGTTGATGGTTTGGTATTGAGAGATTTAGAAAAAAGATGGTCAACTGACAGGGATATTGTGATAGAAGCTGTTAAACGAAATGGAAATATAATAGCAAAAACTCCATCCGAGTTTAGATTGGATAGAGAAATTGTTTTCCTCGCTTTGAAATCAAATAGTATGTGCTTGGAATATTTGAGTGGAGAAATGAAAAATGATAGAGAAATAGTTTTACTGGCTGTAAGATGCGATAAACCACTAGTATCTGGTCAATCATGCCTTAGATATGCATCAGATCTATTGAAATGTGACAGGGAGGTTATATTAGAGGCAGTTAAACATAATCCCTATTCTGTTCATTATGCTAACTATATGGATGATGAAATTCTCAAAATTGCGCTCT